ACACCTTTCGCGTCGAATTCGCTACCAAAGGGTAGTGGGGAGTTCGCCCGCTTGCAGCCACGACCTAGCGGCGAATACAAATCCTCCGCCAAGGATGTTGAGATGCAGAGTATGGTTGCTGGCCCGCGGCCATTACAAAAGAAGAACACGTCGGATTCAATACAGACATCCACATCAACCGAACCTGAAACGCCTTCTTCTGGCTCATCTTTGCGGCGAAAACTCAGCCTCAGTGGCTGGAGGAGAGCTTCATCCAAGGCTGCAACACATCAATCGCAAAATCTGCAGGTTCGAAAACCGGGCCCTCAGGGTGGTGAACCAAGACAGCAACCCCAGCCTCCCAAGCATAGCGAAATGCCTCCACCACGGTTACCTGCGTCTGCTACTTGGAGCGGTGCTATTGGCACAAGCCCGACTCCCGCTAAAAGTGGGACTCGACCATCCCTTGATTTCGGGCGCCGCAAACCTTCTGCGACAGCAGTTGCAAGTGATACAGAGGTTGAGAAACTAAGTGCTCGTAAGCCCGTAGGGAATGCCGGAACACGTGCGGTATCGGGGCACACAGACCAGGCTAATAGCCAGGCGACGCAGAAGTCAACGTCGATCTTGACACCGATGCAGCGGATGCTGGGTACGAAGAGCTCATCGAATATGCTCAAAGCTCGTAATCTCGACTCGAACCTCGATAGAGATGACATGTTGGCCGACGAAGAAATGAAGAAGCTTGCTTCGAAGCGGAAAGACTTCGAGCATGCGGCGCGCGATGTTGATGAGCTTCGCAAGCGCGCCACAGCCAAGGAGCGTGTCAGTCCAAGTGATGCTGTGCGCATGGCCAATTTGAACATATTCGAAAGAGGCGAGATCATCGATTACAAGGAGGTCTACTTCTGTGGAACGAAGAACGCCAAGAAGCACGTTGGCGATCTTAATGCGCAGACAGCAAACTTTGGCTATGACGACGAACGCGGCGATTACAACATCGTCTTGGGAGACCATCTTGCATACAGATACGAAGTTGTCGATGTTCTCGGCAAGGGCAGCTTCGGACAGGTCGTGCGTTGCGTAGACCACAAAACGGGAGGGCTCGAAGCGATCAAGATCATTCGTAACAAGAAACGGTTCCATCAGCAAGCTCTGGTTGAAGTCAACATTCTTCAGAAGCTACGCGAATGGGTAAGGACGATGCATTCGGTATACAGAGTAAGCTTGCTAACGATAACCAGGACCCCGATAACAAGCACAGTATGATCAACTTCACCCAGAGCTTCTACTTCCGCGGCCATCTTTGCATCTCGACCGAGCTTCTTGGCATGAATCTGTACGAGTTCATCAAAGCACACGAGTTCAAGGGCTTCTCCCTTCGTCTGATCCGCCGGTTCTGCAAACAGATGTTGGCTTCATTGACCCTCTTGAAGACCCAGAAAGTCATCCATTGCGATCTGAAGCCAGAGAATATTCTACTTGCGCACCCGTTACACTCGGAAATCAAGGTCATCGATTTCGGATCCAGTTGCTTCGAAACCGAGAAAGTCTACACGTACATTCAGTCGCGATTCTACCGATCGCCGGAGGTCATCCTTGGCATGAGCTACGGATTGCCGATAGATATGTGGAGTTTGGGTTGTATCCTCGCCGAGCTGCTCACCGGTTACCCCATCTTCCCTGGAGAGAATGAGCAGGAGCAGCTTGCTTGCATCATGGAGATATTCGGGCCTCCAGAGAAGCACCTTATCGAGAAGAGTAGCAGGAAGAAGTTGTTCTTTGACTCCCTCGGCAAGCCTAGAGTTACTGTTTCCTCGAAGGGCCGCAGGCGACGACCCAGCTCGAAGACACTACAACAAGCCTTGAAGTGTGACGATGAGGCCTTCCTTGACTTCATCACGCGCTGTCTGCGTTGGGATCCCGAGCGTCGAATGAAGCCCGATGAAGCGATGCAGCATGAATTCATCACTGGCGTACGCAAAACCAATCAACAACGACGACCTTTCAACGGCCCGTCCGGCACGTCTTCACCTGCGAAGCGAATGCCGCCCCCACAGTCGGCACAACCACGCGTCCGACCTCTTCCTGAACCCCCCGTGTCTAGCTTCAGAAATGGAACCGCAGCCAGCGGACAACGTCAGGTGTCGAACAGCAACTCACCTGTGAAAACTTCTGCTCCCCCAAGACGCCACTCCACCGTGCAAGGACTTGCACCTGGAGCAGCAGGTACTAAGCGTGCAGCGAACGGAGCGCCACTCAATGGCGCAGGTGGAAGTGGATTGCCGCGCGCAGCACAGCGCAGTGTGTCAGGCAAACCGGACCTCGCTTCGGCGGCGGCTATTGCCAGTCTCGTAAGTCCAGAGCATCGCGGCTAGCTTGATATCGATAAGTCGTTAACAATGCTTCAGAAAACGCACACATAACCTTACGAAACCGAGAGATATTCTCAATATAGATTAACGATTACTTGGGCATCTCATGAGGTTTCTCTACTATGTAATATGGGGTCTACCCCGCTGGCGGCTTCGGGGTTGGGGCTGATCCGGACTTTTGTGCAGATGTGGTTGCGAATGTTTATGTTTTCCCATTCAGCGACGTTATACCCCCGAAAAAGTCTCTCTTTGGAGCATATTTTCAACATGGTGTATTGATTGGTTAATTGGATAGGAGGGAGGATATTGAATATTGATATGAACAGCATCCTAGGGCGTTGTAGCAAGATAGACATCTTCTAGAAATCGTAATGTGATGGGTGATAGGTCTAAGACGTCGAGTACAAGCATTGTCTATCTGCCTGAATGCATGAGCGATTGCGAGCTGTGGCCTTTTGTGATGTCAGTGCGTTATCGATAAGGGCGATGGCGAATTTGACGATGTTGGCTTTCGCACTACAACCCTCAGCATTCAAGTACCCTTCTTTGATACCCTGTTCTTCTTTCTTTACGTTTATTAGACATGCCTCGCGATCCGCTAATAGGCCTCGTCGGCAAGCCTTCCTCGGGCAAGTCGACTACACTGAACAGGTGCGCAATGCCCCTCCACCCCTCTTTCGCGGATCTTTCTAAGATGGATTTCATGGCAGCTTGACAGATGCTACCTCCAAAGTCGGTCCGTACATGTCTGAATATGCTGGGAGCTGTGTAGGCTGATTATTAGTAGGAAACTTCCCGTAAGTCATCCCTCTCCGATCCATGGAATGCGATTGCGCAGCGTACACCGCGCTCGATTCTCCGCATCGTCAGCTCCTAATGCTACATCCAGATTCACCACGATCGATCCTCAGCGCGCCATCGGATACCTCCAAATCGAATGTCCATGCGCGCGCCTCGGTCTCGCTGATCGCTGCAAACCCAACTACGGCGGCTGTGTTGAAGGACGGCGATCGGTTCCCATAGAACTTCTCGATGTCGCCGGTCTCGTACCCGGCGCACACTTGGGAAAAGGCCTAGGGAACAGGTTCTTGGACGACTTGCGACATGCAGATGCGCTTGTACACGTGGTGGACGTGAGCGGGACGACCGACGCGGAGGGCAAGGCGACAAGAGGCTATGACCCAAGTCAAGACATTGTTTGGCTGAGGAGCGAAATCGTGCGATGGATACAAGGCAATCTTATGGAGAAATGGGGTAGTATCAAGAGGAGGCATGTCGCTATCAAAGCCACGGCAGTCGAGACACTACAGAACCAGTTCTCAGGTTACGGATCCACGTCCAGCGTCGTTGCGCGTTGTCTCGATCGCCTCGCTCTCAAGGAGCCACTACAAGACTGGTCAAACGAGACCATCGAACGAGTCGTAAACGCCTTCACCGACGAGAAATTCCCTACCGTTATCGCCCTCAATAAGATCGACCATCCCGACGCCGACAAGAACATTGCGAAGATTGCGAAACAGGTAGATGCCAAGAGCATAGTGCTTTGCAGCGCGATATCGGAAGTCTTTCTGCGGAAATTGGCGAAACAGGGCTTCATCAAATACACCGAAGGCAGCGAATTCGTCGACACAAGAGAAGACTTGATCGAGCAGGGCGACCCCGATGGAGGCGGCCTGAAGGAGTTGGACGAGAAGCTCAAAACACGAATCGAAAACCTCAAAGACATGGTCCTTTACCGCTTTGGTAGCACGGGCGTCGTGCAAGTCCTGTCGCGAGCAGCAGAACTCCTCGGTCTGGTCCCAGTCTTCCCAGTTCGCAACATCCACGCGTATACTAGCGGAAGCGCGAGCTCGACGGCTGTCTTTAGAGATTGCGTGCTTGTCAAAAAGGGTAGTACAGTCGGTGATGTGTATAGGAAGGTCATGGGTGACGCGCCAATGGCGTATGTGGAGACAGAGGGCGGGAGGAGAGTGGCGGAGGATGATGTTGTTGCTGTGGGAAAGAACGACGTGAGTACATGATGAAGATAACAGTAGACATGTTGCTAACGAAGTTAGATATTGAGCTTCAAGGTAGGAAGGGCCTGATCAAGCCTAGTCAACATCTAGTCGGGGTTACATCCGAGATGCGCATAGTCTCTTGCAATCGATGAACTTGAGTAATATAACTTGTCTCAAACTAACAGATCGTACTGCGCCTAGATTGATGAACCTGTGACTCTCCATGCTGTTTGAGATCTCGAGATGGCTAAAGAACATTGCCTCATCACCATGGACGCGTAGCTGGCTGCGACTCGCAAGTTCCGCTGTCATACCGTGGTTCAGGATCTTTCTCTCTTGAGTAAAGATAATTGCGCGTCGCGTTGTTACGATGATGTTCTCTGCTTAGCGTCACATTGGCGTCGTAGCCACACACATATCCTCATCACACCCAAAAAGAAAACACCCAACCACCGTCCTGCCTTGAAGCCCTCGACAACCCCCAGGCAGTGGCATGTAGCAAAAAGTAATCCTCCTCCGGGAAGGCTCGAACTTCCAACCTCCTGATAGCCACTGGTGTAACAGTCAGACGCGCTAGCCAATTGCGCCACAGAGGATTAATGAAATGCGCCATTGGCGCTTTTCGATGAGGAAATTTTCAAATTGCATCGTACTAATCGCCTGGCAAAGCTCAAGTTTCGAGTCGCAATGGAGAGCAAACATCGGCAGCATCGGGGATATGTGTATAGTGGGGGATGATGTGGGTCTTGCTCGCTTACCGGAGCATACGACGGCAGTGATGCTACGATAAGCGCTGTTTTGTAATCTGATTTGTAGTATTGCTACTGGATTTGTCTGTTACGATGATAGAAGTGGGTATACTGTGATATGAACGAATTACCTCCGTACCGTCGCCTGGCACATGCTCCGTTCGCTATGCATTAAAACATGTCGCTGGTAAAATCATAATCTTGGGCCTGTCCTTTGCCTTTGACTCGTCGATGCGTGCCTATCCACTCTTTCGGCCTCGTTTCTTCTTTTCTTCCTTTGAAGGTGTCTCCGCGGCTGCGGCTCCTTCAATCTTGAACTCGTCGCTCTCGAGGTCAACGACGCCCCGCAGGATACTGTACGTGAAGAAGTCCTTTGTGTAGCACGTTACTCCGTCCTTGATCAGTTTTTGTGCCTCCGCATCGTCTCCGTCTTCAGCGAGAATAATAGTATTACCTGTCTTCTTCAACTTCGTCGCACCGGTCGTTACACTCTTCGCGCCCGCGGCTTTGCAGACCGCCTCAATGTCAGAGAAGGATGCGTATCTCGTCTTGAGGCTTTTCGTAAAGTGAATAGCATAATCGGTGAACGGAGATTGCGGCTTTTCAAGGACATCGTCAAGCTTGATTTTCCACTCCTCTTCCTGCTTAGGTATGGATGGCTTGAAAGCGGAAACGGTGAGGAGGCGATTAGCTGACGCAGATTCGTATAGCCATTTGTCTGTGACGATGGGAATGCCGCGAGCGATGGCATAAAGTACTTTTGTTGTCTTTTGGAGATCACCGTCTCGTACGCTTTGATCGGTTAGCACAGTGACACAACCCCAAATACAGTGCAGTACTTACCATAGTACGTTGAAGTCATCAGCCAGGTTCTCCACATACGCTCCACCTTGTTTCTTCAAGAATCTGACAGCCGCACTTGTCTTCGTGATGGTGGAGTTACTGCAGGCTACACGAGAGGTCGGACCATCGTAGTCCTCTTGTGCTGTAGTGGTAGATATAGATCGTTGCGAACTCCTCTGCGATCGTGGCGGGGCGGATTGTTCGGGCTTAGCAACGTCGAGATTGCTCAGGCGGCTGTCCTCTGTGTCGCTATCGCTTGTTTTGGCGCGCTTGTTAGGTCCAGCAAATGCTTCGTTGCCAGACTTCGATGCCTCTGCCTCTGCCTCATCTGCTAGGGGCCGCGTTCGTTTCTTAGCTGATCTTGAAGGTATGTGCACTCGCGGCGAAGACGTTCTAGCATTCAGAGGCGGCTGTGTTTGCAACCGATCCTGTGACTCGCCAGTGCGGACCGTCGAGGAAGCGTCTGCTTCATGGACGTCAGCTTCATAGGAATCTGCAAGATTTCGTGTACGAGTAGCGGTTGGGGTCTCCTGGATTACAGTAGTAGATCGTTGATTCGAAAGCTGAGGGGTTGCTCGAGGTTGCGACTTTGCTACATTGATAGCGATATCTTTCATGCCATTGCCCTCGCCTTGGGCTTCTTCAGGTGTCACAGCGATTCCCATAGCGTCAGCAGCCGATGAGTTGACCTGGACCTCGGAGTCTGTCCACTGACAAGTCAGATGAGATGCAGCATTTGGAACATAAATCTGGTCGCCATGACGCAAGAATATTGCTTCTGAGCGTCCGCCGCTTTGTGGTTGCAACTCGAATCTGGCAGCCGATGGTGGACTGTTGGCGTATGCTTGGCCAGGCAAGATGCTTAATGAGGCTGTGATGGCTTCCAGTTTGACCCCACATGGCCCAGAATCTACCATAGTCAGTGGATGTCTCAAGCCTCTTCGGGGGACCTACCGATGCGACCGAGCTCGGGTATGATTGCGGGTGCCGCTATAAAGCGAACCACGCCAGGGTGATTGTCGTTGATGATATGTACTGTCCCTTTTTCTGGTAGGGGGTACTCCGAGGAGCCCGGCGCTCCCGCAGTATGTGATGAGATCAATGTCCACATCCTGGGCCGGTTGACGCGTCGTGGCGGTTGCTTGATCGCGAATGTCGAAAAATCAACGCGCGGTCACGTTTGCCGAAGGCGCAGCTGGGCTAGCGGTAACGCGCATAATAAGTGGGACTGTCTGCTGATTGGCCACCCATGCTGACCTTCCTCTTGTGCCTTTCAGCTGTTCGCCTCTGCCTCCTCTGGTCAGCATGGGTATGAATGCATACCCGTAAGCTGTGTACACAATTTGGTTGCTGTATATCTCAGCTGCTATTGGTCCCCGTTCTCACGAACACCGCCGCCCCAAAGTATCAAAGCTCAGACGGTCGAAGATGAAGAACAATAGTAAGGCACTCGCGCTATCTCATCACAACCGCATCCCACACTGCAAACAGCGCATCTAGCAGCTATCCATCTCACTATGAGCGGCCCCGCGACTCACTGTAAGACAGGAGAAGAGCGCCAGCGGCGAGCATTGGTCAAGCGTTTACAGACCGAGGCGAGTGTCCGGACGCATGCAGGTGAAGGGGCCATAGAACAATAGTAAGGGCCTCAAGTACTCCAAGACCTCATCTTCGCTTTCGCTTTGGCTAGCTATAGTTGTGAGTGGGGATATCGAAACAATCGCACGCTGCCGCTGCCGCTGCCGCTGCTATTATCCGCTCGGAATCCGAAAGCCATCACTCCCCGTCACTTTCTCTACGATCCTGTGTGTGCCACCAATCTGCAGCACGGAACTAACCTTGCCCTCTAGCTATTATAAAGTGTTGATCTGAGCGACATAGCTTCGACTTTCTTCGTTGCTGGACTCCTTCATTCCTTCTTCAACCTCCAGTGCTCTCTACCTCTCTTCCAAATTGTCACCTCCAGCCTCGACTCTGCCAAACTCGGTTTCTCTCTGGACCTGCAGCCAAACCACACCATCTTTACAATCTTCAAGACTACCACCATTACGAGTCGTTATGAGTGGCTATCTCGATTTCGTTCCACTTCCGTCCAATGTCCATGTTCCGCCCAGCTTCGAGCCGTGGAGCCAAAACTTCACCCTTATTATACCAGGCGATGAAATTGAGTGGGGAGTCGCCACGTTCAACATGAGGGATGTCAACTACTGGAGCGTGAACACCGCACGTGTTGCTACCAGTAACGGTGTAGGTCTTGGTGTATCGATCATGCTTCTGGTTGTTCTCCTCCTCTTGACCAAGGCTGAGAAGCGGAAGTCCTTCATCTTCTTTCTCAATGTTGCTTCTCTCTTCACCAACACCATCCGCTGTCTACTGCTCGCTATGTTTCTTACCAGCGGCTTCAACGACCCTTACATCTACCTGGCCGAAGATGCGGTATCCCTGACTAGGGCGGACATTGCTGGTTACGTCGCAATCAACGTCTTCAGTCTTATCGTCGCTGCACTAGTCTATGCCTCACTCAGTCTCCAAGTCTGGATCGTATGCGTCACTACACCGCCTCTACAACGCACCATCATCATGAGTGTAACTACCACCGTGGCCTGCGCTGCTTTTGGAACTAAGGTCGCTCTCGCCTACCTGAACACCAAAATGACACTGGAACATACGGATTTCGGTTCTATTACAGTACTCAATGATATTACCTCCATCATGCAAACTGTATCCATCTGGTTATTCAGTTGCGTATTCACCTGGAAATTGGGGCACGCCATCCTTCAGAGGCGCCGTCTCAACATGCCTAAATTTGGACCAATGCAGATCGTCTTCATTATGGGTTGCCAGACAATGTCTATACCAGGTTCGTCTCCCTGTGCCAAACTAGACGCTGATATTTGACTAACGTACGTGTAGCTATTTTCACCTCTCTCCAGTTCGTTGAGAGCATCCCCACTGAGGTTGTCTCCCACGTTCTCACAATCGTCTGCATCTTCCTTCCCCTCTCGGCTATGTGGGCGGGTGTTGCCCACGATCAAAACACTGCTCCCAGAGGCCAGCCACTCACGAAGAACAAGCTCCATGGCAAGTCTGCAGCCTCTACTTCGACGGAGAGTTCCACCGTCTGTGGCAATAATTGTCAGATGAGCTCTTGGTCGGATACGATGAACAACGATCATGTGAGCTCTGCCATTACTCCCACATCGCATGACCACCACACGAGCGTCGAGGACAACTGCATCCGAGTAGACCGCAAATTCGGTTTCTCGCACGAAGACGCCGCAGACCGAGTCTGATAGCGCGCAGCTGCACATATGGCCTGTATCGACTCCTTTCCAGCGCCTCGGAGATCATGCTTGATGGCAAATACTGAGTGCGTATGGGGTATTGTAATGGAGCGGCACGAGTAAATGGAGTCGGCGGAGCTCGGGAGGTGTCTAGTGCTCATGCGATCAGCAACGTATCTGGGGACTATACACGTCCTAACGTTTGTGATACCGGGGACATGATTGGAGATGATATGCATCGAAGTTGGTGGATCTCCTACGTACGGCTGCCGAGTGTTACCTTATCTATATCCTTAACCATCTTTTACTTGCTCTAGCACCTTCTCTTAGCAACAATACACTCGCTGCAAACATTCCGCTCGCAATCCTCGTTCGGATGACATGTTTTGTGTTTGCACTGGGATCAGGGTGTCGTGGCAGTATTTGGTGCAAGCATAGGCAAGGTGCCACGACGGCTATTCAATATACGTGACGCCTTGTAGAGGGCTGCAGTGACAAGCAATATCGTCGGACTCCGTGATTTAACATGCACCAATCCCTGTTATTCCCAATGCTGTACCGAAGTCTCGCGATAAGGATGCACTGCATACCTATATACGATCTACGATGATTCTATGGCAGCATCGCTCTCCGAACGTCGTGCACAATCGGGTCTGATATGATACCGGCGTTCATCGCCAGAAAAAGGTTTTTGGGGGTCTGAAGTTACGAGCAGCTTCGTATATGGCAGCCCAATGGGTCTAGCGCAGAGCCCGGAACGATACGGCTCATCTGGGCCAAGCACCCCGCGGCCGCCTGGTTTCCCTACGCCAATGATCACCCACGTCCACACGTCGCTCAGCGTCTGTTATGCGACTCATCGATGTCAGAACACTCGAGCTGAAATGGTTCCACGATGATGCTGTCCCAAAGTACGCCATCCTTTCCCATACCTGGGGCGAAGATGAGGTCAACTGCCAGGAATACCTCTGGATTAGTAGAGCTCGAGCATTGTCCGCTTCCACCAACTTAGCGTCGGCACCAACAAGTAGTCAAGATGCGCGAACTACACTGATGCTGGCTTTGGAGATGATGATTCGGGGTAGCTCAGAGATGCCTCTGGGAGGATTATCGGAGGAAAACCTCATGACGCGCGTCGGTTACAGCAAGATTGTAAACGCAGCTGAGCAGGCACAAGGTCGAGGCTGTCACTATCTGTGGGTTGACACGTGCTGCATTGACAAGACATCAAGTGCGGAGCTACAAGAAGCCATTAATTCCATGTATCGCTGGTACCGGGATGCGGAGGTCTGCATCGTCTATCTGGGCGACATTCCCAAACCACGTCCAAACGGCTATACAACCGCTTCCGAAATCGCAAGAGAATCATTGAAGTCTTCTCGGTGGACACGTCGCGGTTGGACCTTACAAGAACTGATTGCACCGGCTCTATGTCGCTTCTACTTCCAGGACTGGGCCTTGATGGGCGAAAAGGTGGAGTTCCTGGAGGAGCTATCTGACGCCACGGGTATACCAGTCCGTGTTCTCGACGACAGGAGTTCTATTAGTGAATTCTCCGTCGCAGAGAGGATGTCTTGGGCAGCACATCGGCAAAGTACTCGTGTTGAAGATGTTGCTTACTGCTTGCTCGGCCTTTTCGACATTCACATGCCCTTACTCTACGGAGAAGGCGCGAAAGCGTTTATCCGATTACAAGAAGAGATTCTAAGAACCACGGACGACTACTCACTATTCTCCTGGTGCGCAACTATATCGGAGCGATCGACGTACCGTGGTTTGCTTGCGCGCCATCCTGAGGAGTTTCAACACTGCCGTTCTATCGAACGTGAGAATGTTATCTCCACTTTCCCTATAGGCCTCACCCCTATCGGCCTACGTGTGCAGCTCGAGTTCTTACCCGATCCCAAGGACAAAAGCCGTGCCCTAGCCATGATTCGATCAAGCAACCAGCTCAACCAGCGCATAGCCATCACATTGAAATGCCTAGATGGTGGAACACAATACGCGCGTGTTGATGCTGGCTCTCTTGCTTTCATCGACGACTGGCCGACTGGAAAACTACATACCATCTACGTACGGCAGAAGCTGTCTATACCACCCGAATTCACGACTACCGAGTTCAAAAGCTTTCATATACGACGTCGAGTTTCTAGCCAAATCACGCCTACAGTTCGCATAATAAGTGTGACGCCTCGTAATTCCTGGGACGAAACCACTCACGAGCTACGTATACCAGACAATGTCACGGAATTCTGGGGGGCTGTTCTACTGCGCGTCCAATCAGCAACGTACGCGCATTCTCTAAGCTTTCCCGTCGCGTTCGGATTCAACCGATCGACGTGTCACTACTGGTGTAAAGCCATTCCGAACTTTGACCCTTCGCAGGACGGCCAGGCCAGCGGTACTTGGCCGCAAGCGGTGAAAAGGAGGATACCGGACGAGGTGTACGACCCACTGCGAGGAAATGATGCGCGGAACGACATGTTTTTGGTGGGTGATAGTGGACTGGCTATTAACGTTGGTATCAAGGCGGGGTTGTGTGGGGATAGCATCGCATTGCAGATAGACATCGATGGACTTGTTAAATGGGCATGATACCATTCGAGACCTAACCTCACTTCTAACTCTATATATGCCATCTGAGCCTTCGGCTATTCTATGTCTGTGACGATTGTGAGGCCCTCAGTGCGTTCAGTGCGTCTGCGCCTTCGGGTTAGCATTTGCAATGATCAAAACTTGGACGAGTGAACGCGATTTCGAGGGTGTTTACTCGCTTCTTATGTCGTGATGTCCCTGCCCTGTTACAGACCGCGTGTAAGGTTACATTCCCAGCCCGTCAGCCGCCGACTCTCAACGAAATAAACCGCGAGCCACATTGAACGCTTAGGAAGTGATTCTCACTGCATGCATTTCCATGCTTAGGTGGGGCTGAGTGGTTTTGCCTAAATAAAAGTAGTAATTTCCATGAGTCTTGCGGAGGTTCCCGTATTTGCACAGATAGGTCATTGCTTTTTGTAAGAGCCTTACAATCAACCAATCTCCAATTGCACTCACTAACTGCTTTCCATGAGCAGATAATAGATGTTTGTTGGTTGTCCTAAACTATGTACCGCTGTTGTCTTTCTGTGTAAGATCACCGCACCGTTTATTGGCATATTCATCAAGGGGCTAAATAACGGAGACAAGATTTGAGACAAAGGTTTAGTAGCGAATGAATGATTAATGTATCTAGAGCCTCGCAGACTTTCGTATTATTGATTGACAGATGCTGTTTGCAGGGAAGACCTTTGCAGTCAGTGTTCTACCATGGTTGCCTATATATTACCTGGCAAAAGCCATTTTCTTCTCCGCGGATGAGTACTTCTCTCCAAATGATTAGTTCGCTTGCCCCACTTGCGAGAACCAGTGATTCGGTTCGGCTGCCCTACCGTGCCCGTCCACACCCGCTAATTTTCTTCAATTCTTCCCTCGGCCTACCAATATCTCTGATAATCAGTATATATGTATTTTACATGCTCCAAAGCTCATGAATCATCTCTCGGACAGATGGCCGAGCGGTTAAGGCGCTAGCTTCAGGTGCTAGTAGAGAAATCTGCGTGGGTGTAAGTTATGCCTCCAGTCGTTTGGATAGAGGCCAATCACTAACAAGCCATCAGTCGAATCCCACTCTGTTCAACATTCTTTTTGCACATGTGATTTAGTCGAATCCTACTCCGCTCAACACCTTTTTTGCACATGTAATAGTGGCTGGGCGATGCGGTATCTTTTTGCTACTCTGGTGGGCTAGATGCGGTCCGTGCGCGCAAACCACGCGAGAGCGGGAGCGGGGCAGACACGCGATTTCACGATCCCAGGGTTCAGCCTTGGCATCGTCCCGTCTTCACATCACGCGTTGCGCCTGGGGAAGCACCAATATCATCGTGTTCTCGTCATTCTCACCCATTGCGATTTTATCACAACCACACCTTGTCCCACTGTGTTCCCCATTCGCTGCTACAGGCTGTGGGACGAAGCTCTCAGGCAAGAGCAGCTGCCCAAGCCGGCACGGGAAGGTGGACTTGGCCAGGATCGTATGCGCCTCATGCACTTGCGGCACATGCCTCCTCTAGTATGGCCTTCACAGTAACCGATAAAAACCCTTGGACGGTCTTGTTTATCGATCCTATATGCATACCGCAGTATTTCTAACAGCAGCTCGCTCGCTGAGCTCCATGAATTACTTACGCGTCGCATAGCACCAAGTCCTTTCGAGGTCGTTCAGGACGACACCCAGCTGAAGACCAGAGCTTCTTTGTCTTCGCAATGGGATCGCTGCGTGTCGCGTCGCTTTGGCGACTATGTTTATCGCTTTTATTGCTTCAATTCGCGTTTGCGACCAGCTCAATTGCTAGTAAGACAAGATCACCAGCTTCGCATGGTGAGGCTTGAGATACACGTCCTCCTCGAACACCTTTCGCTAATATGTCGCAGAAGCAGATCAACCGGTCTACGAGCCCGAAAATCAGGATGTCGTCCGCCTGCTCTCGACACCGGCCTCATTTACGTCCTTGCCCAATCCCTCCCAGACATCATCGAACGACCTCCCGACCAGCACAGCCAGCTACTCGCTCGCCGAAACCAACATTCTTCACGATCTCCACTCCGCTCTATCTACAATGCAAGACCACTACTTCTCAGTATGGCTCGGTAAATACACGACAGCGATAGATTGGACAGCAGCCGTCATGTCGACCTACGTTTCAGCTACTCTCTCGTCGCTCTCCCACTCGCTCTCCTACACAATGCCTGGCACTTTTGACAAGAGCCGGAAGATGGACGTCGAAGCACAAATGGTAGAGAATGAGATCAACAAGTACTTTGCGCAGACCACTGCGTACTACTTCGGCGAAGACCACTTTGCAATAAGGATGCAGGCATTCGATGACATGCTTTGGGTGGTATTGGGCTGGCTGGAAGCAAGCGGTTTCGTCGAAAGCCATTCCATTGGACACTATACATCTGACAAGGTTGGAGCAAAGGAATGGCATGCCAGACAGTTCGTCCCTGCCTTTGCCCACCGCGCCCGCGTCTTCTACGAATTGGCAGAGAAAGGATGGGATTGGAGGCTCTGTGGAGGTGGTATGACTTGGAACCCGCGTCTTTTGCCATACAAAAACGCCATTACGAACCAGCTGTTCATCTCGGCGAGTATCAGCATGTACTTACACTTCGCTGGGGACGAGAATTGCTCGCCATTCCTTTCGCAACATAACGAGATCGGCCTACAAAAAGATCAATTGTTCGATGACTGCGACGAGAGGCACCGTGGACGCTACGATCCCGTGTACCTTGCGAACGCAATGAATGCGTATGAGTGGCTGAAGAACATCGGTATGACGAACGACCGAGGACTTTACGTTGACGGCTTCCATATCGGAGGCTACCGCACGAATCATAGCAAGACGACATGCGACGAGCGGAACGAAATGGTTTATACCTACAATCAGGGTGTCCTTCTGTCCGGACTTCGCGGGCTATGGGAGGCTACAGGCAAGACCTCATATTTGGAAGACGGCCATGAGCTCATCAGGAACGTCGTACGTGCCACGGGCTGGAGGAAGTCTCAACCTCATCGAAGCAATGGCCCAGAAGACGAACAGGAAGCATTGCCTGCCGGCTGGGCTGGATTAGGTTCCGATGGTATTCTGACGGAATTCTGTGACCCTTCTGGGCGCTGCAGTCAAGACGGCCAAACGTTCAAAGGCATCTTCTTCCACCATTTAACGTCCTTCTGCGAGCCTCTTCCATCCCAACCAGCTAGACCAGGGAAAACACATGCGGCACCCAGAGAGTTGGCTATGTTGCACGCAAACAGCTGCAGAGAATACACCACCTGGGTCGTAAACAACGCCCAAGCTGCTCTACGAACGCGCGACCAAGAAGGGAGATTCGGAGCATGGTGGGGCGCGCCAAAGATCTCATCTCCACCCACCTCTTTCCACGACAACAGGAAATCGGCGTCTCATCCTCACCCAGTCCTTCCGGAGGACGCAATAGACTACCGCAACATCTACCCAGACCCCTATGATGGCGTATACTTGGAAGACGATCTCGAAGAGCCCTATAAGCGGTACGTCTTTGACAAGAATGACGGAGACGAAGACGAAACGACAAAGAGAAGCTCAGGCGATCTCAACGACCGAGGACGCGGACGCACCATCGAGACCCAAGGCAGCGGCCTCGCAGTCGTGCGAGCAATGTGGGAGTTCCTCCGTCGAGCAGAAGGCGCAGAAGGGTATCAGGTGTGAGTGAGATCAGCGATGGAGTTGTTACTCACTACCCATCATGATCTACACCACGAGCTCATCATGAGTTTAACCAAGTTGTTGACGTGTTTGGAATAGAAACGCTGACCCATTTCCCTTCTCACAATGGGAAAGCGATGCGATACTCTCCCGCCCCAACAGCATCGGCAGGATACAAAGAGAATGGCATGAGATTGCTGAGAAGTGGCCGCCGACAGTGAGGTAGCTACTCAGTGTCATAGAACTGTATGTGCATATGGAAGTGTGTTGTCTGACGGGAGGGGAGGCATGCTGTTTCCTGATGGGGTTGGAGCTCTTCTTGGAGGCGGAGCATTGGTGACGGGTTTGTATGCTGAAGGCACTGTTGAATAAGAGATAGTTGGATTCGGTATGGGAAAGCGGGCAGATGGTATTGGATTGTTACGGAATCAATGATTGGCGTGGGATATGCAGATTGGAAAGTAGTTTTGCAGTAGAAACAAGACCTGCGCTGGTTTAGACGCTAGTTTAGAAACCTTTTGCAAAGCTACTAGTTTCACCGTTCATTCTCTGCATCTTCACCCACGGCTAGCTTATCACTGTTGCATTCCTTTCCATGGAAAAGACATTCAGAACCTTGACTAGGACCCTCTTCCGCTCTCTTGACCTGTTCATCCTATACAGCCTTCTCCCCAACTCACATGATGCCCAGCTCCCCAAACCCTTTAAGAACCTCTTTGTCCACGCGGCTCAACCACTCTTCCTGGAACGCTTGTTCTCCACCCACCTGCTGGATGGTCTGCTGGAGATGCTCCCTAATAAACGCAACGAGATTGATCTGATGAACAGGATCGGTGTAGATAAGTTCGCGCTTGCGGACATCCTCCGGTGCCTCGGGTTCGGTAGGGTGGTAAGGTTCCGGAGGCCAGAATAGAGAACTAGAAAGAGGTATTAGTCTGAGCATACATACAGTGCTGAAGGGGTGTACGTACTCTTGACTCCGGTCATCCATGCCATCCAGCAACTCCCCGAGCACATCCGTCCAAATTCCTATCAAAGATTGCAATCTGCCCAGCATCCAAGGCTGTGCTCCTTCTAAGAAACGTGTGAGAACGAGACACATGAGTTTCTTGTTTGGCGCGTCGCCAATGTTTTCGATATGGCTGAACCACTCTTCCAATAACCAGTCTAGAGTCTTCTCCAGTCCCTCACTTGATAATGAGGAGAGGGCTTCGAGGAGTACAGAAGGTGAAGCAATGCCGATTCGTGCTAGAACAGTGAAATAGTCGGTTTCCACGACGCCATCCACGGCGTGAGAAGGGAGTTCACGGTAAGGGCCGTGGGATTGGTGGTGTGTCCATGCACCGTGAAGGCCCTCCAGGACCTTTGCTAGGAAACCGGAAGAGATCAAATCGCTAGTCAGAACCTTGACAGCGTTCTCGCCACCTACACCTTCCGCTCCTCGAATGATGCATGTAACGAGATGTGTCATTATGCCGTTGGCTTCGGGCTTCAAGTTACCCAGAAGCTCGGCGAGGGCTTGGAGGATTGCGGGGCGGAAAGAGTCTGCGAGGACGGCGGAGGGCGCAAGAAGCAGGTATGCTTCAGTGATCTCGATGGCTTTTCGCAGGGTCTCATTGTCCATGGAGAATAGAGGCAGCAAGTATTGAAGTAGGTTCAGCAGTTCCAGTGGTGTAGGTTCTGGGGCTGATGGTGTTTGTGCGATGATAGAGGCCCATAAATCCAACGCATCTTCAAGGAGGTAGACTTGAGTTTCCGAACCAGGCTCGATAGCGCTTTGAATGATGGGTAAGAAGGAAACGTGGAAAGAACGTGACTCAGCTTTCATGGCGTTCGTTAAACGAGCCAGAAGTGTGAGAATGGCTTGCTTCATGAGGTGCTCTTCACCAGACTGCTCCCACAGCGGCGGAAGGAGAGCGATGATGCTGTTGGCGTACGGAGTGATCTGCATCCTGTCAGTCCAAATACTTTAAGTCTTCCCGTCTCCGACTTACATGATGCTCTAACCTGTATACAACAAGACTAATGGTATTTAGCAGTGCCATCTTCGTTTCTGGAAGTTCCACCTCTTGTACCAGCGCCATCAGCCTATCGAGCATAAGCTGCGAGTATGGCAGGAAGGCATCTGCTTGAAACTCCCACTCATCGGCAACAGCATGAAATTTTCTGCCTGCGGTTATTCGTACCACCTGATCGTTCATTGGATCACTCTTATCGAGAAGATGCTGGAAGATCTGGTAGACGATAGGCTTTTTCTCCTTGGCCATCTTGATAGTGATCCACTGGGAGATGATGATGGCGATACGGCGACGGATGATGTTGAAACCCGGTGCTTGCTTTCCTGCCTCAACGACCAAGGTCTTCTCCAGGAAAGTGTCAAAGTCGAGCTGATCGTGCAGTATATCAGCTGCAAGTCCAACAGCTGTGTACACAGAGTCTTTGAAAAGGATGTCTTCGTTTTCCGGTGCTATGAAAGATTAGCGAGGGTCATCTTCTGCTAAAGTGAGTACTCACTCGCGACTGTATAGAAGACTTGGAGTAGAGGCTGAATGATCAAATTTTTGAAATTTTTTGCGAGGTCTAGGAACAGCTTCTCGGCACAGGGTCGGATCGCGAATTCCCAGTCCTCTGCTCCCTCTTCCATCTTCTCCCACTCGTCGGGCTCTTCCTCCCACATACGGAGGTCGCTGGGCCGGAAGACGAAGAAGCGCTGTACAAGTGCTGATATCATTTCACGGACGAGATCGTCAGTGAGCAGGTCTGTCTTGACCTTGTGCGTTGCCTGATTCTTCTCATCCTTTTCCTGCTGATGCTTGAAGCGGAAAGTCTGGGTAGGAAAGAAGACCATCTTCACGCATGCACGAATCAGCAGCAAGCCTTTCAGGCCCAGGCGCTCGATGATGGGTGCTTCATCTTCGGCATCACCATCAGTGCCGACTTTGGCGCCCTCAATAGACTTTGAGCCCCACTGCTCACCTAGTCGCGAGATGAGGCTCCAGTAGTCGCGCGCGAGCTCTATCGAGTTGGGCAAAAGAACAAAGTCGGCTGGGTGAGTCGTGGCCATGTTGAGGTGCAACTTTGAAAGCTGCATCAAGTGCCTGCCTATTTTCTTCTGAACTTCGCTCGCAAGTGGTGAGTTTTCGGGTATCACGTATTGTAGGAAATCTCCGAGATGAGTACGGGTCAGTGTCCAGAACTCTTGCACGTCCTTGTCTCTGCCCGGGAACTCGTAGCCGGCGATTATAAGTCTCCGCATAGTCTTGATAGCAAGCAGGCTGTTGTCAATGCTCTCAAGCGCACCCCCTTCGTCGTCTCCGCCGTCGCGAAAGAAGGCTTGCCATGTTTGTACCTTGTTCACATAGATTGTACCGAGTACGTTGAAGATGTCCGGCGCAACAGTCTGTAAGCTTTGCCGTGTTCGCAGCAGTCGCCCTGTCGACAGTTCCTTGACGATGTATAGTAAGACGAGAAGGGCGCGAGGGAGTTGTAAGCGGTAGGCGTTCGGATCGGTCGAGGCGCGAAGGATGTGGAGTAGTTGTTGGAATAGATCTGGCCTGGAAAGTCTTAGAGTAGGGAAGTCTATCTTGGGTTAGGACTGACCAGTCATTTGGGAACTCGAATCGGACAATCTTCGCGACGACGAGAGCATTCTGTAGCGCCAGGCGATGGTCGGCTTCGTTGACGGCGCTTTCAAGTAGACGGGCCCGTATGGTAGCTTTGTCTTCCTTGCTTACAGCACTGCTGTCATGTAAGCCTATGCATCTATGCGGCTTTATGCGGAGGCGTACTTGGTGGCTGTCTTGCGCCAGTACTTGTCGATGCCGTTCTTGAGCTGGATGACGGCGAGGTAGCGAACTTCGAGGGGGAGAGATTGGTCAAGGAACACGGTCTACTAGTGTCAGTCCGGTACAGTTCAGTGAGCTAAGATATGCATACCTGCAGCAGAGGATAGAAACCAGCGGCCTTTTCCCATTGCTGGAGTTGCTTGGTGCCCGTCTGTACTTGGGTCTGGTCTGCTGAAGACGCCGAGCGCAGAACATGGAACAAGATGCTCTCAGTCAGAGGATTCGCCTCCGCTGGGGCCTCAATGCTGAACTCTGTGTTCATACTGTGAGTGTTGACGGTAAACTATTGCGGTAGTGGGGTAGCCGCAAGTAGGTGAACTTTTGGATATGGCAGGAACAGGCAAGTCTTTGGGCGGAAGCGGCTCACGGCTCAGGCAGAATGTGAAATCTACGGAGCCTGCTCACCCAGGCTGCGATCAGGATGCGGCAAGTCTTGTTTGGAAATCTATCTTGGTGTTTGGGAAACAAATTCGAGAAGCTCCCCGCCTGACAGCTCGGACCTCCGAGACACAAGACGGGTGATTCTGGGGCACCTTGTTGGCAGTTGACATAGACTGTGCACAAGATGATCAATTGTGTGGCATCTGTCTAGCGTGTACTTGAAGATGCTCTCTCCACAGAAGCACTGTTATGGGCGTGTCGAGACATGGCCCCGGCTTGTCTGGAGAAGGCGTCGCGCGCATCGGCTACTCCCACGCCTTCCCCAGCCAACCTCGGTCCGTCGCAACTCGAGCCTCGTCTCCCCATCACACTATCACGTTCCAACCACATCTCGCGCCATCGCCCACGACGCCCGTAACATTCGCCGGCCTGCCCAGACGTCGCACCCTCCCAATGCTCCCAAATGCCCTCCGCAGACTTCGCCGCCGCCCAGCAACGCATAGCAGCCCGCCGCGCTCAACGCGCCCTTCAACAGCGCAATCACCATGAGCCGCCTCCACCAACCGCACAACGCGCCCTCTCGCGCCTCCCCTTCCCCTTCAGCACTCTCTCCTCCACTGGATTCAGCGTTTGGGACGCGATAAAAGGCCGATCGGGCACACGACCAGAGTTCCGCGTCGGCCAAGTCGATGCCGAACTCCTCGATGAGGAACTCCTTACCCTGATGAAGGATCAAGTCGGCGAGGGCTTGAAATACTTCGGGAGCCATATCACAGATCATTACTCAGCCGAGATATTGCTGGCATTGAGAGCTGTGTTGTGGAAACTGAGCATTTGGGATCAGAATGCAAGTTACGGCGCGCACCTACAGGGGCTGAGGTATATGGATGCACGGAGTAGTGCGCCGAATCGCCCGCCACCCAAGCCGTGGCAGAAAATCGCATACGGGGCTGTCACAGTCGGAGGGCGGTATGCGTGGACAAAGTGGGAAGAGTATCTTCTATCCGCCTCAGAAGACTACACCCGACCCGAGAGCGCAAGACTAAAAGTCCTGGGACGCTTGAGCGAACTGGCAGGAAACGCGCACGATGTCCTTGGTCTCGCCAGTTTCCTTGTCTTCCTCGTCGACGGCCGGTATAGAACCATAACTGATCGCCTCCTCCGTCTACGCCTGACACCAACCTCGCACTCAACATCACGCGAAGTCAGTTTCGAGTACCTCAACCGCCAACTCGTATGGCACGCCTTCACCGAGTTCCTCCTCTTCCTCCTCCCACTCGTCGGCATCTCGCGCTGGCGCCGCATCCTAAGCCGCACATTCAAGAAGCTGCGAACGACCGTCCTCTCGCTACTCGGCCGCTCGAAACCTGCCAACGACGAAGACGACGAGGAGAGCAAAGCAGCCGGCGAACTAGGTTTCCTGCCCGAACGTACCTGCGCAATCTGCTACCGCGACCAAAACCCCACAACCACCACCGAAGCCGACATCCTCACCTCGTCGGCTGGCGGCGGCGGTGTCGTCGGCTCCGCAACAACCGACATCACCAACCCCTACGAAACCATCCCATGCGGCTGCATATACTGCTTCGCCTGCATCGCGCAACGCATCGCAAATGAAGAAGGAGAAGGCTGGACGTGTCTGCGCTGCGGCGAGACAGTCAAGGAATGCCGGCCCTGGAACGGCGATGTCATCGAAGAACAACCTCGTCGCGTTGAGCATACCGAAGTGCACGAGCGACCCAGTACAGCCAAGTCTGTTGGTTTCGCTACTGGTCACAATGATCGTGGCGATGAGCTTGATGAGAAGGCGCTGCTAAGGGAAGTCGACCCCATGCCAGAGCAGGAAGACGGCGCAGATACAACGCAAGAAGACGAGGAGGGTATAATGGGCACGACTCACACGCGCGGTCTGGATCTCGGAGAATCGTTGTTTACCGAGAGTTCAGAGTGGGCGCGTGCTAGCGAAGATCGAAGCAGCGACGAGGAGCAGAGTGAGGCGTACACTGAAGATAGTGAAGAGGAAGAAGAGGGCGAGGAGTCTGGGTTTTATGACCGACGATAAGGCTTGGGAGGGTTAGTTTGGTTAGGCTGGACTGTTGTATAATTACTGGATGCGTTGAATTGCAAGATACCCTGATTTCTCAAGCTTGGTTTGTTCCATTGTGCTATGCTACCAAGTGTCATTGAGCTATCGTGAGACCAGTCCATCGTGATTTGATTTATCCGTTTGGTGAGGTGATGGCTCATGAATAGATATCACATGAATAGTTATCACATACAAAGCCAGAGTCTCGCGCCGCAACGCCTTGATTGATGCGGTCCGTGTAGCATCTGTCGGCTCTTGCCCTTGCGCTGGCCTCAAGGCTCCCCAGCATAAATGCCAACGTGCATGGTCGCAACTTGGCCTTCTCTCGTTATACACAGCAAACCACCTATTGTGTCATCATGTCCGCATGAAATCCGCAAACCTCGGCAGAGCTGCCATCTTCTCCTCGGGACTTGTCGTCTCGGCGAAGAAGATAAGGCGCTGGTTCTTGTCCTTTTTGCTCTTCTTCTCTTCCTTTGGCGCTGCTTCCTTGGTCACCTCGTTGATCAGATCGTCGACAGAGTTGGATATGTCGCCGTTCTGACCGGGCGGGTAGGCACCCGGTGGTGGAGCGCCGAAACCAGGTCGAGGAGGTAACGCGCCTGGTTGGCCGGGTATGCTGCCAGGCCGCGGGGGCATGCCGCCGTTGGCGGGCGAGAAAGGTTGTGGGACGCCTTGGGGAGGATATGCTGGCGCACCGGGTGGGAAAGCCACGGGAGCGCCAGGGGGTGGTACGCCGTATGGTGTCTGAGCAACTGGTGGTGTCTATGAATGCGTTAGCCCTATAGCCTCTCTGTTCAGACCTTCGAATACATACAGCAGTCTGCACTGGCTCCACTGGTGCGGGTAGAACGCCGTTCTTTCGATCTTCCCTGAACTGGGCCGCTCTCTTCTCAATCTCCTCTAGACTCTCGTTGATCTTCGGCCTCTTGTTCGGTGCAGCTTGGCCATTGACGTACGCTCCACGCATGGGATTTCCGGTAATACGTGCGCGCTCTTGCTCCTCGGCGAAATGTGCTTGTGTGACTTGCTGGTTGTGCTGGTCTATTATCTCGGCCGGGACACCTTCCATACCGAAAATCTCCAGCTCGAGACCTTGGCGGCCGGGGTTGGCGTTTTCAACGTGAGTGAGCGTCTCCTTGTGGACCTGGTTCATATGCACGGAGAGACCTGAGAAGCTGTCAGCATGGCCTGCCCAGTATGCGGATTCGATTGCGCTGTTGCGTACCTCCGGCAGTATTTAACCGTCTTCCACAGCGGTCGCATTTGAAATGTTTGGCCTTTTGGTGAGAGATGAGAATCTTAAGGTCGTCGAAGTCGCGCTCGCAGTAGTAACACCATGGTCGCTGCAGACGTCAGTATGGATGATGTATGCGATTTGGGTGCGAATGTCGTACCTCAAGCTTCTGGTTCAAATCCGGATATCTTCTGCGTTTCTTCGTCATCTTTGCGATTGGTAGGAGGGAAGTGGGGAAGGCGTGTTCGCGATCGCGGTCGGTCGAAGTGAAGCTCAGGGCTCGCGCGATTCCTCGAGAGCTAGCCTAGCGCGGTGGTCCATGCGGCGAACATCTCAACTTTTCTTCCCTGGCCGCCGTCTTCACTCACAACATCACTACGACAAACAACATCAGCCTCTAATGTGAGGACGAAACCATGTCGCTATGTCATTCTGCATAGATCCATCCATCATAGGACGCAACCCGCACACCAGCCACTTGAGTCTTCGACACTTTTACGAGTCCCTTCGGGGAGCATCCCACAGCTTTGCGTCTTGCTCAGCTGTGGTGTTTGCGGCTGTACTTCAGTACGTGCATTCTTCGTCTGACGAAGTTCGTTGCAAGAACAAATAAAAAGGTCCTTCATAGTTCACACTTCCTCGCTCTTCGGAGAAATCCTACGAAGAGTGTGACTCCTTGGCTACCTACATATCTGCTTGCTCCACCAGAGCCATCAAACTGAAGTTGGGGTTCTGTTCTTCGCTTGCCATCATACCACGAATGACACTGAGACATTTCTCGGAGAGGACGTCCTCATCTGCTGTGAGCGTCCCAAGGTCTATAGGACTCTTGCGATCGCCGTCAAATTGGTACAGATGGCTGTCCTTGGCTGATTTGACAAAGGCGATGTAGTGGTAGTCCACCTCGTCTTCCGCGTTGAGGGGCGCTTCAGTATCTCCCTTTATTGCTACTCCACCATATGCCCGTTCAAGCCCATCGTCTTTCTCCAATGCCTTCGCCAGCTCGTCCGAATTGCGTGTCAGACTGGAGTTCAATAATTGAGCAATGATTGAGTCACTTTCTGACCGGTGTTAGTGGTGTTTTCGATTAGGGGCATGGCATTCATACCGATCTTCTGCCGTGCCTCGCCGTTACAGACAGCATGCAAGATCGCATAGAGACCGCATGCGTTATTGATAGTCTGTTTGAAGAATATCACATCGCCAGTACCTCCATAAGCTTGGAGTTCCCCAAGCTTAGTGTCTTCGTCTTGGACTCTCTTCTCATAGTCGTCTGTCGTCGGAAACACCAGGATCAACGCAAAGGCTGGTCGCGGAAGAAAGCCAAGTAGCTCTGGATCGTCTAAACAGAGCACATCCTCGAAAACCAATGAGGCAGATAGACCGAGCTTATGCGCAAGCTCGGTGAAGACGTCTGGATTTGACTCGAGAGGGATGAAATGTTTGTTATATGCCGGTATACATTCTGCAGCTGCAGTGGTCATTGCTGATCGACTTGTTGATGTGGTTTCCTTGCGTTCAGGTCAGATGCACTTGCTACTTGAGAGTCGAAGCAGCCCAGGTGAGCGCCTGCTTCGTTGGCTGCCGCACTAACCGCATTCAGGTCAGTGTACAGTAAGCTTCCAGCCCTGGAGTTGTACACAAAAACGTAATCCAGTGGTGCAACTATCTTGCTGTATCACTGATACCGTTTTGTTTCTGTCAGCAACGTACTACCACATCCAAAAGTATACTTTTGACTGACCTAATACTATTCTGCTTACTCGGTGCGGATCTTCCACAGTGAATAAATTTTACGTCTACGGCTATGCTCTTTTGTCAATTGGGATGGTTTGCTTTTATCTTCATGATAGCGGACGTGAGTAATTGCCAATGCGTTGAGAACAGCTGTTCACTGCGGTGCCGTACACGAGCCCACGATCTCATGGCTGCCGTTGTGCGTGGCAAGACTGACATCTCAATGGAGTGATGTCCGATCTGTCGAACAGTGGCTGTGTCGTACATGCATGTGTTTACCGCCGTTGTGGTGAAACCGCTTGCGGCACCCGAGCAACAGCGGCTGTTGATCTCCGAGTAAGAGCGACTGCGAAAACTTCAGGATGACTGGTCCGCGATAGACCACCAACCTCTATTGGCGACCGAATCACGAGACAGTCTTGGTCAGTTGACGCTGTGCATTTGGGGACAAGATCGACGACGGATAGGAAATAACAAGACATAGTAAGTTGACCATAGAGCTTCGTATTATAACTGATTAATGCGCCCCTTGCGATCCTGTAAGCCAAAAGGAAGGACCAGCCAAACAGCAAGCAAGACGCTCAGTCATAGGTCAAATTCATATAAGCCAAGCAGCTCATCAAATATCAGCGCGGCCATCAGGGCACCCTGCCACGCGAGCAACTGCATTCACGGGGCAATCAGCAGCGGCCTCACATCTGGGAGAATTGCCTTTGAAATCTCGCCCCCAGCACCAATGTCCAGCACACGAACACTGACGCATGTATCAGTCAATTAAGCATCTGGCGTCTTGGAGGGATTAGGACGAAACTGACTTTCTTCCAGCAATAGCCTTGCGTTGCAGCCAAATTCTTCCGTGACGCAATTTCCTGACGACGAAACATGAAATGGGAAGGGGGATTACGCGATGTTGATCGTGATGCTGAGCTGCTGCTGTGGGAGGAGCGAAAGTGATTTGTCAGTGCTTGCGAGAACGTGGGGTGGCAGACTACTTGTATGGTGGGTGTGCAGTCCCACTAGAAGGAAGCCGAAGAAAGTGTTTCTCACGGCGAGTGATGTTGTGGTTGTGAGTGAGGGATGGATACAGAGCGAGAAGACTTCAAGAGTGGGAGCAGGCAAGTTATACTATGTTTCGCGTGCTACGAGTTTCTTCTAGCCTTACGTAGACCAGTGGCTTCGTGATTCTCGTGGTGCAGGCGCCTCATGGTATGAGGCGAGCTACTCCGACTCCGTGAAGCCATGAGGTCTCATAATGCTGGGAAGTGACTACTAGCTGGAACCGGGAGCCGGCCATATGAGACGTGTTGAAGTAGAGGGCTTGAGCACATGCCCATGCGCGGTCGACCATAGGTGATCTCTACTTGAAGGGCGTCATGTCATACATGTAGACCGACAGCGTCGTACCTATTAGCACTGGAGCGACGAGACAGTGTGGTCACATATTTGTCAAACATAGGCAAGATGGTCTGTAGACGGATTAGTCCAGGCCATTGTATGTCGTAGTAGTTGCGCACTTACAGTGATCAAGTCAAAGCCCGACCTACCCCACACAGAGGTAAGCCGGTGAGCTAGTATTGCGAGACAGCTCCAAATGGCAAGCGCAGCAGATGCTGAGCTTCTTGAACCATAGCCCTCTGTCCTCCATGGTGCGTACGAGAGCTTCTTTAACCAAACGAGCGGCTTGAATGCCACTTCCGCCTAGGAACTACTCGTCGTCCATGTCGTCCCCGTCGCGTCCAGGACTCCTGCTCCTGGCCCTTCCTGCCCCGCGTCCGCTTTGGCGCCTGTCGTGGTCGCGCGCCCGGCCTTTGCTAGCTGGCGGTGGTCGTACAAATGCGAAGTCGACGGTAACCTTCTGCTCGAGGAGTTCTTCGCCGTTGGCGCCCTTGATAGCGGCGTTCGCTTCTTCCAAAGTGGCATACTCGATAAGCACGTAGCCCTGTGTGGTGTCAGTCCTCCATCGCTCTTTCCCTCCTCGTCATAACCACCATTTTCAGGCGCGTACCTTGACATAACCCGTCCTCCTGTCCAAATTCATATGCAGATTCTTAATCGTACCAAACTCGCCAAACATGTCCTGGAGATCCTCCTCAGTACATTCCTCGTGCACGTTGGTGACAATGATGATCCAGCCTTCGATGGAGCGCACAGCTGTCGCGCCGGCCTGGGTGCGCGCGTCGTTGCTGTCGCTCGGCTTGGCGTCAGTCGCGGGAACGTCGGGCTGGTCAATGTCCATGGTTTCTGTGGTGTCGGCCATGGCTGCGGAATGTAATTGGTCGGCGGGTGGTGTAGAGTGGGTATCGTGGTGAGGGACGGGTAGGCGTTGTTGAGCTTTCGGCGTCGCCAAATGTTTCCGTAGTCGAGGCGGTTCGCGCTAGTGGAAGAGCGGCTCCATCCCAAGGTACGCGACCCAAGTTCGACCCTCTCCCATCGCACCTGCCCTTTGTCTAGCCCCAAGTCCGACGCTTACATGCAGTGTCTGCTTCCTGCATACATCATGGCTGATGTCTCCACCCCTCACGGCACAGCCGGAAAGAAGCAGATAAAGGAGCCATCGTCCAGCCATTCTTCTCTAGCAGTGAGCTAGGTCCAGCTACACCCCCGCCGACGTCACTCCAACTGTTATATGACACGCCGTTGACCCGCGCCATTCATCATGCTCCAGTTTCTCGACAATCTCGTACACTACGCCGATCCGACTCTCCCGTCCTTCTCCTCCCTCACATACTTGTACATTGTTATCCTAGCGTCTTCGCTTTTGATATCTTTTCGCTCGCGACAAGAAGAGGACACCCTCAACTAACATCATGTCCAAGTTCACAAATGTATGTCTACTTCTTCATGTGATTCCTAACAAGGCTGATCATGTTAGATCGCCATGATTGGATGCGGAAGCATGGGCGGTGGAATGGCTCTGCTTTTTGCTGAGGATGGTGTCCATGTTTCGCTTTCAGACCCTTCCGAGAAGGCAATGGATGCAGTCATCGAGAAATCTGAGAAGCAAGGCTACAAGGGAAAAGTCCAGAAGTACAATGGTAGGTGAAAATCTCGAATGCTGCTGCACTCCAAGACTAATACAGTAACAGACTACGATTCTCTCTGCAAATCACTCTCTACTCCACGCTTACTCGTCTTCTCTCTTCCACATGGCGGCGTCGGCGACAAAGTCCTTGAAGGTCTGGAGCCACATCTCTCCCGCGACGACATCATCCTAGACTGCGGAAACGAACACTTCCAGAACACCGAGCGGCGCCAGGAGAAGTGCAAGGGCACTGGCATCCGGTACATTGGCTGCGGTGTCAGCGGTGGATACCAGGCTGCGAGAGCCGGGCCTTCCATGTGTCCTGGTGGTGATATCTCTGCGCTCAAAGAAGTCCTTCCATTGCTAGAAAAGGTCGCCGCCAAGGACAAGAACGAGAAACCTTGCGTAGGCGTCATTGGAAAGGGTGGAGCAGGACATTACGTAAAAATGATGCACAATGGTATCGAGCATGGCATGATGAGCGCTATCTGTGAGGCCTGGGGCATCATGCGAAAGATGGGTATGGACTATGAGGAGATTGGCGAAGTTCTCTCTCGGTGGAACTCAGAAGGCGAGTTGGTATGTTCACAACTCAAGACCTGGGGAGTTTACTGTACTGACTAGTGACCAGCGCGGCACTTTCCTCGTTTCCATTGGCGCAGATCTATCCCACAAACGTGACTCAGCCAATAAGCCCAGCAAAACAGACCGGAAAGATACTCAATTACCCCCTCTTGTCATATCGGAAGTGCTCGACAAGGTTGTGCAGGACGTGACTGGCGAAGAAGGTACTGGTGTCTGGAGCAATACTGAGGCCATTGAGCGTCACGTCCCGGCTTTCACTCTCAACATATCCCACGCATTCCGCCTTGCATCCGCCTTCCGCGGTGATCGTGAGCAAGCCAGCAAAGCCGCTGACGGAGGCTTCCCTCCTAGTCAACTGGACATTACGGATAAGAAGGCATTCCTCGAAGATCTCAGAAAGGCAACATATGCGTCGTGCCTCGCAAGCTACATCCAAGGCATGAACGTCATTGCCAAAGCAGACCAAGAGAACCAGTGGGAAATCGATTACTCACAAGTATGGCAGATCTGGCGCGGTGGATGCATCATCCAAGCAGACTATATCTCCGATGAGATTCTTGCGCCGATCCTCAAACCCAACCCATCTCCGGAAACCCTGAACTTGAACTTCTCGACTCGCGTGGCTAAGGACGTGAAAAACTGCTTCCCTGCGCTTCGTCGCATAGTCGCCAAGGCTGTAGAGACCGACCAAGTCGTACCTGCCATCAGTGCTACCCTGGAGTATTTCAAGGTTGCTAGCGGCACTGACCTGCCCACGTCGTTCTACGAAGCTGAGCTTGACTACTTTGGTAGCCACATGTTCGACAAGAAGGGTGATACAGACGCGAATGTCAAGAAGCCAATGGAAGGTAAGCATCACTTTGAGTGGAAGCCTGCAACGAGCCAGAAAGAGGTGTATGGCAAGAATTACAAGATATAAAGTAGTCGGGTTGAGCGTTCCTCTTCATGATTGTAGAATAGCGTAAATTTATGGAAATAGCGAAGCATTCAATTCTACATCCATACAAATGTTAGTAAGAGATGGAGCGCAATACTCCTTTACAGAAGTCGCTAATGTAACAGTTCGACGATAACGAAATCCGTATCGTAAGGAAAGGGGTTTCCTGTCCTAAGTTGAAATGACGTTATTTCCGCCACCTGTACGAGCTCCACCGCATCCCCTCCGCTCCCACTAGCCAGCATGACGTACCCTCTCCCAAAACCATCATCTTCTTCGTACAACGATTCGGAACCTACGGCTCTACCAGCCTCGTATCCCGCTCAAAATAGCGACCATGTTAAAGGGATCGGCAGTTTACACACCGCACGAGTGGTCGCCGTGGCTGCGCCGGGAGATCTGCACGAGCCCATGGCAGGGATGATTCGCAGAACAATCTTCCGACACCAGCACTTTTGTGGAGAAAGGTGACGCTGCATGGTATGATGCGATATGAGATGGTGGGAGCTTTTTAGTATCGGTCCGCTTCGGTAGACACATTGCTATAATAAGTAGCGTTGAAGGAGGAGGTATATAACCTATCTCACATCACCTCACCGAGCGAATCCCATCTTGCGTATACAACCAAATCACAATAATTTCTACATCCTCACCGGACCTCACGCATTACAAACTACAACATCTACATAACAATCCACCAAAATGCGTTTCTCCACCCTCACAACAACCCTCACGTCGCTGTCCCTCGCCTCCGGCCGCCTCATCGGCATCGCCGCGCCATCCACCCTCGCCCCAAACAGCACCTTCACGCTCACCCTCCTCTCAGAAGGCTATATCCAATCCGTCGCCGACGTAGCCGTCGCATGGGGTTTCTCGCTCGCTCCCGGCTTCCCCGGCACCCTTGGTTCCTTCACGCAATCCGCGTACCTCGGTCCTGAGAAGAGTAACCAGGGGCAGGAAAACGTTACTATTACCGCGACGGTACCGGCGGGGCTGGCGATGGATGCGTACCAGGGCAAGGATATTTTGTTGAACGCGGGGATCTATTCGTTGTATGGGGCTAGTGGGGGTGCGACGGTTACGGGGTTTAACGTTACGGTTCGGGTTGGCGAGAGTACGGGCGGAGAGGTTGTGGAAAGTGAGGGTCAGGCCTGGATTCAGAATACTGTGCAGTAGGGTGTCTGGAGAAAGTAAAGAGAGATGGGAGGTCGAGCATGTTCATCTGGCATGTCAGGCGACTGATAAGCCAATGATTTTAATCACACTAGTTTCCAATGGCCTCAGCATAACGCGCATCTTGCATCTCATGGCATTCAAACAGATGTTTGCAAAGAATCGAAATTCTATTGATAGTTATGGACCGAAGCTACTGTGACCTATTCGCTAAGCGTCTAGGTCATATCTAGCGACAAGGATCAGTCCATCGACTTGGAGCGAGGGTTTTCCAAGCTCAGCGCAACTCGGTGTGTTCCTTCTGGTTCTCGAACTCTGCGTATTGTTAGCGGATAGATTAGACAAGCTTGTTGCATCTACAAAGACTTACCCTCGAGCCAGTCAACAACAAAGTTCTTCAGGAACTGCTGCGCGTAGACGACCTGCGGTGGTGGCAGATCAGGAGTTGTCTGGTTCTCGAAGATACCATTCTCCTCCCAGTGGTGCACACCGTGGCTGATTAGATGCCACGGGCGTTCGGTCGTGCTGTTCCTGCTATCGGGGTACCACAATGGGGTTGCCGGCCTCCACGGATCCGCGTTACCTCCGAGGTGGGCGAGACGCTCGTAGTCGATGCTGTAGTTTCCGTACTTGTTGACACGCTCAATCTCCGGAGGGTGCTCGATGCCGAATTGTGCGCGGCAGAAGAAGGTCAGGTACTCTACATCAAGAGTACGTGAGATGAGAGGCATGATGTCAGCGGGTGTGTTTCCGGTTTGGATGTAACCCCACTCCGTGCAGACTTGGTAGCTCCAGCTCACAGCGCCGTAGTCTTCGATAGAAGTGTATTGCTGGAGCGCAGTAACGTTGAGCTGGGTGAAGTACGAGTCCTGGGTCCTATTCGAACGGCGCCATCCAGAGAGAGCTGTGCTGTTAAGCCAAGCAATAGCGTTGAGAGTGATGTTCTGGACGGCGGTATCGTTGGCATAGCCAGCCGCGGAAACAAGTTCTGCAACAGCTGGGCGTAGGTTCTCGCCTGCAGGCTCTTCTGCGGTGATGTTCTGGCAGTAGTTGAACCAAGAGGGCGAGTTCTCCTCAGGGTCCCAGTTTGTGCTTTGCAGACCGTACACACCAGTGATCTGGCCAGCGAAATCACGGTTGTCGGTAACACCGCCCATGCCAAAGACATCCTTGAGTGCTTGAACCTTGGAGGTGTCATTCTGGCGGATAAGAATGCCATCAACAACGTCAATCAGAAGCTGCGTATTCTTCATGCAGTCTGGAGGTCCGTATAGCCTGGCTGGTTCAAAGTACTGCCAGTAATCGTAGATTGCGACAGTCACACCAGAGGAAGAGATTGCGCCCCAGAAAGTCTCTGGGTATACAACTCGCAAGAATGCAGCCTGAGCTCCAGCATATGAACCACCGTAAACGACCCATGGGGTGTTCGGCGCAGTCAAATCCGCATCAATGCCTTCGAATTGCACATTCCGGGCAAAGTAATCAGCCTCGGCAAGCGCTTGCTCAGTCGACAAGAACCGCATGTTCTTAGTCGTCAGATCGGGAACTGGGAAAGATTTGCCATAGTAACGGTGCTCAAGAATGACACCGAGACCATTGGTAGCCTTGATGACCTGGTGAACAATTCCCTTCTGGAGGAAAGTGAGGCGACCCTCTCCGTCGGTTTCTCCGCCAAGAAGAACAAAGACAGGTCCGCCAGGTTTGTAGTACGTGTCGTCAAACCAGTACCTCAAGTTGAAAGACTCGTTGCTATGAGGCTCATACCGTGTCTCGTTGTGGAAGAAGTCGACTGGTACAGAGATGTTGTACTCGGGGTATAGCAACGTGGGGTCGGTGTCTTCGCGCTTGGTCAGGCTGCGTCGCGTCCGTGCAGCTTGGACCTGATATAGTGTCAGCTTTAATCACTTACCACTGTCTCATTTCCCGGGTGTGAAATAACCGCCGCATGTTGATGTTTCATGCTGAGAAATCTCTCGAGCACATTGCAGCAGGGTATGATAACATCGAATGCAGAGAGACGCCATCGCTACACCCACGCCATGAGCAAAAGAAAGGGCACTCACTTGCTCTTCCCTCTCCACCGCATTTCTGGGCGAGAGCTTGAGCGCAGAAGCAGCCTGGAGGCCGCCTAGGATCGCTGCGACAGCAATTGAGAAACGCATGATACCGGTGGAACGATGCGAAGTCGCTAGCAACGGCGCAAGACGGGCAGCCCTCGACTATATATCTGCCCCAACACGCTGGAACGAAGAATTATGACGACGGTGATAGCTACCCGGTCATTTCATATCATAGACGCGAGAGATCACCATGTTTAGGGAAGGTGGATAAAGTAGTGCGCCCGTGCTAGTGCAAGTACGATGCTCGAAGAAGCAGGAGATACGGTGATCGGCACTTGCTGGGCCGTTGACAGTGGCGGACAGCAAGCTTTTCTGGCTCGGGTGCTTGGTTGGAGGCCTAGTAGCGTCATGTAGGATGCGACTGACTGCCTTACGTGCTGTAATGCGCGCTCGAAGCTGTGTTTTGTGCTGAGCATGACGCGGTCAAGCCTTGCTGGGACGTATCGTGATGTTGCGAGGTTGGGCGAGGCGGCCCCGCCTTGCCATCGGCTCAGTGGCCAATCGGCTGTACTTGAACCCTATTTCCTGCATTATGGCAATCGCCTTGTGCACCCTCATTTGCTTTTGAACTTTGCGCATGCGTTCATCACGGTTGTTTCCTTGTCGAGCGGCAGCATCCAAATCATTGGAACAGGTGAGATCAGTCAGCCAATCGAAGTCGGAACTTGGTGCAGAGATTGCTCATAGAGTTTGATGCATAACATTCAGTATAACGAACTATCCGACGTCACATGTACGCTACCCAGCTCAACTATTCAGTCTCTTTACTTTGTAACCTCCTCAATGTGCGACACCGACCCTTCCTTCTCTCCACGTGCAATACCCTGCTCTTTAACGTCCATCAACGCAGCCTCGCCAACATCGACAGCATCGTCGCCATCGAAGAACTTGGCGATTTCCTCCATGGGCGTGTACCTGGTTTCCACAATACAGAAGTAGATGACGCCAATCTCAAAAGCCAGGAAGACACAGTAGCAGATGTAGTACTTCCACGCAAGTGCGTCGAGCGCAATGCCGTTGACAAATTGGTTGAAGAAGAGAGCTGCTGTAACGCAGAAGTTGAGCCATGTGAATCCCTTAGCGCGAAGACCATATGGCAGGATTTCGGTAGTGTATCCAGCCATGATACCGGATTTGATGTCGTAGAAGATACCATAGAAGAACTGCATGTCAAGGTCAGCACAGCGTTCTTGATTGGTCCAAAAGTAGAGGAGTGGTAGGTAAAACTTACAATACTGACAATAAACCCTTTGCCGAGAGGGGCCCGAGGCTCAATGTCGTATCGGGCAGAAATGATAGTGAAGATGTTGAACATGACGAACGTTCCGATCGTGGAGATAAGGTAGATTGGACGTCGACCAAGCTTGTCAACCAAGAAGGCGAAGAGGAAGTTTTCACACAGCGCCAAAGTCTTCATACCACCGTTGATTCCAAGTTGTGTTTGGGGATCCGTGAGGCCGACGTTGTCCATCACGTACTTCAGGTAATACGAGATAAGACCATTGCCGCTCCATTGGCTGAAGAAACCAATAGCAGTGATGATGATAATCCTCTTGCGGTTGCCTTTGGTCTTCAGGAAGTCAGACCAGTTGGTTCGGTCTTGCTCTTTGTCGACAGCAATGGCAGCGCGCACTTCGGCGTATTCAAGCTGAACAAACTCGTCGTTCTCGTCTCCTTCGCCGTGCCAGCGGGCGAACATGGCCAAGGCTTCTTCATGGCGGTCTTTGTTGCACAGCCAACGTGGAGACTCAGGCATGAAGAAGATGAAGCCGAGGATGATAAGGGAGCAGATCGACTGCAGAAGAGACGGAAGACGCCATGACCAGTCGCTCTGTAAGGTATCAGGGTTACATGTTCATGAAGGGGGTACGGTGGGATGCAGAAGGGTGCGGTGTCAACATACCTTTAGCTGGAGTGTTCCATATGTCACCCAAGATGCGATGAAGGCGCCAGAGTGGTAGCTCGCACCCGAAAGTGTGACCAAGATAGCACGATCTTGTGGATGAGCAATCTCTGCGATCAACAACGGCGCGGACCCAAGAACGATAGTGTCTCCAAAACCCAAGATGAGTCTGGCAGCAATGAACATGCCGATGTTCTGCGCTCCAGTCTGGATTGCAACGGCTACCAACATGATAACGCAGCCAATCGCCACACCGATTTTTCTGCCCTTCCAATCAATGAGATAGGGAGTAAAGAAGAGACCGATGAGCGAGCCGAGGGACATGGATGAGTTGAAAAAGCCGAGCATAGCCCCACGAGGCTCCCCGAAGTAGTCTTGCCAGTAGGTCAAGGACTGAAGACCATTCATCATGGATCCATCGAAGCCATTGGCAGTGTTCGTCAGAATGAGAACAACGATGTAGATGTAGAGTCTGCGCAGGTTGGCTCGCTTCCACCATGCCACCCTTGGGTAGGCACGGCCAGCGAAGAAGAAGTGTCCTTTCGGCGGCTTGATAGGGACAGCGCTCTGCGTGGTCTTGGGGGGACGGAAAGAGACCATCTTGGAAGGTAGACGTTGCTGTTGTGGAGAAAGACAATGGAGCTGCCGCTGCAACAACAAGACTGAGACTGCATGTGTCACTGGTCCATATATACCCTCAACACCGCGCCACGTCCAGTATCTTTGATACATAGAAAGCTAGCTACTGAGATCTTACCCATCTTCCCGGGCACGCTTCAATAGCCAAAATTGGCTTCGGGACGAAGCCAAGCAGGATGAATACGCACATCTGCCTGACCTTGTCCCGCAGTCAAGCGCTCCTTTCTCGTTTTGTGTACTCATGCCTCGCGCCACCAAGGCGCTGCGGTCTTGATAGTTCTAGGCAGACCAAAATGAGGCCGAAGTGAATCAGTCTGGAGGCATGCGACTAAGCCCTTAGTCGAATGCGGGGAAACCAACTAGTCGTGCGAGCAGCCCCATGGGGTTCTACCGGCTAAAGATGAACCTTATCAGGCCTTTTGAATGAGGTTGGTTATGAGACAGTGAGTATTGCCGCTCTGTATTGCCGGTGTCTTGCTGCCAATGCTCGGAATGTGGGGCTGTTCGCGGCTGCTATACCCAACGCCGTTAGTAGATGGTGTTCTGATTGGATCCTCGTGTCCGATCAGATGGAAGCCCAGCAAACTCCCAGACACTTCGTGGCTTGCGCGACTACCAGCGCTACCAAGAGCGCGTCTAGACACCACAGCTTCGGGAATTGCCAGACTTCACACTCGACTGTCATTTGTCCTGGGGTCGTTCCTTCGACCTGGGTCCTGGACCCTTTCACTGCGACATGTCGATCATGTTCACGACATACTGATGAGTCTTCAATCATACAAACCCCTCTAGAGATGTCGAACGTACCTCGGCAAACAGACCTTTCTACTAATGCGTATCCATACCACTAGATACCTTCGTAGAAGAAATTCTGCATTCCAAGGCTTGTGACATGCACCCTTTGACGGAAGCGTGACATGTTACTGACAAGAGACGGCGCAGTTGGGCCAAGGATCATTCACGCGACCATCGTGCGCATTTACCCGGCGGGCATATGTTCGTTGTGCCAACCGCACGACTTCCAGCATGTTATACGCCTTCGCGCGCACCAAGAATAGTCTATGATCCTACTTCCTGGGTAGATAACTTGATTCGTATCTCAGACCATCTTTTGGAGTAGCGCCACCACCAACATGGTAGACAGTCCGATAACTAATCCTATCATTGGGGGCTTTGCTCCAGACCCCTCGCTGATCCTCGTCGATGGCACATACTTCCTCGTCAACTCAACGTTCCATCTGTTCCCTGGTCTGCCAATCTATACATCACATGATCTCATTCACTGGCACCAGATCGGCAATGCGATCAACCGACGTGAACAAATGAGCTTCTCCAAGTCCTCTACCCTGATCCACGGTCTTGACAACGAGGATCACCTCTACGCAACAGGCGGTCTCTACGCGCCGACGATACGGTTTCATAATGGCACCTTCTATATCGTGTGCACGAATGTGGTGAATGACGGGAAAGAGGGCAAGGAAAGTACGCTGCAGAACTTCATCATCTCCACCACGGACATCCACGCCAGTAAATGGAGCGACCCCGTCTACTTCGACTTCTACGGCATCGACCCCAGTCTATTCTTCGACCCAACCACCGGGAAGGCGTATCTCTGCGGTTCCAAGTCTCCAGGTCCGGAAACCAAAATCACGCTTTTCGAAATCGACGTCAATACCGGAAAGAGATTGAGCGAGGAAAGACAGCTGTGGCACGGTACCGGTGGCATTTACCCTGAGGGCCCACATATATACTTCCGAAATGGGCTCTACTACCTGATGATTGCAGAGGGAGGTACGCATGAGGGGCACAGCGTCACCATGGCGCGAAGCAAAAGTCTCGAAGGCCCGTGGGAGGCATCGCCCAAGAACCCTATATTGAGCGCTGCGGGAACAAGTGAGTACATACAGGCCACTGGTCATTGCGAGGCTTTCGAAGATAAAGAAGGGCAATGGTGGGGTGTTTGTCTTGGTATCAGAATGGGTGCTCCCAACTTATACGGCCTTGGACGCGAGACATTCCTCACAAGAGGAACATGGAGTGATGATGGCTGGCTCAGTTTCGATCGCGCGAAGGTTAACATCGAAAATTTGAGCGTTGTACCGGATTCATCGAGAAGACTTACCGCCGCTCCTGGCGTTGACTTCCTCTATATTCACTATCCCGTGCTGTCTCGCTATAAGATTCGCGACCGGCAAATTACGCTCACCGCTTCTCCGGACGGTCTGAACTCTGCCAATGCTTCGCCCTCATTTGTTGGTAAGCGTCAACGACGTTTGGAGGGCACAAGTAGCGCTACCCTTCTACCCCCTGCGCACACTTCCACCCCGATCACCGCAGGACTGGCCGTCTACAAAGATGAACATCGCTTCTTCTCCTTATCATACACGACCTCGTCCAACGCGTCATCCCCTACCATCCAATTCCACATCTTCAATAAAGCAAAGAGCATCGATCGCCAAGACAGCGCCAACCTAGACACCGCACCCCAAACTCTGCAGCTCACGTTCGAGTATTCAGAGACCAAATACAAGCTGTCCTATCGCGCCGACAGTGGAGAGGTTAAGGAGTTTGCCCAAGTATCCACAATGGACCTGAGCGACAAAGATTTCGTAGGACCGATTGTCGGTATATTCGCGGAGGGGAGTGGGGAGATTGACTTCCACGATTTTGTGATAGACAGCGCATCATCGCAGCGGGCCGTTTGAAAGTGGGTGGCGAACGTATAAACCGTGCGCTGCACGAACTCTAATGGGGACTGTCGGTGAGAAGTCCCCACGAACTGATCTACACATCGTGCATTATCGTGGGCGAGACCCCACGATCAGCATGGGGTACGGATAGAGACGAACGATGTGCTATCGCGGAGTGTCCACGGTATGGTCTACTGCAGTAATGAACTATGAAGCTATGTTCACGGTTTTGGTTCTCGTCTCTTGCATTACCAGACTTCATATCATTATATTGTACACGTGCTGCAATCTGGTCTGCCGCTGGATGTTCTCATTCTCCTTGCGCGGTAGGTTTGCCAGGTCCCAACACTTTCCCCTGCAACACTTTTCGAAGATTGCCCGGTGGCTCCAGGTAGTAAAGTAGTGGCTATCACCGACGCTGAGACGGGCGACTGCGACTGCTCTTGTTAGAGCATGGCGCCAGGTCTTCCCAGGATGCGCTGCATCTTTCATATGATTGCGTCTGGAACCCAACCGTCTTCTTGATGCGATGTATGGCGATGCTGAGGCGACTCTCGACTCAGGTTCGGGTAATCTTGAAATCCTTGGATATTTGTATAGCATCGAATGGGAGCGGCTCCGGCGCAGTGAGTTTTCGTTCCGAACTCGCGTCGTCGCCCGTAACGGTGATGTTTGTTTGATCCTTGTCGTGCTGCGTTTGATTAGTCTTGTCTCCCGTATCGGAACGTATTGCATCAGACTCACCAACTCCATCCACTGGGTGTAGTGCCCAGGCCTTGGTTGCTGGTGCGACCCCAGTCCTCCAGTGTTCGACCTCTTGATCGCACTGAGATTGTGGCTTCCTGATTGACTCTTGTACGTCTTACGCCACTGGAGGTAAAAGGGACGCAACATGGGGATATTGATACAGAGACCAGCCAGCATGAGCTCGACGGTGCAAAGCATGAATGTTGTGCCAGATGTACCAGTGAGGTTGTTGATGAGATCTGCAAACTGTCAGTCGTGTTTCTCGCCCTCGTCAGATCGACAGTACTTACCGACGGTGAAAATGAGAACGAAGCGCGCAATACTGATAACCACGCAGGCCAAACCCAAACCGAAACAAGCCAACACGGCAAACTTTTCCGTCTTTCGCATTTGCAACTGCCATACACAACGGATTGGGATGACTACGATCATGAGATCGGTCGCCATGTTTGTCAGAATCAGACACTTGAGCAGCAAGATCTGATCCATGCAGTGTCCAACTCGTTGAAGGGTCCATTGTTGGGAGATGGGGTCGCAGAGGAATATAAAGACGAAGTTGAAGATGACAGCCCATGCAATGACTATGCCGGCAGTGATGTAGACTGCAAGGCGTAATTGCAGTTGGAAGACACGGTGGTAGAGGGCCAATTGGGATAGCTTGAGAGCCGCGAGACACCAGATGTAGATCAAAGTGAAGGCAAAGGTTATCTGCATGACAACCGGGAGGTTGTTCATCACTATTAGGTGGTTAGTTCACCATCTCCACCAGATACAATAGCCTCTAGAGCAGACTTACGCTTGGGAAATTTGTCAGAGGTTGGGTCAAGGTCGTAACCAACTCCAATTGTGAAGACTGCTTGATGTCAACATAGGTTCTTTCTATTTACGAGGTTGCTGCATACCGAAAGCATTCAGACCGATAGTACTTGTCGATAGGAGCAGCGCAACACCGGCGAAAATGTCATCCAGTGCGAGTCCAGGTCCACGCATGCGTCCATAGAATCGAAGGGCAACAGTTGCAGCGAAGAGCAGCCACAGACATGACATCGCTATCATGGAGTCGCGGCCGCTCCTGGCCATCGCTATATCGATCGTTTCCACCATCCTGACCTGCGGAGGCAAGACCCTGATCCGAAGCAATCACTCGATGCCGGAGAGATGCAAAGTAATGAACGGAGTACTAAAAGAGTGGGTCCTGTCGTGGGAACTGGAGAAAAGGAAAGAACGAAGAGATGAAGTCGGGGCGATGAGTCGGGGCAACAGTGTATTGTTAAAACCTGATCCATGCCTCCCGTCTCCTGTCCTTCGTCAAAACTGCTTTGGCTTTCGTAATGATGGCATACCCGTTGGGTTAGCGGGCCTAGCCCGGCGGACCGAAAGCAATTCCTTGCCTTTCAACGTTCAACAGTGGAGATCGTAAGGATCATTGCTACAAACGTTGGCCGAACACCTGAACTATTCCCTCCGGATGTGCGTTCGCGTTCCCCGGATACGCATGCAGTAATGTCAACCTGTGCGAGATGACGATCGTAAGGAAGCCCCATCAATCTTGAGTAATCATGCAGCTTGAGTCGTAACGAAGATACTGACTTGAGGCTTCAAGAGAATTGGCAACGTGCCGGCAGAGTATCGCCGACAGTGAAACAGTCTAGACCAGGTATTGACCCACAGCGCCAAGGGCCATTGCCGGGCGCCTCATCCGCTTGCCGTTATGACAGGCCGCATGCCGCAACTTTCCGACTCGAGGGGTCATTGGCTGCATGAATAAGCAGGGGATAAGCAGGAGACATCATGTTCGTCTCCACACGTGTGGGCAGGGTTCATGACTGGCCTGAGTCGTATTCTGCCTAAGGCAGGAGGCCTGGCGACCAAAATTCTCGAAAACAAATAGAAGAATGCAGGTTCCCCGATCTTGTCGACAGCCCTATCCCAGATCCCCGGGTACCCAGACCTAAATGCGCCATCGGCGCGCGTATATCGGCGAAGTTGTCCCTTTCTTATCCTCATGGGTCTGATAGTGAAGAATTTTGAGTTCCAATCCAGCTTAACTAAAAGAGACAGTATTCCCGCTGTGGAGAATGCGCATCTCCACTTGAGCGTGTTAACTTCCTTTCCACGTGGCGCTATGGTCCCTCAGGGTCTTGGGGCACCAATGGTCTCGTTGCTGAATGAAAACCTAGTGGAGTCGATACGGGGCATCTTCGGCGCTGCACATGCGATGCTCGTTTTATCGCCAGGTGCGGACGCACTGCAAAAGCCAGCGATTGGAAGGAGAAGGGATCGACCCTGTTGAGCTATCAGTCGCCTAGAGACACCATTCTGGTATATACCATTGCCCTCGCTGAAACATCGCCATGCAATCACGTTCTCCCCTTTGTGCAGTTGTGCCTCGACAGACTGCCAAATTTCCCCAAAATGGACGACCATTCGGGCCTTTCCCAGGGCTCCAAGTCAGTTTTCTCACTCGCGATGGTGGCTTGGCTCGTCCTGCTCTGGGTCGGCTATAGGATTGCCATTGCATTATACAACATTTCGCCCTTCCATCCACTCGCCAAATTCCCTGGCCCGAAGATCGCAGCTGCAACCTACCTGTACGAAGCGTACCACGACTGGTGGCTCGGAGGACGCTATGGAAAAGTCATCGCCCGCATGCATGAGCAATATGGACCCATCGTACGCATAAACCCAGACGAACTACACTGCTCCGACCCTGCCTTCACGGATGAGATTTATGCCGGTCCTGGACGTCCACGCGACAAGTGGCAGCATCAATTGAACACTGGAGGAGCTGGACCTGTTTCGGTAACTGGATTTTCGACTGTCGACCATGATCTCCACCGTGCCCGCAAGGCTCCATTGAGCAAGTTCTTTTCGCGCCAACAGATGTTGAAACTCGAAGGCGAAGTGCATGAATTTGCCGTAATGACGGCAGACAAGATGCTCACTTATGCCGGCAAGACTGCTTTCGATGTCAAGGAAGCGTTCAACTGCTATACTGCCGATGTCATCTCTCAGTACGCATTCGGTGAGCCCATGGGCTTTGTCGCACAGGAAGGTTGGGAGCCGAACTTCGCGACTTGGGTCAAGTCGTTTTTCAAGAGTGCGTATATGATGCGCCACAACGCCTTGGGTCGTAAGATGGCTCAGGTCCTTCCATTCATGGCCGATTACCTTGGTGAAGATATTAAGGCTGTCATGCGAGTCATGAACGTAACGATTCCTCAGTACATCAGCCAGGCTTTGAAGAACCCAGAGAATGGACGTGTTTTCGCCGAGGTCATGGGCAAAAACAAGACCATGTCAGAGGAAGAGAAGTTCCGCTACAACGGTGAAGGCTTCAACTTCTTGCTTGCTGGTACCGAAACTACTGCTGTAAGTACTCGTCGAATGTTATCATCAACGAACCAGAGCTAATAGGACCCGCAGGCTATTCTTACTGTATTCACATACTGGAATCTTGCAAAGCCGGAGATTTACCAGAGACTGATGGCGGATCTCTCTGCCGCCGGCATCAACACACAGACTGTGAAGTGGGTTGAGCTGGAGAAGGTACCTTACTTCTGGGCTGTTTTGCAAGAATGTCTACGTACGATGCCCGGCGTGTCTCATCGATCAGCAAGAATTGCGCGCCAGGAGGACTTGCACTACGTTTCGGCCGATGGCAAGTCTGATTGGGTGATTCCAAGGGGTACACCTATTGGCATGACGTCCATGATCAATCACTGGAACAGGGAGCTTTTCCCCGACCCGGACGAGTTCCTTCCCGAGCGTTGGCTGTTGGAGGATGGATCGCAAAACTATGCGCTCCAGAAGAAGCTGATTGCGTTCGGAAAAGGAAGCCGCAGCTGCATTGGCGAGCAACTGGCGTACTGTGAGCTGTACATCATGGGCGCGTACATGTGCCTCAATGTTCTTCCGAGGGCGAAGCTTGTGGACACCGTAAAGGAGGACATTTCGTACGACCACGACTTGATTGTTGCGCAAACGACGAAGGGTTCCATTTCGGTTAAAATCGCCATCGAGTAGGTCGGCCACGGCGAGAACAAGGAGGCTGTGAGTAGATAGGAGACTAGCAATAATACCCGTTCAACCGTCATGGCATGCGATGGGCCGAGCCGAGCTGGCGCGTGATGTGTGGGCGCTGCGCGCGTTAGTGTTGGTAGCACAAGCTGACGCGTGTCGGAAGCTCGAAAGACCATTCCAATGCTTGGCAAAACGCGACTCGTAATTCCGCCCCGACATCTACAGGCTGATTCAGTATCTCATGTCGAATGCGTTGTCCGCGCGCCAGTTGCCTCTGTAGTCTGTATCCGCAACCTTCATCTGACACATGTCTCCAGTGCGATTGCGTCTTTGAAACTTGTGAAGCTGGTGGTGCCATTGACATCCGATATCACTGCCGACATCGCGCGGCTTTGATGGAAATCACACCACCTGGGCACTCACTCGCGTGCGGCTGACTCTCTCTCAGTGATTGCGGCCGCGACGCGACTTCTTCAACTACCCTCTTGCGCAGTAGTCGCCTATCTAATGCAGCAGCGACGTGTATGCCGCTATCTGCCGTACAGCCGAGCGTGGTTGTTGTCTCTTCAGGACAAGCGAGAAACATCGCCCACAATGCAAGCGAGCGGACAGGTCGTAGCATAGCTAAGGGGAGCCTAGATGCCGAGGCGTCCAGTATGCATTTCGATGGTGATGAGCGCACATGATTGTTCCAAGGTTGGGTCAAGTCTCCATGATCCTGGAATTCGTGGATGATGTGGTCGCACGCGCCCCACATGTGGGAGGAGCGTAGCAATTGCTTCACCTTACCTAGGTATCACCGGCACTGGGCGCTCTTTATCCGGCATCATCACCTCATGGGACTACGAATCTGAACATTGTCTTGTTGTCGCTTACCGTGCTTTCACTTAGAAGTCTCAGCGCTAAGCGTGACTTTACTGTGCAGACGATGAGCCATTTTCTCGCAGACTACCCCAACTTCGGCAACGCTACATCTCTTGACAAGTCTGACCCGGTAGACCCTGAGACCAATCATGGCCATGTTTCAGGGAATACCTGTAAAAAAAACCGTGCTAGGCCTTCCACTGTGATCCGTAGAAAAGCGTGAAGTGGTTGGCGACGATTTTGTGAGGACGGTATCTATGTAGGTAGTTCCGAGGAGTTCGCAGACCTTTGTGCCTGGAGAAAGCGAAAGCACGCCCGCTAGCGGATGTCGGTGCGCATTGCCCCGCTCAGCGATTTTGTGAGAAGCGGCTTAACCAGTAGCTATGTAGTACCCATTTGGCAATCGGCAACCTTGGAAGTGGCATTGACAGCGTCCGTATGGTGGAGCGAATCCACGTGAAGCATTCGCCAAGCATCGTGCTCTCCGAACAAGCTTTCGCGCACTTGCTTATTAGGTTGTAGTCTGCCATGGCATATGTACAACATGGCACATAGGCTTTACCTGGGTACTATACGGGACGTTCTATCCGCCATCTTCTGTCGTCTTCTTCGCAAGAATCATTCCGAACCTGTTAACCTATTCTGTTTGGCGGTTCCTGTTCCGACGGCGCTTCCAAACTTCTCACTGTCATCTAGCGCTCGGGGACACCGCTTTTTGATGGCTGTCGCCTTCGCTTCCACCGCGCACATTGCACTTTCAGCCCTGCAGACGAGTATTGATGGGTGACATGTGAAAGGGCAAGAGCGACACGCGGCACTCGCCCCTCGATGCTCCAGTCGGCAGCACTGATCTGCAATGACCTGGATATCAGCACGTAGCTTCAACCTACCATAAATCCAAGTCCATCGGAGAGGCTGGCCTATGACGTGTTGTGCGGCATTTTAGTCAAAGACGGGCGGTTTCGAGAAGAGTGACATTTACACAGCCCCCTTCTTGGCAGGTCGAAATCCAGACGGTGGTCGCCGCTAACTACACGGCCAGCGGACCTCAAAATGCTCGCGCACTCTCTTTGACCCACGAAATTTCATCTTTTAGGGTCTTGCATCCCTCGAGTCTCAATGGTTCAGGATGTCTTCTCGCTGCACAACATCGTCGGCCGCGACGAGACAGCATTTCCGTTTTCCCTCAAGGACTACCAGAAATATGTATTTGGTGACGACCGACTAGCGCATCGCTTGGGCACGGACCTAGCTCGAGCCTTCATTCCCACCATCTCGAACCCTACAGACGACTTCGCAGTTGCCGTGCTATCCGAAAAAGTCCCCACGGCCACGCATAGCCTGCGCAATCACTTTGTGGCTTACCTGAACCGGCATCTCATAGCGAATAATGCAACTCCGGCCCTCAAAATCGACTTTCACGATGCGGGGGCGAATGCACATGCGCGGAACGGTCCGGACTGCAAGAAAAAAAGCTCATATCACATCGATGTTGAACGAGTGGGGAGCAGGACTCTAATCGTACTGGCTGAAATCCGGACAAGCCAAGAACGCGAGGACCGGATACGATCATCGTTCGGGGAGCGTGGCATAACGACTGTTTTCGCCTATCTTGCATCCCTGAGCGGCTCCGCAACGACTGCGGCGATCTCGTCCTTCTTGTCTCAAGTCGTCAGCCCATCTATGAGAGACATCGAGGACATTGCGCATGCCACCAAATTCGTCATGAATGAATGCTTTGTTCAATTCGTACTGGGGAGGGAGTATGCAGAGTTCTGCAAATTCATAAGACGACAAGACGATTACTTCGCGAGGGAGTTGTTAGATCATGCTATCGGTGGTCATTACTACAACCATGAGGATTACGAACATAATGTACAGTTTCTGATATGGGAGACCGAGGCGCGGGAAAGTGTTTAATGACGGAATTTTGTGCGGTAACACGGCAATGGCGAATGGCGACGGACTTTACGAGCGAGCGAGCGAGCGACGGCGATGTTAGCGTTTCCTCCAACATTTTCGTACATCCTCTTATATACCCATATACTGGTCCACGCTTTCACTTCTTGTATCGTCAGGTCCATCCTCAGCCTTACGAAACCGCGTTGTCGTAGCATGCCCCCACATCCATCAAACTCATATTTGAGCAACACGTACACGCTTGAATCTTTCCAGAACCCGAAGCGCGTTTCTTTGAGCCATTATCGTGGGTCTGCATTGTTGTGTGCGCTCTTTCAGATCTGGAGACGTTGGAAGTCATTCTTTGTCCGCCCCTTACTCTACTTCAAACAAACATCGCAAGCACATCTGCTCAGGCTTCACAGCTCAAACATCTTCACTAAACTTACGAACCCTAGCACGACGTCTGCGAAGAATCAAGAGCCATGCCGTTACAATTATATAATTACACACACAGCAAAATGAGCTCAAGCCAGCAAAGACTAGGAAGCATCAGCCATTCTCGGAACCTGCCTTTCTTAGATAAACCATGTTACTATGATACCGACAATTCACCGAGTCAGATTACTGCGAGCACAAGCCGCGGTTGGAGACAGGAGAGCGAATCTCTGACCTCAATGTCGCAGTGCGAGAACGCACCCGAAGATAGCCAACAATTTCTGGTGCAATATTTCAAATCGTATTCGGTAAGGATTTTTCCACAACCCGAACATCTAGAGTCGCATCGCTAACCAGTATCAGCTCCACATCCTAGTAGCCATAATCGTCACACTGTTCCTCTTCGAAATCGCCGTTCGCCTACCCTTCCTCCTCGCACTCACCTTCGCAATCCCCTACGTCCACATGATGCTCACACCAGAGAAGCCCACACTGCACAACAACACGTATGAAAGCGACTCAGAGGAAGCTCTTTACCGTCGCTCATCCATCAACGTAGTCATCCCCGGCGAACCTGTTTGCCAGTACAAAGTTCCAAGAACGTGCACCCCAGGAGGCGACGTCACATTTCCCGGATTAACGTTCTTCTTGCCATCGACATGGTTTCCAAGCGCGATAGACTCCGTCGACCGACCCAAAAGAGTACGCTTACATACCACGTACCGCGAGTCGGCATATCAACCCAGACGTACATTTCGTGAGGCGTTGGGAGACACGGGACCCAGGCTATTGAAGAAGTGGGGTGCATTCGCTCTTGAAACTTTGTGCTTCCAGATCACTTCCCGTATTATGATGCATATCTCACAGGCTGCATACGAAACGATGTCTGGCAAAGACGTCGATGACAACTTCGTGCACATTTACGTCATGAGCGTTTTGCGCTTCTACAAAGACTGGACTGTGGGATTGAGCTCTATCGCTTGGTGGGTCGTGAAGAGGACTGTTGGGAAGATATTGTTGTCGCTGGGGAAAGAGACTGTGATGGCAACGTTAGAGTATAAAGATTCGAACACAGTGCAGTTTTGAAAGGAGCTGGGGTCGGAAAAAGATGCAATGAAGTATGAAGGTACGAAGATTATTGTGTGAAGTATTAGGCGGGAGGTTTTTGTTACCGAGAATTTGGCATCAATAGGCACAGTGTGTGATTGAAGACTGGCGTTTGGGTCATACAGTATTGGTGCTTCATAACGCTACCAGTCAACATTGAGCGTTAAAATATCATGTCTCTATGATAATTTTTCTCAATGTGATTTCCTTCAATCATTACCGTATGCACGCAACTTCACGCACATTGTTACTGCTGTGTTCTTTCTTTGCTTAGCTTCATAGCTAACAATAGCCATGTCATCATTGATATATGTAAATTCACTGACACTTCGCCATATGAAGAGACTTTGCTGTCAAGATTCGAGTACATTATTTACGTAGCCCCAGTGCCTCCCTTCGATATTGCCAATTTTGCCGAATACTCCATACTTGCAAGAAGCATGAAACTAGTCATCCTAGCCCCAGCAACAACGCTGTTTACCACAGCCTCCGCACACTCATGGCTGCACTGCACCAACCACAACAATACGGGTATAAAAGCTGAGATGGCAGCCGCAGCTATTGAAAACCCACTGGCGCCGGTTGATCCACTGTAAGTACTCCGTACCCAATCACATATACAAATAAAGAGAACGGGATAGCTAACCCTCCCACAGCATGCCTTGGTTCGCAAACTTATGCCACGGCTGGCCGCGCGCAAAGCAGAATCCAGGCGACTGGATAAACGAAGGCATAGAATGTGCGTATATCCCTCTTCCTCCTCCCGTCTATACTCCCCACTAACAACCTCCAGATTTATGGGACCTCCCAGCCGCAGCCTCGCGATCCGACACGCATGTCTGCCACCCTCGCCAACGTGCGCCAGTCCAATACCTAACTCCCACGATCCCGCAAGAGCCTGGTGGAAAGCCACCCACTCACACTGCGCCGGCCCCCATGGCAACTGCTGCAGCTGGATCGTCCATAACACTCATGTTTGGCGGCAACGGGCACAGCCGGGGTAATTTCGGCGGCGTGGAAAAGGGCAATCCGGGAAGGGTCGCCGTGTACTGGGCTGGTAGCAAAGAGAAGGAAATTGTGGACGTGAAGGAATTGACGAAGGAGAATCTTATTCAGGACAACGGGTTTAGTGAGGAGAGCTTTGCGTATCCGGCGGATTGGAAGGTTACGGCGCCGCCGGCGCTGCAGGATAAGGGAAATTGGCAGACGGTGCATTTGTAAGTCCTCTTTTCTTCGTTGGTACTGTCTTGTTAGTAGTGGGAAAGGTGTGCCTGAAGGTGGTCCTTTTGCTAATGTGTTGCCACAGGCCAGAGTGTATGGAGAAGGGCCGACATATGATGGTCTGGGTGTGGAGTTTTGACGGTGCGAACAAGTATAGCACATGTTTTGATGTCATGATTGAGTGAGAAAGAGACGAACGCGGGGCGAATGACATCCGACTGGTAACATACAGCCTGGCGCTGTGCGTCTCATTACCATCAATGCTTTGCTTCTCTTTTCCCACTCGCTGTGCCTGCTTCTCCCCTCGCGTGTGCAGTCGCATTGCTGTGCTCGACTAATTTCAGCGGACGGTATTCTGCTTCCCACATCTGCTCTCTGATCCACTCCTCCAAATCTGCATCGCTACTTGGTATGTCCTTCTCTTGGGCCAAATCATCTTCCACGGCCTTCTTGATCACATTCTTTGCTATCTGAACGCTGATGTCGCGCACATCTTCGACGTCTGGTAGGAGGCCGGCTCCACGGTTGTTCAGAGCGGGAGCGGCCGAGGCAAGGGCTTGGACGGCTGCAACGAGGAGAGCGGGAGTCATAAGGCGGGTTCGGGAGAGGACAGCGCCGAGGCCGATGCCAGGGAACGTTACAGAATTGTTGCATTCGGCTTGTAGTGGTCAGCGGCATCATCAGGAAAAGACTTTCATAGACTTACAGATATCGTATTCCTTGCCATTGTGCTTGACTGGCGGAAAGGGCGAACCGGTCGCTACAAGCGCTTTGCCGTCGGTCCAGTCGAACAAATCCTGGGGTTTAGCTTCGTGAAGTTTGGTTGGGTTTGATAGTGGGAATATGACAGGGCGCTCGACGTGCTTCGCCATCTCTCGAACGACATCTTCTGAGAAAGACCCTGGCTTGGTCGAGGTACCGATGAGAACGTGTGGCTTCACCTCCTTGATGACGGACAGGAGATCGCCATGCTGTTTACCTTCCCACTCCTTATCCTCTCGCGCAAAAGGAAGTTGAGCTGGGGTGAGCTGATCCTTCTTGCCTTGTAAAAGGAGACCAGGCTTATCAACGCACCTAGATGGAGGTCAGCGTGGGTTCGTCGGCTAAGGATGTGAAGCAGCATACCAAATTTGGCGCCCGGCTTCTCCCCTCGACTTTCCGGTGTTCTGGACGATAGCATCTTGGATCTGGTCTGCAATTCCCGTGCCTGCCGATCCCGAGCCAAACATGACAAAGCGAGCTTCTTCCCATTTGGTCCCGCTCACTTTGAAAGCTGCCATGATGGCTGCCAGCGTTACGCAGCCGGTGCCTTGTACATCATCGTTAAAACATGCGATCTCAGGTGTGTATTTGTCCAGAATCCTTCGCGCGTTGTTCAATCCGAAATCCTCGAAGTGGATGTAGGCTTTGGGGTAGTGTTTTCTCGCAGCCCGTACGAACTTGTCGACAAATTCATCGTATCGCTCGCCGTATACTCGCTCCTTTCGCATGCCAAGATAAAGCTCGTCGTTGAGAAGGTCTTTGTTCTACTTTTGTTAGCCATGTGCATCTAATTGGGGTTTCTCTACTGACATCGGTGCCGCAGTCAAGGACCACAGGCAGCGTTCGCGAAGGATGTATACCTGCGCACAGAGTGTAGATGACGAGCTTCGCTATGCTGATGAGGATGGCCCCTACACCTTGGTCGCCAATGCCAAGTATCTGCTGTCCGTCGCTTACGACTATCAGATCGATGTCGTCGGAATTTCCCCATTGCTTGATATCGTCCTCGACGCGATCTGCGTCGTCGATGTTGAGGAAACAACCTTCAGGTCGCCGGAAGATCTTGGAGTAGTCGGCAATCGCCTCACCCTCAGTGGGGGTGTAGATGACCGAAAACATCTCCTTGAGGTGGTCGAGGATGAGCTGCAGTCGTCAGCCATGCCATGCCATGACCGACACCATCAATCGCCGCATACCCTGTAGTACAAGACTTCGTTCTGCTCCTTCAGACTCGTCATGAAGGTGTTCTTGGCGAGGTCATTCGGTCGGGAGGAGTACTGAGCATATGCGCGCTTGACCTGCTCGTCGAGGGTCTGAACGTTGGTGGGAAGGAGACCATGTAGCTTGAAGGTATCGCGCTCTTCTTTGGTGAAAGCTGAGCCCTTGTTGAAGTAGGGCGTTCGTAGAAGCGCATTGCCCTACACGGTGTGTTAGCTGTATGGCTGCTTGGGTGCGTGTGCATGTCATACAGTCAGGCTGGTTTCCTGCGGTCCAGATGTCGATAGAGGCAAATGGCCAAAATTGGTGTTCTTTTGCTGCTTGGTATCAGTCGACATGTTTGCGATATGTCTGCTGCAAGCGATGCGCGCAACTCGAGAGATGTGACTGGGTGATCGCTGGAATGCGGGCAGTGCAGAGGGCGACGATTTGAGCCAGAGGCGCATACAATATTAGCAGAGGCTACAAGTTAGTTTCATAGAAATCACAGCCTCATATTGAACGTCGTCTGTCGTCCTCGCTGGCTGCGACAGCCTGTTGACAAGGACGTTGCGCGTCGCGGTTTCGGCATGATGACGTCGATGTGAAGCTACCAGGTGTGGGACCCTGGAGCGCAGAAGCTAGACCGTTCAGACGTTTTTGTTGCATTGACAAGGCACGCCGCTTAACGAGTCCAATGGACATGGGCATGCTGAAGCACCTCAAAGGAGGCAGTGAAATCGCGAAGTTTGCCTAGGTGGTGACGAAATTACCCCGGACGGCTGTCTTCGTGCACGCGGCACGTTTTGGCACCTGGGCAGTCACGGGCAACCACCACTCCCTTTACTTCCTATTCGACTTGACCCCGCAGCGAACACCAATGCAACGGCGTGATTATCCCTCTCTCGAAGATTTAGTCGACTGACACTATCTCCATCTCCATACAGAATTTCGTCCAAAGCCGACAAGTCACCCGATCCGGATTACTTGCTCCAGGATCTGCTTTGTTCGTCTACTTTCTTCAACGTGTTTTGATGAGTCTTGCTCTCGTAGAGTTACATCCGCTCTTCATGTCTTTCCATGCGTATGAGTCATGTTCTTCATCTTGAATTACGTTGGGTCCGTCCCGTGAATGGTGTCCATGTAAAGTCGCGCCCGTCGACTGCACTGCCTGCCGTCTTTATTGCACTTTAACAGTCTCGTATGCTTCTTTGCCGAAGGTAAAGCTATAACACCTTAGTGTCAGCTCACGATACATTCGTTGAATTGCTTCACATTGTCAGAGCAGGCGCGATGGGGAGGACTAAGCAAGAGCTTGGAAATCATAGGAACCCTTAGAGCATTCTCGAAGTCGCTCCTCGAGCGGGTCTGTATGGCAAATGAGGGAGTTTACAGCATGAATCCAGCACGATGGAGAATACGGCGACGGCTCTGGGCCGGCCTTTCCAAGAGCGATGCGTGGCAGGCCCATCGCAGTCTGGAAGGTGCAACCGCACAGTCGCCTCCTGTCGTGAGCACGTAAATCCTCCACTCGATGAGAATAACAGCCACTAGCGATCCAGAAGATTGTAAAAACCCAAGCCCAACAAGCTCACGGCGGGCGTGCTTGCTGTATGAGGTTTCCACGCTAGCTACCCGCATCCTGGAGAAGCAGTCGCACACAGTACATAATCCACCGTTCCTACTCCTTGCTGATTTCGCATCTTGCTTTCGATCACAGTCATCAACTGCTTCAAACTTCCCAACACAATCAGTACATTAGCCTCCATTACCTCCAGCAACCAAAACCGAGTCGCAACTATGAAGGCTACCACCATCATCGCCGCTCTTCTTTTCGGAGCCACCATGGCCGCCCCTGGAGCTGTAAGTTCTTCCTTTATGTACCGCCGTTTTGTCTGAGACTGTATTGATCATCACTTCCCAAAGTTCTCGCTCAAGCGCTCCTTCATCGAGGCCGACACTAGCGTCGATAGCGGCAATGCCGCAGACGCCGGTACTCTCACAGCCTGTGTCGAGTGTCCATGCAACGTAGACTCTCTCCTCTGCTAGCTATCGCAGAACAAACGATACTGTACCTGGCTGATAAGTATGCGTCTAGGGTTTCTTCGGTGGCTGCACATGTGTCATCAACGGCTGCTGTCTCAAGAAGAACTGCACTTGGCCTCGTGCTTAGGGGGCTCAAACACCACACGACCGGGATGGACTTGCACCAAGTGAGGGTTTCTTGTGTTCAAGTATGTGAATGGACAAGGAATGGGTGTATAACTTGACGGCAAACGACAGCATTCAGGAATTGTATGTAATTGTCTCAGATTCATGGCTAGGTAGTGACAATGCTTGAGACCCAATCATGAAGATCGTTCTACATTTGGTGTACACTCGTCTCGTAACCATGGGGTGATGCAAATAGCAGTAACCACCAAAGAATTCAAGACGAAATGCTGCCTGACGCCATCGTGAAAAGAAGTGACAGCTAGCGAAGCATTTTATACGCTATTCCTCACTCTTATCTTTCCGCTGAGCCTCCACTGCGCTCTACCCGATGATGAGACTACTTCGAATAGTTCCTAGCAACACCTCGAGAATAACGACTGATTCATCTGCATTATTGCTTACCATGGTCGACACTGTTTTCGCGCAGGATGCGGCTCGTGGGCGAAGGCAATCATCGTTATCATTCGTCTCGAGCTTCCGGCATACTATGTAGCAAAGTTCGTGCACTGAGGTTTACGGAAGTCGTGGTGAACTCGGGACGAAGTCGATAAGCTGTCTCGAATACTTGATTCTTGTCGCCGATTTCTCGCGGTGAAGCTGGAAAATTGTCTCACATACTCTGCCCTTCACTTTGTTCGACTCTTGTCGCAGCTTTGTCGTGGTGAACACGGTGAACTGTCTCGCATACTCTACGATTTCACTTCCTTAAATCCTCGTTGCAGCTTTGAAAAATTCCTCTCACCGACCGCGCAACAATTTATGACCCAGCCAGTGCAATGCCCACAATGAACGCCCCGACACTCCCCGTTGATCCGCAATGGTTTGCGCAGACTCTCACACCCTACCTGCGCTACGCTTTCAAGCACGTGCTGCATGGCGATCTCGACATCGCGGCATACGTACAACGAGCGCTCGATTTCTCTAGCTACCAGCCCGTAAGTTCCCTCATTTGTTTACTGTGACCGCCGCCGGGGTGCTGATCTGTTTCAGAAATCCTCTATGGACGGCGACGATCTTCTCTTTGAGCGCATCTTCTTCGCGATTGAACGTAGGCATCGAGGTCTCCCAGCCGAGCTCAATGGACTCACGGATAACCTGCAGCCTCTGGCGAGGTTTCTCATCCGGCGGGCGCAGCTAAAGGGACCCTACGACTTGCTGCATCGCCACACCCAGCCTAGTGAAGCATGGAAGAAGTACGAGAGTGTACGGCTCATGCAGATTGCGGTCAAAAACACCAGAGGTATGTACGTGCTTTCACCAGATCTGCTACCACACAGTCGCAAGCACAACGCTCTGCACCCCCTTAAAGCCCTACATCCCACCTTCACTGTTCACAATCCTGCTCGATAACCTCGGTAATATCGTATATACATTCTCGCCTCCTCTACGCTGTCCAGATTTCAACTGCTACATAGGCTGTACACTCTCTTCCGCATCGGAACTTTTGCTTACTTGTGGATACTTACACGCATATCAGTGCCAAACTATTCCCTTTCATCTGTGGATAATCAACCTGGAACTTCAACTTTCACGATGACGACAAGACCACCCACAGACCACGATATTGACCCTCGTTTGCTCTACGCAAAGCCCGGCGACTTCACTGAGCCTGGGCTCTCGGGAACCTTGACCATTCCTGAGTTGCAGCACTATCGACGTCGAAACCAAGAAATTGAGGCATTCTGGGCAAGAAGACAGGGTCAGCTGTTAAATCAGCAGCCAGGACTTGGACTACAACACCCATCACTGAGCTCTCAAGGTTTCCTACAAGGCCTTCAACATGACACGATGTCGCCAATCTGGCAGAGACAGTTCAATGATACTATGAACGACCCAGGGTTGCCGTACGCACCACATCCGACACTTCAGCAGCATCTTACTCCGAATTACGTGCAGCAGGTCGGACAGCAACAGAGTGCAGTGCCATCCCTGCTTCCATCGCCGACACCGACTCCTACGGCGCAGATATATACACCGGCTCAGTCCATCCAGCAGTACTCCCCACTATTGGGCTCTTACCAATCGACAGGCCATCCATCTTTAGCACCGACGCAGTGCCTCCAGCCACGCCAGGCGCCCACGGCGCCAGGGCTCAAAATTAAGCAACATAGTTTTCCTGTTCCGCCTCGGTCGCAGCCTGCGCAGTCTGTGAGTACCTCCACCCGTCGTTCCAATGCTCAGTCTGGCCTCCCGACTCTCACTAGACCTGCCGGCATCTCCAAGTCCGTTCCCCAACCCCCCACAACTGCTGCCACACCGGACTGGACCGACCCAGCTCAGCTTGCAGCTAGTATGCCGGCCTTCAAAAGTCTCCTGAAAGAAGAGAAGGTAGCCAAAATTCTGGAGATCAACAGAGCAATGAAGACCAAAAACCCTACTACGCTCACGTCGATAGAGCAGTTCGTCCTCGACCAGAATGTCGCTAAAGAAGACGTCACTACAGTGAGACTAGCAGGGACCGGTGGTAACATGGTGAAGCCACCAGGTCAACAAGCGATAACTGTTCCAGCGCCGGGCTATCCGACCCATCCGGGGGTACATACAACTCCACCCGGTATCGGAGCCTTCGCGCATCATCCGGGGTATTCGAACATCACGAGTTCGTTCCCTCAGCCATCCTATAAGCCACCAACGAAACCCGCACCGGTTGGCAAGCGGGGGAAGAAGAAGGAGAAGAAAAAGTGAGACAAGTTGGAACAGCACGCGAGCTGAACGGGCTATTAGGATACTGATGTTTGTTCCCTGAATCATTTTGTCACTTGATCAAGGAGAAGACTGAACACCCTGCAGCCTACATTAACCCTGGGTTTTCCAATTTACCCGCTCTATCCCAATGTAGTCTGCATACCTATTTAGCGTTTTCCTTGTATTAGGCGCTCTTTTAGTGCTTAGTTCTGTGGCTGTAGGTCTCCGGATTGTGATGGGCGAATCCAGAGTGGATGACTGTTGGCTTGGGCACGCTTCCACGCAAAGTATAGCTAAGCAAGGTTGATGAAGCAAATTACAGAATGTATTACTGACTGCGATAATGAATGTACCCATTCGTACGTCGCAGCTACCTAGCATAAGCCCTCAATTCAGGCTCACCGTACACCTTCTGCGGGTAGATCAGCAGTGCTGCACCGGCGATAGGAATGAGACCTTCAGTAGCCAATACATCATCAAGTTCGAGGCCAGGAGCGGCATAGGTACTGCAAACGCTCTTGACATCAATGCGACCTACGTTGCCTGGTCCTTCGTTTTGAAGCGCATCAACAATGAGCGCGTAAGTCAGCGGGTTGAACAGAACGCCGGCATGGCCGTAGACGGACCCTCCTAGCTGACCAAAGCACACCTTCTGTACCTCGTTGTTGGAGACGCCAACATTGCGCGCGTCATTGATGAACGCAGAGGCAATGGTGCCTTGTTGAGGCTCGACAACCTCATCAAAGAGGCCAGAGTAAAAGGTTGTAGTAGGCACGTATGCGCTATCGCCTCCATTCCGCCTGAGCGACGCGACAAAGTCGGACGTAGCTTCTTGCTGAATAACAGAAGGGTCGCAGGGAAGGAGCGCGATATCGCTGTTCGGTGTGAGGCAGAGAGCGTTGGCGAGAACAGTACCCTTGAAGTCTGGGGACACGGGCAGGAAGTCTTTGACGACCTTACGGGTTGATGGCCAGTATTTGAGCACCCACTGTGTATCCAGACCACCCTGAGACCAAGATATGACGGCTATGTTTTCCTTGTTCGTGCGTGAGACGGCACTGATGTAGTTGATGGCGTAGGCAATGTATTCAGAGTTGGTTTGTGCGTCCGCAAGCATAGCGTCGGGTATGTTGAGCCATACAGGGTCAGCATAGCTCTTGCCTGTCAACAACTTCCTGAGGTTGTTGGCAAAGTTTGTGCCTCCATAAGAACCAGTTCCGGGTACAAAGATCACAGGGCGTTTCGCGCCGTAGGTGAAGCTAGGTGGGATGAAGAGTGCTTTTCGGAGCGCAGACTCGGAGAGTGTGTATGGAGCATCAGCAGCATCCTTCTTGGGATAGATACCGATGGTTGCTGGGTTGTTGTTGTTGATGCTGTTCTCGCCGAAGGGCAGACCACCGGTGAAAGCGGCCTTTAGCGTGTCGTCAAGGACTAGGCCACCGGCTATCTGGGTCGCAACAGCGGCGAAAAAGTCCGTTCGCGTGGTCGGGCTCGCCCAGATTTGAGAATGCCTTGCGACTGCCTCTTCGATGTTCGTTGGTCGCGAGGTAGGCTGGAGTTGTTGAAGGATGTCGAGCACCTTCGGAGCATCGCCATCCTTGACTGCTTGGTCACATTGGCCGAGAAGCCCACCAACAAGGGAGGTTAAACCAGATGTGAGTTTACTGAGCAATTGACGCTCATCCAGACCCTGGACTGCGTCAACAGCCGGTGCTGGTGCTGCGATCGGTGCAGGTGCCGCAGCTGGAGATGGTGCCGGTGCTGCGAGCGACGCAGGAAGAACGCTCAGAAGAGCTAGCGATTGGACGGAGAGACGCATATTGACAGTTGCTGAACTTTTGGTACAAGAAGAAAGCACAACCAAAAGATGAGGAGATGCAGGGCCCTGGTCGATCAAGATAAGCAAGCGTATGACCCTTCTTTAACCATTCTTACAACGCGAGTCGTGAAGCTCAAGATCGTCATCCTGTCCAAACGTTGCATCGTAGTCTGCCACGAAATGTTTACATTGTCACCTCTCTAGCATCGCCGACCAGGTGGAACAGTCGCGGAAGCGCATCTTGGTATATATCGATCTGCATAGGCCTTGTAGATCTTGCACTACGTAAGTCATTAGCGTAAGGGACGGGCTATGATCATGGTCGCTCCCCTGAGTAGATCAAGAGCTACTTTACTTGATTTAGTTCGAAAACTATTGAATGCGGCAGTCGTGCGCCACTGACATCGCAAATCCACTTTCCGCTTGGGTTCGGATTGACACATGGCTTTGGCGCATTCGGCACTCGATCCACGCGAACCTTCTGCACGTTTCAGAGATGCGTTGTATAGTGGTGATGGTTGAGCAAGGAATGCATGAACATTGGCCGATGAAGAATGCGTGGAGAGAAGAGGAGTTGTGTCCATAGCCAAGTGAACGGAGTGAGTTGTGGAGATGCGATTGGCCGAGTCTTGTCAGCACACCTGGGCAACGACCTGGGTAGTCTCTTAACCTGACCACGCTCGACCTCGGCTCAGCATCTCGCCAAGTCATCGGCGATGAAGCTTGCGCGCTACGGAGACATACACATGCAATCTTCTCAGAGATGAGGGATTCTATCCGCCAGATGATTCTTTTTGACGTTGATAAAATGTCCGCGGGCCCACATTTCGCACATCAAAGCGCGGCCCAAACACCCGGTCCGTCTTGCGGAAATAATTCCCGTGCTTCTTCTTTTCCAGCCCGCACAATCTCTCCGCTCGGTTCCTGACCACCAAAAATACGTTTAAGGCGTATGCTAGCGTTTTACACAACAACGAGAAGCTTGCTGTTCTTTTCAAGACTTCTAGTCCCAGCTAATGCGTAGCTAGTAGCACTACTACTGCGTCAACATCTGGGAACTTACTGAACCGCATACTATCACCTCTACCCCGCGACAGATCCAAGCATCTGGTCTCGACTCTCTTGTTTTCTCTCTTTCCCCCTCACCTCTGCGCGTTCCGTGGTGATTGATTTGACAAACTGCTCGGAGTCGTAGGAGCCGTGGAGGGTGACCGAGTTCCCTCGGCTTGTCTAGATGTGTATACTAACGATGCCACAGCGAGAGTTTATCTCATGAGCTGTCTGTGTGGCCATTTCTGCGGGTTCATTCCATGTCAGCTCACAGGAACCATCAGCCAAGGCAGCAGAAATGGTGGTCGTTTGTGGATCGTGGAACACAGCAATCTGCATCCACGTTCTGCGCTGCGCACATCATTCCGTGTAGGTGCTAAAGACGTGTGACGTCATTATCAACTAGCTTGATCCACAGTCGTTCCAGGACACATGCGACGTCAATGCCAGCCCTGGAGCGCTTTATCTTCTAGACGACACTGCGCTCGCCCTATGCGTTTCTATCGCGCGTATGCGATTGATGTCGTTTTTTTTTTTACACTTTGTATAAGTCTGTCGCGATGCTATCTGAATGATGCCTACCGGCTTGAAGAAGCTATGAATCAGCGCGCCGGAGAACGGCGCGACGGAAGACAATGTCTTCAAGCAGTATGCGATGTATCGGAGACATGCTAATCATAATGTGCCTGCCAATCATTCTCTGATCGTCGCAGTGTTGGTAGTCACGTCCACAGGAACCGTGGCTACTACGCTCAAAGCGTCTTCTATGGCCCAGGCACAGACTCATCGCGACCTTTCACGTTGCACGCCGCACATTGACCCTACGAACGCACGCCCTTCCTATCCCTAATGTACTTTGCTTTATCATCGTGCACGGTCGACACTATCTTCTACCTGGACCCTAATGAGCAGCTCGTTCTTTCAGTTACCGCTGCCTACAGCTCCTTCTACCCTACATCAGGCCCAACGGCAAGATGAGGCTCTTGACGTCCTCAACATATGCACCCTTCCGCAGCTATTGGATCTCGATGACAGACCCACCTTCGTGCTCAACATGGACGAATATTCGAAGGGATGCCGAAATCCGATACGACCGATTATTTGTAATGCGGCACTCCGAGAGCAACATCAACTATTGGAGAAGGTAATTGGCACCGCGTCCAGCAAACGCGATTCCGCGGATGGGGGAGCAACACATGACGAGTTTCGAATATGGGCGACAATCATCAGCAGATTCAACGACTCCCGGGATATATTTCCCATCACCATTGAGTTCGAGAGCTTGTTATGGTTTGGTGTCTCGATTTATCCAAATTGGCGACTAATCAGCGCACACAAGCTTTTCCGGAATGAAGATGTCCCTGAAGGGGGCCCGCTGTGTGCATCAGCACCGCAACTCGAGAAAGATGGACACAGCGATCTCACCGTCGACGCAGCGAAGAGTTTAGCTTCTGCAGAGGCGATACCGACGCGAGAGATCATTGAAAATGTTCAACAACCCAAATTCCCGTCTGTTTCCCTCGGCCAGGACCTTGACAAAAACGGCTCCTCGAGTATCTCAGCTATCACGTTATCCACACCTGACTCGTCTGTACCCGACTGGACAGTACCGCACCCCAGAGGTGTTCTCTCAGATCATTTACAGTTTATAAGGGGCATCGACTGGGCAAATACACCATTGGGAGCTATGAATAGATGGTCGATCCAGTTCCGAGAGATCATCTGTTTGGTCATGCGCAATCCACACCCATCTTCTGTCTTTTGGGGCGAGGACTTGACCATGCTCTACAATGAGGCTTACCGAGACGACGTGACCGGCGACAAACATCCAGCTTTGATGGGAACAGGTTTCTCGGGCCCCTTCGGTGAAATGTGGCATGCAGTTGGTCCGGTAATTCGCGAATGTGCCCGAACGGGTCATGCGCAGCTGAACCACAACCAGCCGCTACCCATCATGCGTTACGGCTACATGGAAGAGTCTTTCTTTACTTGGTCTTTTGTCAGTATTGGAACCCTCGATTCGCACAGTGAGTACACACCACTCACATGATGATAGGTTCCAGTCTTTGGTGGTACTGAGCGCGTCTTGGGGTGTAAGTAACAGTGCGAAGCGTTGATGTACCGCTCACCGTAGCGAAACCGAGTGGGCCTGAGTTGCAGATATTGGAACTACTGACTGAGATGCGAATTGTAGTCTATCTCAACGCCTTTGATACCACAGTTGAGTCAATCAGCAGTAGAAGAATGTGGTTATTGCGATATCTAGGGGAGTGTATGAACGCCACACGTACGGTTAGTAAGTGTACATGCACGATCTTCAAGTGAGACTGACGCTGACCGCGCATCTATCCTCGTCGTAGAAGAATTCTGGATAAGAGTGCTGGAAGGCCTGAATCACAACGAATACGACGTACCCTTTGCGCTCTTATATACCGTTACCGAGGCGGATGACATTGAGAGTGGCTCCTCGCATTCAGATGCAACGCCAACGTCTGTCAAGTCATGCGTCTTCGAAGGATCTATCGGCGTGCCGAGAGGGCATGCAGTGTCACCCGATAAATTCAGCTTCAAGAACCATGACGGCATCTTAACGCCCGCCTTTCGAGAAGCTACGCAGACCCTGGAGCCCAGCATGCTGAGCATCAAAGACCGCACGCTTCCACAACCACTGTTAGACATCATCGAATGGCGCGGCTACAAAGATCCTTGTAGAGAGGCAATGGTTCTACCTCTAAGACCAACGAATGCAGACAAAGTGTGTGCCTTATTACTGTTAGGTATCAATCCACGAAGAGCATATGATCATGAGTACAGGTCTTTCATGGCCATGCTCAATAGACAGATCGCCACATCGTTGGCGTCAGTACTACTTTTCGAAGGTGAAGTGCGGCAAAGCAAAGAAGTCGCAGAGATGGCTACTCTGCAAAGAGAACAGATGTCTCGACAGCTCCAACTCCAGACCGGACGAATGCGACGAATGACCGAGCTATCGCCCATGGGCATGTTTCTATTCAACCCTGGTGGACTTTTATTGGAGGCGAACGAGAAATACTACGAGATGACAGGTGTCTCATCTACAGGAGCCAAACTCCCTTGGAGTATCGACATGATGGTGGGCGAGAGTAAACAAGTCGCACAAGACATGTGGAACTGTACGCGATATTGTCATGCCAATCACATGTTGCAAGCGCTAATCACGAAATTTAATATCCAGATATGATCACTCACCATAAGCCAGCAAGTCGTGAGCTACAATTCGCCAATTCGACAATGCAGCCCAAAGACATCGACGGTATACCAATCGAGTATTGGGTCCTATCAGCTAGTCAGCCAGAGCTAAGCCCCGATGGTGCACTCATCAGTATCATGGGCTCACTCACAGACATTTCGCATTTGAAGTGGGCGCAGGACCTGCAAGAACGAAGATTGCGAGAGGCAGAAGAGGCGAAGCGTCAACAGAACGAATTCATCGACATCACGTCGCACGAGATGAGAAGTAGCGATACCCCTCCCTATACACACTGCATCCAAAACGTCTACTGACGCATTTATCAATATCTAGACCCGCTTTCTGCGATTCTTATATGTGCCGACGACATCAAAGATACTCTGACGCAGTATGAGTTCTCATGCAGTAGCGATCGAAAGATGGCCCAGGACTGCATCGAGGCCGCTGAAAACATAGCTCTTTGTGTCCAGCATCAAAAGTCCATCGTCGACGATATTCTCACGGTCTCGAAGCTGGACTCCAATCTTCTCCGGATCACTCCTATTCCAGCGCAACCCATCATCGTTGTACAGCGGTCCATGGCAATGTTGGCGCCCTATAACCGCATATATACGGGAGTTGGGCTAACATTACACTAAAAGGTTCCGTCCTGAAGTACAAGCCAGGAACATCGATTTCAAGTTCGTTCCGCATAAAAGTATCCGAGACCTCAATATTGACTGGGTCATTCTTGATCCAAGCCGACTCCTACAGATCATCATCAATCTTATCACCAATGCTATCAAGTTCACAATGGATTCACCAGTTCGCTCGATCAAAGTCCACGTCTGTGCTCATGCGGAATCGCCAGACTTTGGCGTACCAGAAGGATTTCAATGTGCGTATTAAGATGCATGAGTTGGAAATCATGAAGGCGAAGCGCTAACTCCATGCCTCTGCCATAAGTTGTTCCGCAAAGACAAATCGTGAATCAGTTTGGAAACAGCGAGGGTTGGGGTTCAGGTTCGTTCGTTTACCTTCGGTTCAACGTCCAGGATACCGGATGTGGACTCTCTCGTCAACAAATATCACTGCTCTTTGAGAAATTTGCGCAAGCTGTGAGTAAAGACCAACTTCGCGTCATTATCCACAATAGGCTGACAAAACCCTCAACATAAAGTCACCACGAACGCACATGCAGTACGGCGGTAGCGGTCTCGGGCTCTTTATTTCACGTCAACTTGCCGAACTTCACGGCGGTCAAATTGGTGTCTCATCGCAAGCCGGTGTTGGCAGTACTTTCGGATTTTACTTGAAATGCAAACGCATGATTACCCCCAAACCTACCACCTCACGTGACACAGTCAGGCACGCTTTGGAGGCCGAACACGCAGCGTCATCACACAAAATCAATACCGCATCCGTAACTCAGACCTCTACCGCGCAAACGACCACCACTAAGGAAGTTGAAAGCCCCGTACCAGCTGTTATACCCCAACCCATGGACGACAAGAAAGACGGAGTGAAAGACGATCGACTGCACGTTCTTGTCGTTGAAGACAACCTAGTCAACCAAAAGGTACTTGTGAAACAGCTCACGAAAGCTGGCTGCGTCACCCATACTGCCGACGACGGCGTCTGGGCATTGAAGCAGCTCGCGAGAACGAGATTTTGCGTCGCTGATGGCATACCACTCACTATCGTTCTCATGGACTGTGAAATGCCGGAGATGGACGGCCTCACCTGCTGCAGGAAGATACGAGAGATGGAGCAACGGAAAGAGATTACGAGACATGTGCCAATCATCGCGGTCACGGCGAACATTCGAGGAGGACAGATGGATGACGCAAAGGAAGCGGGTATGGATGATGTCGTTGGGAAGCCGTTCAGAATTCCGGATTTGTTAGCGAAGATGAAGGCTTTGTTGAAGAAGCTAGAGGACTAGAAACAGAGATGCATCTTCCCTAATACACAGATTATTGACGCATACGTGGTCCTGGACAATCATTGTCACCGTTCGTCGAAAAATGCATGATATGCCGAGGCCACATACACTGCCCATGTTGTCTTCGTCGTAAGACTTCGGTCGAGGTCGTCCAAAGATGCTTTACGTGTGCAAATACCCCGAGAGACTCGATCACGCATCTGCTGTCATAGCCTCGAATCGTTCTTCTTTTCATGTCATGTAATCCCGCATCACCAATGATGCGTTTCCAAGAGCTTCTCGTAGACATTTCCAAGAGACAGCTGGGTAAACTTCATGCGCCTGGACTCCCCAGACGCAGATACAGCGAACATAATCCGTAAACCCATCCAATTTTGGATATTCAGGCCAAACACAGAAATACTTCCAACTGCTTGAAAATTCGGTCGACGAACTCACAAGTTCGCCGTCATGAACGGAGAGAAGAAGAAGAGGTTTGAAGATGGGGGAGGAAGTTTATATGCAACAAGAGGCCCGCTAAAATGGCGCTAGTCAAACATAATGGGACAGACAAGATGGTATTGAAAAGGTGGCCAGGTGACGTAGCAAGCTGACGATGCAATGAACGTCACCAGCTGATAAGCAGCATATAGTGTTAGTTGAGTACCAAGGGAACAACATCATGACAGAAGGGAAGAAGAAAATGCAGCGTGGCAGTCTCAGACACCCATCATCAACTTGCCGTCCTGTTCTTGAAACTAGGGCTCACTTCCTAAACCTGATCTTGTCGAGAGACTCTTGCCAAGGGCTGACCGTCGTCGTTCCAGCTGGCTGCTCGCTGTAGAACTCGGCTTTTGCACGTGTCAATACCAGCTCCCTCAAGTGTGCTCTCATGCCCTTAAGGACGGAGTTATTCTCTTCCTTTAATCTCTGCAGTGATATCTACATCGCCAGCTGCAGCATCGATAGCCCGGCCAGAGCGATACTTGTTGTCGGGATCGTTTTGCAGGCGGGTGGGTTCGCTCATGCCCAGAAAAAAAGCTGCTTGTACAGGCAACCTCCAGTTATGTGTGAAGAAGGAAAATGTTTCCCGTTGTTGTTTTTCACATATTCCGTCCGGCCCGCTCGATATGAACGCACCAAAGACGTCTTCGTAGAAACTCTAATACTACTATCCGTATGCATTGCCATGTTTCGAAGACTCGGATTTGATCAACCTGAAAGTGTCTACACCAGAGGTAGGACTGGCTATCAAGCACGCCAATTCGCTAATGACTAAGACGGCTGCACAGGTGATAGTATTTTGGGTTATTACCAAAGGGTAAATGAAGCGGTACAACGATAGATCAAGTGTTCAAGCTGATCTGAACACGTAGGGGTGCCAACAAGTCACCGAACTCAGGTTCTACGTGACTTTGGAGCGATTCCGAAGTCGAAGACAACGATCTGCGTCTCGCGGAATCGCATTGCTATGTTATTGTGAGCGGCAATCGGCGGCAGTAACGTACCGACTCCGCGCGGTTAAGGCAGCGTAAAAAGTCTACGAATATCATCTCAGCGAGCATATTGATATTCGCGGATGGCAGGGTTGACGGCGTTCGCTGACTGAAAAGCTCAAGTACAAAGGCTTCGTCTCTCGCCAGACGAGAAACAGCCAGGAGCTCAAGCGCCATCACGTGCTAGCGCACCACGCTAACGCACGCGACGCGTCAAACCTTCCTTCATCTCCACCTTGCCGTCCTGACCACACTACACCTCAATACGCAGCACCGTTCCCGCCTACCACCCACAATCACCCATCAGAACCACAGGACATTGAAGCCATACCCGGCGCTCTCAAAGTTTCTCCGCAGAAGATCCTTCGAAAACTAGCTTCACAATGGACCACCCTCAAACCCCCCGCATCCTCGCCCCACACCTGTCAAACTTCCAACACCGCATCGTGCGCATGCTAGGCAAAGTCGTACAACTACGCGGCGAGACAGCAGTCATTGATGCAGGAGGCAATGTTGATGTCATCCTGAACAGGGTGAGTAATTTCGTCTCCGTTTTTGCACTGTCCAAGCACACTGATGCAAAGAAGTAAAAGACGGTCACAAGCTAACATGAACGAATTAGGATTCACACCTGGCCGTCGGTCACGCAGTAGAGATCATTGGCAAGGTGGACCAGAATCTACATGTCAAGGTGCAAGCTGCTACGGACTTTGGGACGAACATTGGTATGTGCCATCCCTCACAGACCGGGAGTCATGCTAACGTGAGAGCAGACTTCAATGCCGCAAATGCTGTTGTAGATGCTACACATCGGTACAAGGAGATCTTCTACGACGACAACTAAACATCCACTGTCAAGAAGCATTTGGGGAGGGAATCGGTGGATCACCCGTGACGATGCATTCGCAAGTGGAGAAAGGTCATGATTAGATGTCATACACATATCTGCAAACCAATCGTATAAAGACAATGCGCTATATGTTCTACGCCCATAGTATGGTATCTCCCGCCACAGAACTGAAGCGCCTCGTGAACGCCAACCCATTCCAGATAACTTCCGCATGTTCATACAGTTACACTAAACATTGCCGTCTTTCCCGGTGCTCAGAGCTTACTTCGCACTCCCTCGAGTCTAAACTTAACATCTTTGAGCTGTTTCCCAGTTGGCTTCCACGCCTCAAACATGCCCAGCAACTTCTCAACCTCATCTCCAAGTTCTTTTTTGACGAAATCTTCTTCTAGCAACCCTCTCATTGCCCACGGTAAGAAGTAAGGGTTCGGGTTTGTTGTGGTGGCAGATGGCTCGTAGTGATTCACCCGGAGCTTGAATACGTCCTCCTTCTTACTGTTATTTGCGAGCTTCTCACCAATGATGGGGATGTTGATGCCCTGGAAACTGCCCGCGGTGTTTGGTCGCTCTTTAGTCGTTGTCGGTGTCGGTAGGGATGTTGTTTCAAGGACGTGTTGGACGGCTAGGGAATAGATGGCAGGGTCTTCGTATACGCGAGAGTGGCCTTCGCCGCCATATAGGGAGCCTGCGAGGGCGGGGGAGAGTTCGCGAATGAGGCCGTGATCGGGGAGACCCAGATTGCGTAGCTTCAGCGCGAAGCCAACAAGGTGGGTTAGGAAGTCGGGCGCATGGATGCGGCCATCGACGAAGACGGCGCGGTATATGTAAGGGTGCGAGAGCGTAGAGAAGGTCGATGACTGGTATATGTTAGTGAGTGCAAAAGGGTCTTTTCGAGAAGAGTCTGCGTACTTCGAGAGATACCAGCTGGTCGTCGATACTACCAACGTACAGTATCCGCACGCCGAAACGAAGAACTTCGTCTAGAGCCGCGAGATACATCTGGCTAACAAGACTCTTAGGGTTGGAGAACTCAAACAACTCGGCAGCAGTAGGGCCAAAGTACTTCGTCTTGTACTCAATGAACGGGCCCATGTTGACACCAGCCATGGCGCATACTCCGATCCTCGTTGCGTTGACACACCCAAACTGTATGAGCTTCGCGACAAGCATCATAGCTACCGGCACACCCTGTGAATGACAAGCGACCAAGATGAAGTCGGCTTGCTTCAGGTGATCAATCCAGTTGAGCAACAATTTCCACAGGGAGTTGACGCGCTCAGCAATGAAGCCCTCTCCTTCTAACGCTATCTGCTCAATCTCTGGACTGTATCCCCGCGCTTCGGTCCAATCCTTGATCGCTGCTGCCGCTGCATTCGCGAAGCGAATTGATGTACCCGTTGGTTGCCCTAGCACCTTTTGGATGATGGGTGCAGGAAAGAAGCCGTGTACGCCAATCGCTACAGCCTTCCTGATCTTCGGCGGTGCCGGGTTGATATGTAGGTGAGGCGTCGCAGGTTCGCCTCCGAGAAAGTATCGACGGATCTGCTTCCAGAAATTTGGTTGCTGGACCATTTGATAGGTAGTCCTGAATTCTGGCAGCAGGAGGTTTGGCGGCCCTTGCTTGGCCTTCGCTGCCTGCTTCAGCGCTTGCTTAGCAGCAGGTCCTGTCTCGGGTTTGTTCTCGGATTTCGTCTCAGCTTTCGTCTCGGGTTTCGTAGGCTCGAGCACTGGCGAGGCTTTCGTCGGCGTAGCGGGCTTACTTGACGTGGGAGTATCTGCTTGCGTATCTTTAGAGGGAGGCTTGGTCTTCGGTCGTCCTCGCAAGGATGCAAATGATTTCTTGGTAACTGGCTCATCTTTCGGTGGCTGTTGCGGTTCTTTAGGCGTCTCCGTGTCTGTCTTGGGCTGCTCTTGCTCGTTGAACTGCGCTGCTTCTGGGTTCGATTGTGAAGGGGTATCTAACACCGCCACTTCGCCCACATGTTTCTGTGGTCCAGCCTCGCCTGGCTTCTTTTCGTCTTCCGGTTTTCCCCTATACCAGAACGCCCATGCCGAGGTTTTTGAGGATCCCGTAGTGCTCTTCTGAAGAGTTTCAATAGGCGCATCCGAGGCTGTTGATGCTGGTATCTCTTGAGGGACGGTAGGTTCGGGTTCGGCAGGTGCTTCGGGGAGAGTCTGGGGTTCGATATCGACTTTGGCTGAGCCGTTATCCTCAGTGGGAGGCTCGACTGGAGGTGGATTCGCTTGTGCGTTCTGCGCACTACTCCACGTCCAAAACCATGAGCCAGATGCAGCTCTCGCCAGGACTTTAGCAGTTGTAGATGTTATAGCCTTCGTCTCTGCATCTGGACGAGATGCTGACTCTGTTGGCGTATCCTTCCCACCTGCATCTAGGACCTGATCGGCATTGGGCTGGATAGGGCCAGCATCTAGTCCCTTCGTTTGCGCATCTGGCTCTTCTGAGGGCGTCGGTCCAGGGAGTGGCGTGGTGGAAGCCTCGTCAACGCTTGAGTGTGCCTCGCTTTTGACCTTGCCTGAGTCCGCGTACCCGTCAGGGCGTGACCACCAAGACTTCCATCCCCATGCGCTAGCAGCTGCATCCACTTGTGATTTTGGCGGTTCGGGGGGCAATGGAGGTTCGGTAATTTGGCGCGCTGGTGTCTCTTCAACGTCTTGTGGCTGTGGCTTCGGCTTTGGAGCTTCGTCGAGGAGGCCGTCTGAGGATACGTTGACCTGCGTTATGGAGGCGGGTATGGCATCGCCCTTGCTCGACTTCCGCTTAGTGAGAAACTTCTTGGGTGACTCGTCTCTCGGCTTCTTCGCTTCCTCGTCGGGTAGTTCGCCTGTCGCACCCCCGCTGACTCCGATGCTTTCCTTCGCGGTCTTGACTATCGCAGGCGCCTTCGACCGCCAACTGCCCGTGCCTGAAAGCCACCTCTTGCCTCTCGGTGTTTGTGTGCCGGAAGCTGTCGGTGTTGTGGCCCCAGGTGACGATGTTGAGGCTGCTACCGACTGGTCCGGGGGTGCATCTGGCAGGATGTCACTACTGCTGGGAGTAGTGTCGGTCGTACTTGCATCTTGTGGGACTGCTGGGGCCTTGGTGGATGCGTCGGAGGGAGCCTCGGTGTTTGGCTTGGACTTCTTGCGTGGGTTCATTCCGGCAGGGAGGGTGAAGGAGCTGAGAAGGCGATGCGACCGCTGGAGCAAGCATCAGCACGGGCAAGACACGTGAAGTTGGCAGCATACCTTCATCCCGAGGTGGACCAGGCGCGTCGGTGCTGGCTGCAATGACGCATGTGGGCCAATCCCGTGCACTAGTCCTGGATTAGCGTACCCTGATAGCGTGGATTCTGCCACCGCCCAGCGATATTATCGGGCTTCCCAAATTTTGTAGCGCGAACTTTTGCCCGCCGTACCACGACGCCGAACCGCAGCAATGGCGATCCAAAAGAAGGTGCGCAAATACAGAACTACTACTGGTGATAGTGACTAATTCTCAAAAGCACGGAAAAGGTCGTCTCGACAAATGGTACAAGCTCGCCAAGGAGAAGGGCTATCGTGCGCGTGCCGCCTTCAAGTTGATCCAACTGAACAAGAAGTACAACTTCCTCGAGAAGAGCAAAGTCTTGATTGATCTTTGTGCTGCGCCCGGATCATGGTGTCAAGTCGCTTCCGAGGTAGGTCGCTATTCTATACACCATGCGCCTGCATGCTAAAACCCCCAGGTTATGCCCGCGCATTCCCTCATCGTCGGTGTCGATCTCGCCCCAATCAAGCCCATCCCGCGATGCATCACTTTCCAGAGTGATATTACTACGGATAAGTGCCGAGCGACGTTGCGCCAACATCTTAAGCATCTCAAGTGCGACACAGTCCTCCACGACGGTGCGCCCAACGTCGGAACTGCCTGGGTGCAGGATGCTTTCACGCAAGCAGAGCTCGTTCTACAATCCATGAAGCTGGCTACCGAGTTCTTGGTTGAAGGAGGAACGTTTGTCACCAAGATTTTCAGATCAAAGGATTACAACTCACTGCTCTGGGTGTTTAACCAGCTATTCACCAAGGTCGAAGCAACCAAGCCGCCGTCCTCCCGAAACGTCTCTGCCGAAATCTTCGTCGTCTGCCGCGGTTACAAAGCCCCGAAGCACCTCGATCCCAAATTCCTCGACGCTCGCAGTGTCTTTGCCGAACTCTCAGACCCTACCCCGAACAACGAAGCCAAGGTTTTCAAGCCCGAAATCAAGAAGAGGAAGCGTGAGGGTTACGAAGAGGGCGACTGGACACAGTTCAAAGAGGTGCCTGTCTCTGACTTCATACAAACTACCGATCCCATCGCTATGCTGGGCGGCTTGAACAAGCTCAGCTTCGAACAGAAGCCGAACGGCGACATCGCTGTCGCAACCATTGATAAGCTTCCGGAAACAACAAAGGAAATCAGGGACTGCTGTGCCGATCTAAAGGTTTTGGGTCGTGCTGACTTCAAGCGCCTTCTGCGCTGGCGTCTTAGGGTGCGCGAGATCTTCGGTTTCGCAACCAAGAAGACGAAGGCTCAAGAGGAAGCCAAGGCTAAAGAAGCGCAGGAAGGCGATGAAGTCGCTGAGATCGAGTCAATGGACGAGGAGATGCAGATCCAAGAGGAACTGGAGCGACTGAAAGAGAAGGACTCCAAGTCCAGAAAGAAGCAGCGCCGAGCTGAGAACGAGCGGAAGCAAAAGGAGATTACTCGTCTACAAATGAACATGGCTACACCTTTTGAGATCGGTCTGGAACAGGCCGGACCAACTGGCGAGGATTCCATGTTCGCTCTCAAGGCAGTCGACAAGGCCGGTGCTCTCAACAGGATCGCCAAGGGCAAGATGGCGCAAGTCATTGAACGCGAACAGCCAGAGGAGGAAGAGGAGGAACCGGAGACTGACGACGAAGAGGATCGTCTTGAACGAGACCTCGATAACATGTACGGCGAATACGTTGAACAGAGGTCAGCGCGAGACGCCAAGTACCGGGCAAAGCGTGCGAGGAAACAGGACGACGATGGAGAGTGGAATGGTTTCTCTGACGAAGACAAGGAACAAAGTGACGACGAGGAGCTTGTACAGTCCGACAGCGATTGGAGCGATGACGAGGAGGAAGGCCCCAAGAACCTGATCACCGACCTCGACAACGAAGAGCAGCCCAAGACCGGTCTCACTAAGCGCGCAGCACGGTTCTTTGACCAGGACATCTTCAAGGGCATCGACGGGCTCGATGATCTGGAAGAAGAAGACGACGACAGTGGTATCGACGTTGAAGGCGACACCGACATGAAGGACGAGTCTGCCACGCCCGCGCCTGCAACCGAGAAGGAACTGAGTATAAGGACGACCAAGACCTCCTCACCCCAAGCAGCCTTCGACGAGGAATCCTCGGATGACGAAGACAAGATCGAAGAAGTGAAGCGCGATGAAGATCAATGGGAGCAAGACAGCATGCCCATGAAGAACGGCAAGCCAGACATTGACATCATCACCGCCGAGGCCATGACCCTCGCTCACCAGATGGCGACAGGCCAGAAAACAAAGTACGATCTCCTCGACGAATCCTTCAACCGCTACTCCCTTCGCGACGTCGACGGCCTACCAGACTGGTTCCTCGACGACGAAAACAAGCACTCCAAACTCCAACGTCCCACCACTGCCGCTGCAGCCTCAGCCATCAAGGAGAAACTGCGTGCCCTGAACGCGCGACCCATCAAGAAGGTCCGCGAGGCGCAAGCCCGAAAGAAGTTCAAGGCCGCCCAGCGCATGGAGAAGCTCAAGAAGAAGTCTGCACTTCTAGCAGACGAGGAGGGTATGACAGAGAAGGAGAAGGCGCAGAGCATTGCACGCTTGATGTCGAGGGCTGCCAAGAAGAAGCCCAAACAGAAGGTCAGTGTTATTGTGGCCAGGGGTGGTAACAAGGGTATCAAGACTAGGCCCAAGGGTACCAAGGGTAAGTACAAGATGGTGGATGCTAGGTTGAAGAAAGATGTGCGAGGTGAAAAGAGGGCGGCTAAGCGGAACAAGAAGAGGTGAAGTAGTGCGTATGTATGAATTGTTAGGTCTGCATCAAAGGAGGCGATGCGGACTTGTTTTTGGTTACCGCAATGAAGAAATGATATGGACTGATATGTTCTGTGCTATCCGTAAAGCTGAATACGATCCCAACTCACGCGTCAACTACCTCCTTCATAACAGTCTGATCGCCCTTCTCATCACCCCTACCATGCATCTTTCTCGCCACCTCATCGGTGAGATACTGCTCGACATTCGGCGACAGCACCGCAGCAATAATAAGCAATACACCAAACGGAAGTGTGCAAAGATACACCGTACGGAACGAAAGTGCATACGCACTCTTCACAGCCTGCCCCGTTGCCGCAATAATCTCAGGCGAGATACCAGGAACAGCACTGAAGTCACCCGCTGTAATACTAGTGAACAGTGCAGGAAGTGACGTTTCGGGTAGACCGGCAGCGAGTGCAGCAGGCATGACCTTTTGCGGTATATACTTTGCAGATTCGGTAGCGAGGATGGAGGAGTACATGCTCGTAGCAATAGCGGAGAGACCCGTTCGGATAGCGCCCATGACACCAGTGACCAGACCGATGTCAGCGGGATCCCAGAGGTAGGCTGTACTGGATAGAGTGAGGTTCTCGATGTAGCCTGCGGCGATGGTGCCGATTAAGAGCAAGGCGGTTGTGCGTTGTTCGGTTGTTTCGTCCGAGGCGGCGACCGCGGCGACGAAGGCAGTGGTTATGACGGCTGCGACGGTCATTTGGATCTTCATTCGTGGGAGGTAGCGGACACCGGCTCCACCGAGGATCTGGCCGAGGAGGAGTCCACCGCCAACGGCGCACTGTGGTTGTTAGCTACAGGTTCTTAGGATGCTATGGGTATCGATTGACATACCGAGAGCCATCCAATCTTGGTAATGTCTGTGGTAAAGAGCGAGGAGACCATCGTAGGCCAAATGATTGAGTTTGCGTAGTAGACAATGGCTGCCAGACTAGCACAGGCGACATTGGCATCGTACTCAATGTTCCTGAACAGTCGTAGAGGGATGAGGGGATATTCCAGTCCTGGGGCGTAGGCCTCCCAGAAACAGAAAGCGACTAGAGTGGCAAAGCCAGCAAATAGTGCTCCCAGCACGTGCCCGCTCTTCCATGGGTATGCGGAGCCGCCCCAGTTCATACCAATCAAAAAGACGACGAGACCGGTTGAGAACAGGAAGATGCCCATCCAGTCAAGGGTCTTGAGTTGCTTGAGTTTCGATTTGCCGCCAACGTGAAGCATTTCCTGCGTTTGTTAGTCGGGTTTGTATTGGCTGAAATGGGCGTCCTTACGTATGTTGGTGGGAAGTAGAACAAGAAGTAAAGAACGATTGCCAGTACATTGACAATGCATCCGAGAATATAGCACCACCTCCATTGCAGCTCGGTAGTCTGGTATAGTGATCGTGCTACTGGCGGACCAAAAACAGCGAATGGCACTGACGTGGAGAGCACGAAAGCGTTCACGGGACCTCTAAGGGAATTTGGAACGAGCTCGCCGAGAATGATGTGGAACGAAAGTTGGCCCGCTGCAGCAAGTCCGTTGATGGAGTTTGTTGCCTAGAACAGTCAGTATCATTCGTAGGCTATAGGTGCCAGAACATACAATCAGCATGTTAATGCTCTGTGCACTTGCTCCAATGATATTTCCAACGAGACCAAGTATTGACGAGCAGATGAAAAACCATCTACGACCGAAGATATCCGACAGGCGACCGACGAGTGTGAAGCCGATGGCGAATCCAGCTGTCCAGGAGATACCGACCCAGATGATGTCCGGCGACGGTCCGATCGCCGCGTTGATAAGACTCAGTGTGTTTGCAGGCAGAACCCATCCCAGGTAACTGAGAACTCTTAGTACTTTCTTGTCCAGTGATTGACGTTAGGACATACCCAGAAATTTGCGCTAGACATGTAGCCACGACAGTGCCGATGAAGTTGATGCTTGTAAAGTACGACTTGCCCAGATCGGCAGTATGGCCACCCAGGGCTTCTTGGGCGACGTGATCATGATGAAGGCCATGACTGCTAGCGGTGTGCTGATGAGTGAGGCTCTCGTTGGTTGTGGTCACTTCTTCGCGATATTGCTTTTCTTCCGCCATGATGAGTCAATGTTGGTCTGACGTTGACTGCCTCTGTGGAAGGGTGCGTAACAAACGCAGAGGCTAAAGTTGTGCGACTACACTGGGCTCTGAGTTATCTTTATCATGCACAAATTGCTCACGAATCATGTGTGGAAATCTGGGGTACCCCAGAATTAGGTGGAGACATGCTGGCCCAAGTGGTGAAGGCAGGTTCCAGATAGCCGGGGAACACTGTCATGTCAGCGCCACGTTTCTGAAATTCGGAGTAATGATCGACTTTGTCTACATATGGTCAAGTTCTAGTATACCGACTGGTATTTCGAACGTCTTCATGGGACCAGAATGTTACGCGCAAGCTAATCCACGTGCTCTGGCGTTAAGCAGCGGAAGCCCCGGAGTCGGGGGTGTTCGGTAGAGGCTGAATGTTGTGTTCTCGATGAGGCCGATGGGGCAGTATCCGGATGACGGTAACCGGGAGTCCCGTGGACTTGTTGCCCTGGTGAAGGAAACCTGTGGATCCCTGCCGACAGCCAGTTATGGATACTACGACATATACACGTTGTCGAAACGCAGCAGATCTCTGTGTGTAGCAATTAAATAATTCTCACTGTACAAAGACGTGTCCCCGATCTGTGGTTGCAGGATCGTCGAATGCTCGAGAGAGAAGATCGTCTAACGTTTCCCGCGCTGCGGTAGTCTGTTCGGTCTTCTTTCGACAGTCGTTAACCGGGTTACGCTGCTGATCTAGCGGGACACGCATGCGGGGTCTGGACTCGTACAGTCTACTTTCAGCTGCGATAGAATCTCGAGCCAGACCAAGCCACTCGAGCGTCTCAACGTTAGTCCATGGCATAGTCAATACCGGCAGAGTGGACGGTGGAAAGCTCGTCACGGGAACTCTGACAGTGTCTTGTTCACATGCACCTCGATACGGAGCAGCTTGTTGGCGCACTGAGCAAGTCTGGGGTGGGCGACGCGACGAGGACGTAAGTTCGGTGTGACATTCCCCGCATTTGCGTCCCGCGGGGAAATTGGAAGCCTCGAAAGGATGCCGCCGAACCTATGATGGCCCATGGGAGGCGTAGCTGCCATAGTTTACGAGGTGCATGCTATCCGATTCGCTTTGATGCAGTCATCCAAGTACAAGGGATTTCCAAAAGTGAACCTGAGATGGTGGGTGACCTCGAGCGGGTACTTGCGCCACAGAAACGTGATTGGGCGTGGTTCGCCGCGGTCTCCACTCAAAACTTTTGGTGATTCACATGTCGCGACTTGAACTCACTCGCGACTTCTCGTGGTACCCGCATGCCCGACCGATAACACCATTCTCGTCCAACATCACATACCATGGCTTCAGCAGTAGCGCCGTCGCCCGCGCCAAAAGAGGAGCCCGCTGAAACCTCCGCGACCGAAGTTATCAGCCCCGCTGATGCTCTATACGACAGATGCGCGCAACGGCCTGCGGGCCAGATCTTCTTCCAGCGCGACCTCTCCAACATGCAGGTCGCAGATACCGTGGCTCAGCTGATAGTGCTCTTGCAAGAGCTATGTGACCGCCATTTGTTGAAGCTCATGAGCCTCGAGGGCGAAATGTGCTGGAAACTAAGGACAAGGGAAGAAGCCGACAAGTACGTGTAGACTCTCGCGGAAATGACATCTTGAACTCTTCTGACAGACGTCTGTTCTCAGACTGCGACGCCTTACACCCGACGAACGACTTCTCTACTCCCACATCGACTCAGTACAAGCCGACGGCATCTGGTCCAAATCTCTCAGAGCCAAAACAAACGTTACACAACAGACCCTCACAAAATGTCTCAAGAGCTTGGAGTCGAAGGATTTGGTGCAGTCGGTCATGAGCGTCAAGTTTCCAAACCGGAAGATGTACCTCTTGAAGCACTTGAAACCATCAGAAGACATCGCAGGTGGACCATGGCAGTCAGAGGGGGACTTCGACATGGCGCTGATCGAGACTATATCAGGCATCGTTGCACAGCATGTAGAGAACGAAACCTGCATCAAGGTGCCTGGCAATTGGAATGACTACGACACAATGGGCGACAGGACAGCTGCTATCGCTCAGAAAAAGGCCGAAGTCCTGGGCGCCGTGCGAGACATCGAGGAAGCGCCAGCCGTGAAGCCTTACAACCCCGCCAAAGACCCAAACACATCCAAACTCGTTCACCGACACAACCCGCAATACCCGACAGCGGCCTCTGTAGCCAACTGGCTCAACTCGAAGGAGGTTCTGCGTGGCAAGACTGTGAGGGAGGACGACATGGAGCAGCTCTTGGAGATGATGGTTCTTGACGACCGGCTCGAGAAGATATCCGGTACAAACTATCGCACCGTCTTACGCGCCACCGACACCAAGGTCTACAACGGCTTTGTGGATGCGCCTTGCGGTAATTGCCCTGTTTTCGATCTATGCGGGAACGAGGGTGAGATCTCAGCAAGGACATGCGTCTACTTCGGTCAATGGCTGGAGACCTCATCCGAGGAAATTTAGACGCTTCGAAACACATCAGGCTATCAGATCTTCAGGTGAGAGTGTTCAGGCGTTCGAAGAAAAACATGAGGAGTTTCAATCCATTAGCATAGCGCGGAGTTTGGTGTGTCAGCATTTACAAGGAAGATCGAAAAGGTATACCCATTATATTCAAACAAATTCTCATCATCAATCTCCTTTGAAATTTCAATTAGAGGGTGATACGGCTCCGATACCCTCGCCCTGCGTCGCAAACATGCGCGGGGCGTTTAACTTCTGTTGTTTAAATGTTCCGCTAGTCTGTGGTCTAAAGTCTCCGAAATCACAACAATCGCTCTCGGAGACATACATGAGCACAACATCCATCGACTGTGGACACTTGTTTTCTATACGCTCGCTCGTATATGCTCATTCACATTGACCCCGAACAGCAAGATTTGCAATGTAGTGCTGCCGGACGGTGCTGAAGCATCATACATATATAGGAGATGCCAGTCGCCATGTCAGTCTCATCACATACAGCACACCAACCCAAATCTAACCCCTATTTCGACACACTACTCATTTACACTGAATCCTTCCACCTCTCGATATACAATGGCAAGTTTCCTCGACGCCGAAGCCGCGCAAAAGTACAAGAACGCCGAAAAAGCGACTCGCCCTTATGTCAAAACCATCGTCCAACAGTCGGGAATAGCTGCATATCTCGAATCCGGAGCTGAAGCCAGTATTCTCGATTTCGCATGTGGAACAGGAGTTGTTGCGCAGGAGATCTACGATACGGTACCAAAAGAGAAGTGGGGACAGCTGAAAGTGCTAGGCACTGACATCAGTCCGCCTATGTTGGAATATTTGAGAGCGCGAGGAGAGACGCAGGGATGGATGGGATTGGATACGAAGACTGTGGATGGCAATGTGAGTTACTTGTGTCTGCGGGCGCTCCAGCACCGATTTGATACTAATGCCTTCCTCCAGACGGACTTGACCCAAGTTCTCCCCAAGGCGTCATTCACACACATATTCGTCTCATTCGCCATTTTTATGCTCCCAGCATCAACACTCACGCATCTTTATTCACTGCTGCGCCCGGGTGGATACATGGCAGTAGCGACGTGGTCTAGCATGTCTTGGGACAATCTCCTCACACGCAGCGTCGCTCTCATGAACGCGCCACAGCCTTACTCGCCCTCGCGCGAGGAACTGCGAGAAAAGTTCTGCGGGCGTTGGGCCGACGGTTCCTACTTGACACAGCAATTTGAAGCAGCGGGCTTAGGAAGAGTAGGGACGTCTAATCAAAAGGAGGCTGTACGCGTTGGGACGCCGGATGTTTTCGTAGGGAGTATGCAGTTTCCGCTGCATTATGTGAGAAGCACATGGTGGCAGGGTCAGCGAGAGGGCCTGATGGAGGAGTTGAACGGTGCTATGAGAGGCATCGTACAGCAGGAGGTTGGAGAAGATGGGGAAGTGGAACTGGGGTTTGATGGAGTTGTTGGGTGGGGGTGGAAGAGTGGTTAAGGGTCCATCTATCTGTGCAGCGATACATCGTTCCCATGTACATATTAAAACAAAACCATCGTCTTTACATCTGAATATCTCACAAAGTTCGCAGCAGCAAGGATCCTGCCAGTGTCCCAACAGCGGTCATGCCTCGCTTTCAGATGATGCTATTCCTAGCGTCGAGGCGCACGTCCCCGCCAGTGTTCCACCCCAATGTCGATCAGCCGGCGCGACATCTCGTGGCCTCCCGAGTGAGTGACCGACGGACAGATTGACTCGACACCCAGCGCCATGTTCCCTTGAGATACCCCGACACTCCTTTAGTCCACCTGCAACCACCACTTTTCCCGCCACAGCATCTACCACGCTCCACCCGCGAAGATGTCTGGCGCTCGCCCACTGCTCTCTGCACGCGCGTCCTCGGACATCAGCGGAGAGCGCGACATAGCAGAAGAAGATGCCCTGCTCACAGGCCGCCGAACAGCACATCTGGAGAAGGACGGGCCCCGATCATGGAAGTTCTGGAGAGAAATAGGTCTATTTGTCTGGGCTGTCATCGCAACAGCGGCTGTCATCGTGCTCGCCGTCATCTTCCAAAGGGCCGGTTCCGACCCCAAGGCTTCACATGCGAACGGGAAGAGGAATTTGATCTTCATGGTATCTGACGGCATGGGACCTACCTCGCTGTCGCTTACAAGATCATTCATGCAGTTCCAGAACGGCGCACCCTGGAGTGAGCAGCTCGTTATCGATCAGCACCTTATCGGACAGTCGCGGACTCGATCCTCTTCCTCTCTCATTACCGACTCGGCAGCAGGTGCGACTGCGTTCTCGTGTGCGCAGAAGAGCTACAACGGGGCCATCTCCGTAACACCCGACCACGAGCCATGCGGCACGGTGCTGGAAGCGGCCAAGAAGGCGGGATACATGACTGGTCTCGTTGTCACTACGAGGATCACAGATGCGACACCGGCATGCTTCGCGGCTCACGTCAACATGCGATCGGAAGAGGACCGTATCGCAGAACAGATGGTCGGAGACTACCCGCTGGGGCGCGTCGTGGACTTGATGTTTGGAGGCGGGCGATGCCATTTCCTGCCCAACTCGACGGTCGACTCAAGCTGCCGCGCAGACGACAAGGATATCGTGGAGCTGGCGAAGAAGAACGGATACAAATACGTCGACGACCGCGGCGGCTTTGACATGTTGAAGACTGGAGCAGGGCTAAGTCTGCCCATGTTGGGACTCTTCGCCGACACGGATATCCCCTACGAGATTGATCGTCGCAACGAGAACGACATCTACCCGAGTCTACACGAGATGGCTGAGACTGCCATGAAGGCGCTCAGCGACGCGACCAGGGACAGCGACAAGGGCTTCTTCCTCATGATCGAAGGGTCAAGAATCGACCACGCAGGCCACCACAACGACCCCGCTGCTCAAGTACACGAGGTCCTCGCATACGACAGGACCATTACGAGCGTACTGGACTTTATCAAGAACGAGAAGACAGAGACAGTCATGGTCTCCACCTCAGACCACGAAACTGGTGGTCTCGCTGTTGCCCGTCGTACGTACTCCTCCCTCCTATCATCGTGACCACCACTAAACAGCCACCAGAACTCCACGCCTCCTACCCCGAATACCTCTGGTACCCCTCCCCCCTCGCAAACGCCTCGCACTCCGCCGAGCGCCTCGCCCTCGAATACACAAAGTACCTCCTGGCCGGCCCATCTGACGAGGACAAGGCCAATTTTGTGCGCAGTTCCATCACATCCGGCCTCGGCATCTACGACTACACCGACAAGGAAGTTTCTGACCTCGTCGCCGAACCCATCACCGCGTTGTACCAATACGCAGACATGGTCTCCCGTCGTTCACAGACCGGTTGGTCGACCCACGGCCACAGCGGCGCAGATGTGAATATCTACTCTTCTAACCCCGAGGCTGCCAAGGCGCTGGTGGGTAACCATGAGAACACCGAGGTGGGAGACTTTTTGAGGGATTACCTGGATGTGGATGTTGAGGCCGTCACGAAGGAGCTGAGGGAGAAGGGTACGGGGTTGACGGTGCTGGATGTGAATGGTACGGAGGTTAGCTGGATGGGTAAGATACCTGAGGAGGGTCAGAGGCTGGATGGACAGACGCATCTGGCCAGTTACGGAGGTGACCACAAGAAGAGAGGTGACAGTGGTGTTGTTCATGGTGAGGAGTGTGGCTGTGGGCATTGATTATGAGGACCACTGTTGTGGAAGTCTTTGCGCGTTGTTCGGCATGCTTTGGCGTTTTGGGTGCAGAAGAGATACCGGTTGATGTAGACTTACAGCTAACGGCGTCATATTACAGCTCAATCTCAGCGATACCTACCAGCAACTTAGTTGACAAACGATTTGGAGTTCTCATTATCATTATCCAAAAGAGGAGATTTAACCAGTTCCCGTATACAAGCCCAGCCTGGGCACCTACCATGATCCAGCACTGCCGCTCAAGCCAGGCACTCGAAGAACCCCTCAGTCTGCCAGCTCCACATACTTCCTGTACTCTCCTTACCCCCACCACTACTCTCATCACTCTTCTCTTTCCTCGTTTTTCTTCTTTGCGTTATACCAACCCCCATCTCCTCACGACCAAGCGTGCCTTCCCTCCTCTCGCCACCTTCCTCGCCAGTATGTGTATCGGTCTGTGTCCCGGACCTGACACTCCTCCTTATCGAACTCCTGGACCTAATATCCACATCCCGCGGCGGATACTGCCAATCCGCCATACCAATGTCTTCGCCAGCATCCCACGCCCCCTTTCCCCTTAGTTCGTTCTTCCACTTCCCTGTCCTCCCACCCTTCATCCTCCGAATCAATTCCTCGCCCACACCGCCCCAAAACCTGCACGCCAGTGCGCAAACATGCCACAGCGCTAGCAACGTCGCGCCAGTCGCTGATATCGCACCCGCGCTGTGTATACCCCAATTGACGCGAAGGCAGCGCTGCTGCAACGGGAGTATCTCGAGAATGGGATTGAAATGCCACTTAGGGTAGTGGTATTTGCCGCAGAGAGCGAGGCCAGGCTTGATGTTGGAGACGTAGACGTACATGTGGCATGCGAGAGCGAAGAGCAGGATGATGTCCCAGAGGGCGAGGAGGAGGTTGTGAGCTAGAGGCTTGTAGGCTGGGTGGAGGAAGGGGTGATATGTGTGCTGACTCGGGGATCGTGGAGATGACGATGGCGGATTGTCCGGGTCGCTGATCCAGTGGGATGATGTGCGGCGTGTAGAGTTTTGACTGGATGGTTGGCGTTCGATGTCGTCTACAGGCGTTTGCGTATCCTCTTCTTCTCTACCTCTTCTTTGGCGAAGTGCAAGGTGTTTGCGCCACCACGTGAGAAGACGCTGCCGTAACCCTTTCAACCATGCTTTTGTAGCTCTTCGCCTCCTGCCCACATCTCTCTCCCTCCGTACCGGATGGAGCTGATCAGCATACCACCCGATACAAAAGGATGCATGCAACGCATCCAGCGGTACCTATCCCATGTCAACATCCGCAACTGACGCTTGCCATCTTTCCTGCTTCTCTCATCTCGGTTCCGATCCGTGCTCCCTTATCGTAGCAGACTGTCCCTTCGCAAACTCACAAACAAATATACAAAGACCCAGCTGAACACTTCCGGCCCTTCGAAGAATTGCTGCATGAGTTGCTTCTTCCATCCATCCAGTACGCCATAGTCTTCGACTGCTTCAGCAGCTGCCGTGTGCGAGATGAGTTGCATGAGGAGCAGAACCGCGGTGCTGAGCATGAGTATGTGAATGACGATGTGGGCTTCGAGGACGCGAGGATAGCGGTCGTTGGGTAGAGAAGCAAAGGAGAACGGTGCGGACGAGATGGAGGTCATGGTGATATGGGAGTGTTGAGAGCTATGTCGGTCTCTGTTGTGGAGGTGATGTGACGAGGCTTTGCGCTTTTTTGGGATCGCTTATGCAGGCACTTATTCGTGCTTGCGGCGGGAGACTGATGAGGGAGTGAGTTCATGTTATTGCGGCAGGAGCACTCATAGACCATACAAAGTCCACCCGGAGGTATACATCAACTTTCACGGAACACGATGTAATTGCATAGTGTGTTAAAACCTCCTAGGACGGCTGTTTCCCGCATCAGATACGAACTAGAGAACCATGATCACTTCGTGGCAAGGGAAAAACTCGAGTTTAACGTAAGCTCATGTCCAAGCTTTGGCCTATGCAGAGTACGCTCGAACTAGAAACAAGTAGTAGTGGAGACTACATGGAATCCATGACTTTCGAACATTGAGGATATCTGGCCACTAGGCTACTACATGCAGGCAGCGGCATAGGATACAAAAACGAAACAAGCTTTGTCGTCAGCAAACCTACTCATGAGAAACAGGAACTTAGACCAGACAAAGCGTCGAACCGAGCAGTTATTGAAAACGTTGTTTCTGCGCCTCTGCAGCTCCCGCCATGTCTGGATCAATTCTCTAGCGGCGGCGATGTCTTCGCTCGCATCATCGTTCGCAGCTCTTCTACAATCATCGGAGTCATAACCCACCCAGAACACGTCGCCGTGACGTTTGACATACTTCTTGCTCATCCTATATTCCACGCTGTGCATTCGAAGGACGAGGTGAAAGCGGAGATCGGGGTTATCTTCTAGCTATCTGTTGACGTTGCCTGCGTGACACGTCCAGCCATCCAGCCCGACCGACAGTAATACTGGCGTGATGTTCGACTCGTTCGCTGATTGTATGGCAGTCGTCAGTTCACTTGTCAGTTTGAATGTTCTCATTATTTCAGATGAAGCGGTCTTGCTTAGTTTCGATAATTTGTCTTTGGTCGATACTGCTGGTACATCGCGCAATTCGACACTGTATCGTACGTATAGTACTACGCTTTGCTTGAGTGGGAGATCCGCCTAGGCCACGTAGTAATTCACCACTGCATTGCCCCCTATGGGCAAAGCTTCTCTTAGTGTTTCTCTTCCCGCGTATCAAGCCAGGGGTGGTCAGTAGTCGGAACTCCTGCCTAATACAATAATACAATAATGCTGGCTGGCTGGGTGCTTGCGGACGATGGCATGAAGAACCTCGGGATATCTACTGGATCTTCACAAATGCTGCCTCGACAAGCTTCCTCGTGGGCAGCCAGCAGGTAGAGATTAGTGCGATGCTGCTCGCAACGTTTCGAACATTTTTAGGGTTCCCTATCGTCCAAGACGTGGCTCCGGTGGTGGTTAGCTAGGCCTTTGGGGTCCTTTTTGTGCCTGCCGTGGATGTGATCCGATCGCTTCTGTGACGTCTCAAACGTGCCAGTTGGATGATCACAGCGCAGTCCGGCCAACTTGTACGGGCAGTAGTAGGCCTCTTGTTCATGAAACGGGGTAATTGCCGCTGGACGTGATGATGTGGCTGTTGGTACAATGGTTTGCTGGGTCATTGGCGCTCGTGTCTTCGGTTTAGACGTTTGAGTTCTGGTTACTGAACGTCTCGCAGTTAGAACTAGGCTTTAGTACAGAGGAAAAGAGCGTCTTACAAGCGCTTGATGCCGGTGCTGGTGAGCCTACAGCGTAGTCGGGTGAGACGACGTTACCCCTTCCATCTGGAGGTAGAGTAGTTAGCAGTGAGCTCAGATCTGAACTAGTAGCATGGCAGGAAGCGGCGAAGAAGGCAGGTGCGACTAGTAAGAGCAACTCGAAAGTTATCTACTGGTTTAGAATATTGTGTAGAGGAGTATACTGTAGTAGATTTGTATTAAAGAAAATTAGAATGAAGACTGGATTTGTTAATGTGTGCCTACTAGAACAGACCTACCTTGAACGTATAAATGACGTTGGAGGTAACACGTGGGTACCTTGAAGGTTCTTTTTCTTCGCATCTACAATCTTTCCGATATGTGTCTCATTGGCAAAACCTACCTTGGAAGTACTTACTACATAATACGTGACACTTCAAGCACGTAAAACGTCATGTATACCTCAAGGATTTGTTGTAGTAAACATATCTTGCAAAGTGAATGCGCGTTCGTACCGATGGGACTCCCTGCATTACTAGATTATTCTCAAAACCCAATACCAAGCGGCCATCACCATTTAGGCGTACTTTCCCCATCCCGATAACTCCAAACTCCACGCTAATACAAGGGCAAATCGCATGTTGGGCAAGGACACAGGTCTTCACCGGCCAAATTGAGTGGAAGTTGACAAAGTAGAGTAGATCAATCTCATGCTGCGGAGCAAGATCACATGGGTCGACTACACTCCAAAGTCGTTACCAAAGTTCCCGCTGCCGTACGTCCAATCAGGCTGAGTGTCTAGTAACCAGGAGACTGAATCAAACATTTCGAAGCTATTCGCGCTGGCCATGCCATTGGGCATTTGCAACGGCATACTTAGCGTGTTGACGTGGGGGTTGAAGTTGGGCAGGGTATGAGCCGGATTTTCCACGACGCCAGGGGGTGGTGTAGAATTACTGGAGGAGTCCGGGTTCGTGGGGTTTGTCATGACCGTGTTTTCGAGCTGTTCCGCAGCTCCACTAACTTGCGCTTCTCGCCAGCGGAACGCGCAGTCAAAGACCACACTCATGCTCATCCGACTGCGGATGATTAGGCCGAGAGGGTCATCTAGCATCCCAGTACTTGGTCGCCTCTGGTTCTGCTGCTGTTGATGTTGCTGCTGATTGTGGTGATTGAACATGGTGCTCATGCCTGAGTTACTGAGAGATGGCGACTGTGAAAGGCTGTGTAGGCTGCGGCCGCGGGAACTCTCTTTCCACAACTGCGCTAGGACTTCGGCGAATCGATCCAAGAGATCGTTGGACCAAACTTTAGATTTCCGCAGAGCATCCACAGTCTGAAGAACAAATTGTCGACCTTTGTTCGCGGGAAGTTTGCTAGCAAAGTCCGAGTTGAGGAGCTTGAGCAAAGCAAACCCGGCTGCAAGAGCCATTTGCATGACGTAGTAGGGAACGTAAGGTAGCCTGCCCTCGTGTTGTATTTTGAAGACACGATCCAGATAGGCCGTCGCAGCGAAGTACAGCGCGACAAGGTCGTCCCGCCGTTCGAGCCGTATCTCCGGGCTGAAGAACGAGTACAGATGGAGATGTAGGGAGACGGCGTAGTGGTATAGTTCTTCCAGGCCTGTTTGAAGTCAGAAAAGTCCCCAAGAATGAGGGTGTCATATATACCGCTGTCCACCCCGTCAAGGGAGCTGTTTTCTTCCTTCACACGCTCTTCCTTGAGACGATCTGCTTCCAGACTCATGTAGCTTGTGGCGGCGCCTTCGGCGAAGCGATGGCTGTTGGCGGAGTACAGGAGCTTATTGATCCTGCTCGCAGCCATTTCCTGGCGAAGGCGGACAAATAGTGTGGGTGGTATAATGCGCATGTGCTCTTCATCGTCTACCTTGAAATCGAGGGTCGAATCGTAAAGGGTTATTGAGGGCTGTCCGTTTCCTGTTGACACACTGCGATACGTTAGCTTTGGTAGTATGCTTTCGATGGTGCAAACTCACGTTTGCGCAACGATGTTGCAAACAGCCCATGTCCTCAGCCGATCGTGTATATCCTCCCGTCGCAGCTGCATCTTTGTTCTGGAAAAGTCATCTGGGTGCGTCGGCTGATGCAGACCAATCTGCATGGCAACCTGCATCATGGCGCCGCACAGGATGAAAGTTGGGTCCGTCACTGTCCGCTCTGCTGGGAGTGGCCAGGTACAGAGCAGACACAACGCCTTGACTACATGGTGGTTCGGCTGGTTTCGAATGGAGTCCCAGATGAGATCGCTCAGCGGCTTGGAGAGATCCTTCAGCAGAACCGGCCGTGGCCCGTAACGCCGCGCTGCAACAGCGATTATAGCCCAGAACAGCAGCTTGTGGTCCTGCGAGTAGTACTCCTCGGGCGAACGCACTTGATCTAGGAATGGCAGGAACGGGTGGTATAGCTGGAAATATTCGGCAAACAGCTCGTTGACCTCGCTGTGGCCCAGTCGCACTTCGCCGGCACCGAGCGAGAAGAACATGGGCGATCCGCTACGCAAGTCGAGTAAAGATGTGGCTGCTACTTGTGTATGTTGTGTCTGTAGGAAGGCATCGTCCTCCATCTTGGGGACCGGACCGGGAGTGAAGGCGTGGTTGTCTGACGTCTGCTGCGGAGCGTTCAGGACAGGCTGGTTCGGCGTGGACTGGCCCTCGTACATGGCGAGTCGCTCTCGCAAGTATTCCATTTCCTTCTCCATCTCGGCATTCCGGTTGCGCTTGCCGACACGCTTGAAGTTGGGCTCGATCACGCATCGCAGGTTCTGTTTCTGACACCGCGCACAGCTGACGAAGGGATCTTGCTGGACGTTACACTTGAGCTGCAATGGCACGGTTAGCGGGGTTACGAAACATTGACATCTGACAGCTTGTCGTTGGTGGTGGCAGGACATATACAGGCGCGGAGTATCGTAAACAGACACACGCATTAATCCCAGTGGAGCGCACGCGGGCGCTCAGGCTTGGGACTGAGGTCCTCCATGGGCGCATGGACGGCATGTAGAGAAAAAGTACTTACCTTCTGCTGGCGACACTCATTGCACGCGCGCTTCACCGCGGTATTGCGCCGCGACGACGACGAAGGCCGCGTATCACCGTCGCCATTCTCATCATCGTCGCTGGATGCTGAGCGCTTGAATCCTCTTGTGTGGGTGCTGTTGGGGCTTTGGAACGGATGCGGCAGTCCATTTAGTCCGGGCGTCGTTGGTGACATGGAATGCAGCATATTGCTCGACATATGCGACCGATATCGCAGGGAATTTAGGTTGTGAGGGTAGGTAGAAGTGGGGGTCCAGCTGAGGGAGTCCGAGGCCGCAAGCGCGTGCGAAACTTGACCGGCTGCCAGGCCACGACTCTGACTCCAATGCCGTGGGAGACTCACTCGATCATGCGCGCCTGACTGCTATCACAAGCTGCAAGCTCCTGCAGGAAGCCGCCGAACTGTGGGCTCTCAGACGCGGGCGAGCTTGTCAGAATTGGATGTGACTCTCCAATCATAGCCTGCGACCACCCATGCTGAATCGCGGCAAGCCTCGTTCTGGCAATCTCCACCGCAAATATCCGGGCCCTACTGCTACGCGTCATGAACCGGTTTCTACGACTTTTCGCGTCTTCATCTGGGTATTCCTGGACTAGCTCTGGCGCGCTGAAGATTCTCGATTTCCCATGTAGAGAACCTCGCGAGCCTACGAGATAGGACCACCAGAATGTAGACTTCTTTACCTATGCTTGCATTATTGTCACTGGACCTGTTCAGCAGAAGGTAAGTACATGAACAGTCACAATGTGTGCTGGAGATCAGATTGGGAACATTCCAGTCCTCATGCTATTACTTCGATCTGTAGACAAATCAGGTTACGAAGTATAAGATATGCTCCAGATTTTACTGAGTTGATCTCTAATCCGAAGTCATCATCCTGAGAGCACGAGTGGTAACGTATAAGCTCAGGGTACGCCATCACTATCATGGCGCAAGTTTTCAGATACAATCAAAAGGGCATGGGCTGACCATGTTGGTGTGGATTATCAGCGTTACGTTGCCTGCTGTTAGACCTCGCCTGCATGGGCTTGGAAATTTAGATACCCATACTAGAATTCGAGATCTGAACAGCGTTCAAGCCACCAAGTCCTCATCATAGTGTCACACCGCGGTCTGTCGGGAAACATAGCGTGTAGCTTGTGGATGTATTCGTGACCCTACTCAGCTACATCCTGGCGGAGTGACGTAGAAATCGTCTTGATATCGTAAAAGCCGACCGAACCAGGAGACTGCCCATAATGCACATGAACACCGAAGACCCAGTTTTGACATGCTAAACCCCTTGACACTCAATGCAACCGCTTAACGCTTCTTTTGCTGGGACTCCTTGAGGACCTTCTTGACGACCTTCTGCTCCTCGATCAGGAAAGCACGGACGATGCGGTCCTGGACGCAGCCGGCGCATCGCGATCCACCGTAGGCGCGCTGGACGGTCTTCTTGGGGCGGGAGATCTGGGCGTACTCGCGGGGGCGAAGGGCTGGGACACCCTGGAGCTTGGTACCGCAGTCCTGCGAACTGTCAACAACATGCCTAGACATCCTTCCAGGTCTGACTTACACCGCACTTGGGGGCAGTACCCCTCTTCTTGATGTGCAGGTAACGGAGCTCACCACCGGGGGTCTTGATGACGCGGACCTTCTGGCTCCTGGTGTTGTAGGGCGCGCGACGCCTCTGCCCAATGTCAGTCTTTGTTTCCAACAATCCCAAGATCCTCATTCGCCTGGTCCAGGGCTCGAGAGTGCGGTGCGACGTACGTAGGTGAGTCTGTTGGACGGCATTGTGAAAGATTTCCCGGGGAATCAGTGGGCGATTGTCTGTGTGCGTGTGAGCGGAATGATGTCGGAGATGGTGTCGCAGAGGGCAGTAGTCGTACCTGGGTCTGGAAAGGGATTGTCAGTATCGTCGAAGAAATTCGCAGGACGGCGAGCTTGCTTACCACTGTTGTCGTCGTTGGTTAGTGAGGCAGCGAAAATCGTCGTGTGCTCGGTTAGCCGACCTGCGCTAGCACGCTAGACAAGGAAGCCGCGACCCACCATCACGTGATGGGGTCTGTGCGCTGAGGCCTGGCAAGAAGATTCACTAGACTATAGTATGCGAACATCTCCATCGCCACTCCACACAACGCGCAGAGGGTGTATCTCTGCTTCGTGTGCCCCGCCAACAATACGACTTTCGAGCTTCTGGGGAAAGTTTGGAGACTCACGCGCCGACGCGACTTCCCCTTCTTCGACCGCGGCGCCGTCCGCAAAGCTCAGGATTCGACTCCTAAGCTTGTCGCGCAATCAACTGTGCTCAATCCACGAGTCCAGTATAGCACTGTGATCGCGTTATAGAGGTCAGTAGCCCCATTCAATTCTTTGTCCCGTAAGAGCCTCCCAGCTCCTACAAATTTGGTTCTTGATACAAGAGGCGCATAGTTCCTCCAGTCTCGCGTTTTCATCCCCTCTAACGGCAACAGATTTCTTTCCCTAATTTCAGTCAACATGGCTTTCCCCCCACCTCCGCCGCCGCCTCCACCGGGCCCTCCAGGTGCTGGATACGCGCCGCCACCACCACCGCCTCCGCCAGGTCCTCCGGGCTCAGGATATGCGCCGCCACCACCGCCTCCTCCAGGACCACCAGGCGCGTCCGGTACTGTAGGCCCTCCCGGCATGCGGCCACCTGTCGACCCGCAGGTTGCGAAGTTTGCACAGAAGAAGAAGGACTGGTTACGGCAACAGCGCCAGAGGTTCGGCGAAAAGCGCAAGGCAGGATTTGTTGAGACACAGAAGGCGGATCTGCCCCCGGAGCATCTGCGCAAGGTGTTCAGGGATATCGGCGATGTGTCCCAGAAGAAATTCACCACGGACAAGCGAAGTTATCTCGGTGCGCTCAAGTTCATGCCGCATGCGGTCCTGAAACTCCTGGAGAACATGCCCATGCCTTGGGAAAGTAGACGAGACGTAAAAGTCCTCTACCATACCAACGGATGTCTGACTCTGGTCAACGAGGTTCCTCGTGTGATCGAGCCTGTCTTCCACGCACAATGGGCAGCCATGTGGCTGGCTATGAGGAAGGAGAAGAGCGATCGCCGACACTTCAAGCGCATGCGTTTCCCGCCCTTCGATGACGAAGAGCCGCCCCTGTCATACTCGGAGAACATCGAAGATGTTGAGCCCCTGGAGCCGATTCAGTTGGAGCTGGACGAGGACGAAGATAGCCCCGTGTATGAGTGGTTCTACGAACACCGCGCGCTTCTCGATACCCCCCACGTCAACGGACCCAGCTACGAGACTTGGAACCTGGACTTGCCTCAGATGGCAACGCTATACCGTCTGAGCAAACAACTCCTCAGCGATATTGTTGACAAGAACTACTTCCACATGTTTGATATGGACAGCTTCCAGACAGCCAAGGCACTCAATGTCGCGATACCCGGAGGACCCCGCTTCGAGCCGTTGTACAAGGACATCGACCCGAACGATGAGGATTTTGGCGAGTTCAACGCCATTGACCGCATCATCTTCCGATCGCCCATCCGAACCGAGTACCGTGTCTCATACCCTTACCTTTACAACTCCCTGCCGCGAAGTGTCAAGCTGGCTTGGTATTCTCACCCGCAGGTCGTGTACGTTCGTGCTGAGGATCCGGATTTGCCTGCCTTTTACTTCGACCCTGGAATTAACCCAATCTCGTCAAGAGCTGTTGCACCAAAGAACATCTCCGTAAGCCATGAGGATTTGGTCTTCGGTGAAGACGATGAGGATGACGAGGATGACTTTCAGATGCCAGAAGAGATGGAGCCGTTCATGGCCGACGAGGAAATCTCTACTCCAGACACTGCTTCAGCCATCGCACTCTGGTGGGCTCCCCACCCATTCGACAAGCGATCAGGTCGTATGGTGCGAGCACAGGACGTTCCCCTTGTAAAGCAGTGGTACCTTGAGCACGTTCCTGCGGGTCAGCCCGTCAAGGTCCGGGTCTCCTACCAGAAGTTGCTGAAGACGTTTGTTCTAAACGAGCTTCACAAGAAGCCGCCACAAGCACAGAACAAGCAGAATTTGATGCGGACGCTCAAGAGCACCAAGTTCTTCCAGCAGACCAAGATTGATTGGGTTGAGGCGGGTCTGCAGGTTTGCCGACAGGGTTACAACATGCTGAACCTTCTCATCCATCGCAAGAACTTGACCTACTTGCATCTCGACTACAACTTCAACTTGAAGCCTGTCAAGACCCTCACTACCAAGGAGCGCAAGAAGTCACGTTTCGGAAACGCTTTCCATCTCATGCGTGAAATTCTGAGGTTAACGAAGCTCATTGTTGACGCTCAGGTTCAGTATCGTCTAGGTAACATCGACGCCTTCCAACTCGCCGATGGTATCCTCTACGCTTTCAACCACGTCGGTCAACTGACCGGTATGTACCGGTACAAGTACAAGCTGATGCACCAGATCCGTTCCTGCAAGGATCTGAAGCATTTGATCTACTACCGCTTCAACTCTGGCCCCGTCGGCAAGGGTCCTGGATGTGGTTTCTGGGCTCCTGCTTGGAGAGTCTGGCTATTCTTCATGCGTGGTATCATTCCTCTGCTCGAGCGCTGGCTCGGAAACCTGCTCTCTCGTCAATTTGAGGGCAGACACAGCAAGGGTGTTGCCAAGACCGTCACCAAGCAACGTGTTGAATCGCACTTCGACTTGGAGCTCCGCGCTGCTGTCATGAGCGACCTGATGGACATGATGCCCGAGGGCATCAAGCAGAACAAGGTCAACACTGTTCTGCAGCATTTGTCAGAGGCATGGCGTTGCTGGAAGAGTAACATTCCTTGGAAGGTACCCGGCCTGCCAGCCCCCATCGAGAACATCATTTTGCGCTACGTCAAGAGCAAGGCAGACTGGTGGATCTCGGTTGCACACTACAATCGTGAGCGTATTCGACGAGGTGCCACTGTTGACAAGACTGTAGCGAAGAAGAATCTGGGTCGATTGACGCGTCTGTGGCTCAAGGCCGAGCAGGAACGTCAGCACAACTACATGAAGGACGGTCCTTACGTCTCATCTGAAGAGGCTGTCGCCATCTACACGACCATGGTACACTGGCTAGAGGCCCGCAAGTTCCAGCCGATTCCCTTCCCAAGTGTCTCTTACAAGCACGACACGAAGATCCTCATTCTGGCTCTAGAGCGTCTTAGGGAAGCTTACTCCGTCAAGGGCCGACTCAACCAGAGTCAGCGTGAAGAGCTGGCTCTCATTGAGCAGGCTTACGATTCCCCGGGTACTACCCTGGCGCGAATCAAGCGCTTCCTGCTCACACAGCGTGCTTTCAAGGAAGTAGGTATCGATATGAACGATAACTACAGCAATATCAACCCTGTGTACGATATCGAGCCCATGGAGAAGATCACCGACGCCTACCTCGACCAGTACTTATGGTACCAGGCTGATCAACGGCACTTGTTTCCAGCCTGGATCAAGCCCTCCGACTCTGAAGTCCCCCCTCTACTGACCTACAAGTGGGCGCAGGGAATTAACAACCTTGACAAGGTCTGGGAGAGCCAAGACGGAGAGTGCAACGTCATGATCGAGACCCAGCTGTCGAAGGTCTATGAGAAAATTGATCTCACCATGCTGAACCGTTTGTTGCGACTCATCATGGACCATAACTTGGCCGATTACATCACAGCGAAGAACAACGTGCAACTCAACTACAAGGACATGAACCACGTCAACGCGTATGGTATGATCCGTGGTTTGCAATTCTCCGGTTTTGTCTTCCAGTTCTATGGTCTCGTACTGGATATCCTCCTTCTAGGCTTGCAGCGTGCGAACGAGATTGCTGGTGCACCAGAGAGCCCTAATGACTTCTTGCAATTCAAGGACAAGGAGACTGAGGTCCGCCACCCCATCCGATTGTACACCAGGTACATTGACCGCATCTGGGTCTTCTTCAGGTTCACTGCTGAGGAGTCTCGCGATCTGATTCAGCGTTTCCTCACTGAAAACCCGGATCCTAACTTTGAGAACGTCATTGGATACAAGAACAAGAAGTGCTGGCCGCGTGACTCTAGGATGCGACTGATGCGCCACGATGTCAACCTTGGCCGCGCAGTCTTCTGGGATCTCAAGAACCGCCTACCGCGATCGGTCACTACGATCGAGTGGGACGACACATTCGCTAGTGTCTACAGTCGCGACAACCCCAACTTGCTGTTCTCCATGAATGGTTTCGAAGTCCGTATCTTGCCCAAGATCCGAAACTTGACGGGCGAATTCCCTGTTAAGGACAGCGTGTGGTCTCTTGTCGACAATTCCACGAAGGAGCGTACCGCGGATGCCTTCTTGCAGGTGACCGAAGAAGATATCCAGAAGTTCAACAACCGCATTCGACAAATTCTGATGTCTTCTGGGTCTACTACATTCACGAAGATCGCGAACAAGTGGAACACGACTCTCATTGCGCTCTTCACCTACTACCGTGAGGCTGCGGTGTCTACCGTCAACCTACTCGATACAATCGTCAAGTGCGAGACCAAGATCCAAACGCGTGTGAAGATTGGTCTGAACTCCAAGATGCCGTCGCGTTTCCCTCCTGCTGTGTTCTACACGCCTAAGGAACTTGGTGGTCTGGGTATGATTTCTGGATCTCACATCCTCATCCCAACCAGCGATAAGAGATGGTCAAAGCAGACCGACACTGGTGTCACGCATTATCGTGCTGGTAAGGAACTACCCCGTGTAAAATGGCCTGAAACATATGCTAACTTAATAGGTATGTCGCACGATGAGGAGACTCTAATTCCTAACATCTTCCGTTACATCATCCCATGGGAGTCTGAGTTTGTCGACTCTCAACGTGTCTGGATGGAATACTCCCAGAAGCGTCAAGAGGCGCAGCAACAGAACCGCCGACTAACCCTCGAGGATCTGGAGGACAGCTGGGACCGTGGTCTCCCTCGTATCAACACCCTGTTCCAGAAGGACCGTAGTACCCTCAGTTTCGATAAGGGTTTCCGCGCACGGACTGAATTCAAGATTTACCAGCACATGAAGAGCAACCCCTTCTGGTGGACCAGCCAACGCCACGACGGTAAGCTTTGGAACCTCAACGCATACAGAACGGATGTAATTCAGGCTTTGGGTGGTGTTGAAACCATTCTGGAGCACACTTTGTTCAAGGCAACGGCCTTCCCATCGTGGGAGGGTCTCTTCTGGGAAAAAGCATCAGGTACGTTTTTCCGTGTACTGAGTACAGTCTCGGTAGTTCTTTGTTCTCCCCTCTACACTTAGTGCCACCATCGTATTCTCCAGCTCACCTTTTGCCCTTACACTCTTCACGTCGTTGCATCGTTGTATTCCCCAAATCCCTCTTTCCCCTCGCCCTCTATCGTGACACAGTCACTTGTCGGTTGCAGGCCTTGGCTTCAGCCTGGCTCTTCATCTTGGTTTGCAGCGAAAATCCGAGCATTCCAGCCAGTTTACAACCCCATCACGTGCTGCCGGTGGTACCTCACCTCCGCCACATGCGGGTCCGAACGCCTGGAGGGATGGGAGGGCATGAATTTCCTCCACTTCAGCCTTTGTTATCTCCTCTTCCCCCTCGCAACCACCCCGAATATTTTATGCTTCTGTGCATAACAATGCTAACTTTGGTACAGGTTTTGAGGAGTCCATGAAATTCAAGAAGCTCACCAACGCCCAACGTTCCGGTCTCAACCAGATTCCCAACCGTCGCTTCACACTTTGGTGGTCACCAACCATTAATCGAGCCAACGTCTACGTTGGTTTCCAGGTTCAACTCGATCTTACCGGTATCTTCCTGCACGGCAAGATCCCCACCCTCAAAATTTCGCTTATCCAGATTTTCCGTGCGCATTTGTGGCAGAAGATCCATGAGTCCGTTGTCATGGACTTGTGCCAGGTCTTTGACCAAGAGCTCGAGGCTCTCGGTATCGAGACGGTCCAGAAGGAGACTATCCATCCGCGAAAGTCGTACAAGATGAACAGTTCTTGTGCTGATATTCTCCTCTTCGCCAGTCACAAGTGGAGCGTATCACCGCCATCTATGCTTTACGACACCAAGGACACCATGAGCGCTACTACGACAAACAAGTTCTGGATCGACGTCCAATTGCGTTACGGTGACTACGATTCGCACGACATTGAGCGATACGTCCGCGCAAAGTACCTGGATTACACTCAGGACAGTATGAGCATCTACCCGTCCGCTACCGGTCTCATGATCGGTATCGATCTGGCCTACAACCTGTACTCTGCGTATGGACAATACTTCCCTGGTCTTAAGCAACTCGTTCAACAAGCCATGGCGAAGGTCATGAAGGCCAACCCTGCGCTCTACGTCCTTCGTGAGCGTATCAGGAAGGGTCTTCAGCTTTACGCATCTGAGAGTTCTCAGGAGTTCCTCAACTCACAGAACTATTCTGAGCTGTTCAGCAACCAGATCCAGCTGTTCATCGACGATACCAACGTCTACCGCGTGACAATCCATAAGACATTTGAGGGTAACTTGACGACCAAGCCTATCAACGGTGCTATCTTCATCTTCAACCCTCGTACTGGACAACTGTTCTTGAAGATCATCCATACTAGTGTTTGGGCTGGTCAGAAGCGTCTTGGTCAACTAGCCAAGTGGAAGACGGCCGAAGAAGTAGCGGCTCTTATCCGGTCTCTGCCTGTGGAGGAGCAACCGAAGCAACTCATCGTCACTCGTAAGGGTCTGCTTGACCCTCTTGAGGTGCACTTGCTCGACTTCCCCAACATCTCTATCCGTGCCTCGGAACTGCAACTACCCTTCCAGGCTGCTATGAAGGTTGAGAAGCTTGGTGACATGATCTTACGAGCGACTGGACCTCAGATGGTGCTTTTCAACTTGTACGACGAATGGCTGAAGACTATCTCCTCATACACGGCCTTCTCCCGGTTGATCCTCATCTTGCGCGCCCTGCACGTCAACCAGGACAAGACGAAGCTACTCTTGCGTCCAGACAAGACTGTCATTACACAGGAGCATCATATCTGGCCCTCACTAGCTGACGAAGACTGGATCAAGGTTGAAGTTCAACTTCGAGATCTCATCTTGCTTGACTACGGCAAGAAGAACAACGTCAACACTTCATCGCTCACCAGCAGTGAAGTGCGTGACATCATCCTGGGTATGGAGATCTCAGCTCCTTCGATGCAACGTCAACAGGCTGCCGAGATCGACAAGCAGCAGGAGGAGCAACAGCAGTTAACTGCTGTCACGACTAAGACGCAGAACATCCACGGCGAAGAGATGGTTGTCACGACTACATCGCAGTACGAGCAGGCATCTTTTGCCTCCAAGACTGAGTGGCGAACGAGGGCTGTGGCTACTTCCAACTTGCGCACTCGTGCGAACAACATCTACATTAACTCTGAGGATGTCAAGGAGGAAGGCCACTTCACGTACGTCATGCCCAAGAACGTCCTGAAGCGCTTCATCACCATCGCCGACCTCCGTGTCCAAGTTGCCGGTTACCTGTACGGAAAGTCGCCAGCGGACAACGGCCAAGTCAAGGAGGTCAGCACGATCGTCATGATTCCTCAAGTAGGCAACACCCGCGATGTTCAGCTACCCAAGGAACTGCCCAATCACGAGTACCTGGATAACCTCGAGCCCCTCGGAATCATCCACACTGTCAGTGGCAACGAGCCGCCATACATGCAAGCCAGCGACGTCACTCAGCACGCTCGTCTCATGAACCAGCACCCTAGCTGGGACAAGAAGACCGTCTCAATGACAGTTTCCTTCACTCCTGGTTCCGTTTCTCTCGCTGCATGGGCTCTCACTCCTGACGGCTACAAGTGGGGTGCCCAGAACAAGGACACCATGTCTGACAACCCAACTGGTTTCAGCACCAGCTTCGGTGAGAAGTGCCAGTTGCTTCTATCAGACAAGATCCGAGGTTACTTCCTCGTACCAGACAACGGCATCTGGAACTACAGCTTCATGGGTAGCACCTTCGGTACCGTGGAGAAGAGGCCGGTGCATGTGCGTCTCGACACACCTGTACGCTTCTACGACAGCATCCATCGCCCATTGCACTTCCACAACTTTGCCGAGTTGGAGGATGTCTGGGTCGATCGCGAGAACCAGTTTGAGTAGACGGGACGATGTACAACAAAAGGAGAAGTGTATCTGAGTATGAGTATACCCTCTCACGGCGTTCCTAGGGATTGGCGTTTTTGCATTATCGCATCATTGATTGCATGGATAGTGGAGAATGGGCGATGATTGAGATTGGGAATCAAAAATGTGCATAGTGTATTATAATCTTTTCAGCGAAATGCATATTAAGTTCTGCAAAGTGTATTCGATGCCTGCGTAATCGTTGCAGTTGCTGTCTTGGCGTACCCGATGTTTTCCAGTCTACTGACTTTCACCTATGAGCCAGTGTCTTGCTTCTGCGCTCCAGCACTTTGGGTTCCAGCAGTGGCGATGGTGAGAGGAGAGGGTTAAACACTGTGACTACTCTGTTACTCAGCATTAAAGACCAGCTATTCAAGCACCTGTAACTTACTCTTGCTCTTCTTGTGCTCGAGACTGAATGCCAGGTGTCCCTTGTCGGACGCAGCTGACGATGTTGAAACTGACGTCATGGGATTAGCTGCGGGCATCAACGGCCGCGGTCCGCTGTCGATGGGGCGTTCGCGCGTCATGTCACTAGGCTATCGGGGGTCTTGCGTGTTGGAAGATACTGGGGATGGAAGTGCTTGGCCGATAAGGGTGTTTTGTTGTTGATAGGACATATGCACTTTCCTGCAAGTCGTGCCCCGCATCACCTTCTTCAGGCAGTTGCGCGGGGTCCTGGTGTTGCACGACTGATTACTATCTGACACACGTTTTTTCTGGCGACTGGCATGGGTGTTTTCGGAATGCAAACGTAATGGTGTTGAGACACAAATGTTAGCGATACGCCCGCTGAGCTGGAGCTGATATACAGGCGCGAGGATCCTTCACATTCTCTTGATTGCTTCCTTCACCATCCATAAATTCGATGCGCAATACGAAATTGCTATGATTGGTGCCATCTTCAGTCTGCTTACGGTCGAGAATGGCATGTATGCTGTCGTTGCTTCGATTGTTTTCGTGAGTAGAGCGCTCGAGAACTTTATGCTAGCTCTAACAATGCCTTTTCAGACCTTGCTCACATGTATCTACCGTGTCTATTTCCACCCTCTGTCCTCGTTCCCAGGCCCAATATCCTACAAGCTTAGCGGCTGGCCGCTACTGTGGCAGGCTTACACGGGCGACCGTCATATCCACCACCTACTTGACCACGAGAAATACGGTCCAGTAGTCCGCATCTCCCCAAACACACTTTCCTTCAGTACTGCCTCTGCCCTCCATACTATCTACGCCCCACGAGATGCCAATGTGAAGAAAGGAGAGTGGTACAAGACTTTCGATATAGCGGCTGGCACGTATAGTAGCTTTACTGAGACGGATAAGGAGAAGCATGCTACCAAGAGGAGGTGGATGGGTCCCATATTCTCGCCGGAGAGTTTGAGACTGAATGAAGGGAAGATACATGCAGTGATTGAACGATTCTGCGAGACTCTAAGAGACTTTGAGCGAGAAAGTGGGGGAGAGAAAGGTAATGGCTGGAGCAAGAGATGGAATGCTAATGAAATCGCTACCTATGTTGGGTTCGACATGATGGGCGCAGTGGTATTTGGGAGCGACTTCCAAACGGTACAGAAAGAGAGTAATAGATCGTTGGCGAATTCGATCTTGCCAGCCAGCAAACTCATGTACTGGGTAAGACGTTACATACCACTACCTAGCTACTGCAGCCTGTGCTAAATCATTGCGACAGATATCGTATCTGCCTCCAGCATTTCTTGTTCGGCCCCTCCTACGGACAGGGCTATTCGAGGAATTAGGTGGCAAGCCCGTCGCAGACAATAACCACTTGATCGATTACGGTGCCGCTCAAGTCCAACTCCAACAATCGGAAGTTGAGACAGAGAAAAGTTCCAACGTCGAGCGAATAGACTTCCTCTCACGTTTAGTTAGAACTGGGGACAAGAAGACTGGCTGGTACCCTTGCGCCGCAGATCTAGGTAGCGAAAGCCTCAATTTGATACTCGCTGGAGCGGATCCTTTCAGCGGTGTCTTTGCAGCAGCTATATTCTACCTCGTACACAACCGCGGTGCGCTTTCGAAAGCTACTAAGGAGATACGATCAATATTTACCTCGGCTTCTGGAATCACGAACGGACCGGTGTTGGGCTGCTGCACTTATCTCAACGCCACCATCGAAGAGACACTTCGTCGCGCCGCGCCAGTACCCAGTCATCTTCCTCGCGTCGTATTAGACGGAGGCATGGTGATTGATGGCATCCATGTCCCCGCTGGGACGACAGTCGGTGTACCGATGTACGCTCTACATAACAACCCAGCTCATTTCCCTGCACCCTTCACGTTTTCGCCGGAACGCTGGATCGAATCCCCTTCCAATCCTGCTTCCTCCATCGCCTTGGCCCGCAGGGCCTTCTTTCCGTTCAGCATTGGCAGCAGGATGTGCAGCGGCAGGAATCTGGCGTATCTGCAGTTGAAGTTGACATTAGCACACCTGCTCTGGCGCTTCGATTTACGGTTGGCGCCTGATGAGTCTCAGCGTGGAGGCGGGAAGCCAGGACTAGGTATTGGAAGAGAGAGACCGGATGAGTTTCAACTGTGGGATGCGCTTGGGTTTGGAAGGGATGGGCCAATGGTTCAGGTCAGGGTTGCACAGGCTTAGGTGTAGTCTTGCGGCTGGTAAGATAGAAGAGAGAAGTTATCTGGGGAGTGTCTGAGTTGTGATGACGTCATACCAAGGTCGTGAAGCGACGCGACCGACCGTTAAACCATCGAATACTTCTCCGTGGACCTAACGGATCTGTCGAAGAATGGCGCATCCTCGATTCGATTATCCACTACCCACCTGCCAAGCTCTTTTCGGATGCTGTATGGCACATGCTTCACCCTCCACCTCCCACCTTCAAAGCCATATGCCTCGGTGGCAAAGCTTTCGAAGGACAAGTTTATCGAGACGTCCTCAAGACTTTGGAAAGTATCCACGATCTCTCGCGCTGTTTCTAGGACCGCAGAGTATTCGTGTCGCTGGGGGCCCCACCATGTACAGGATATCGGATGAAATCTTACATCGAGCGTTCTATGTTCTTCATTCTTGTTGCTGGGGTCTCTTGCTATCATCTCCAGGAACAAGTCAATGCCGTTGCGCAAGAGCGGTCGGTATACCCGAATTTCCATACAGTCCAATCTGAGCTTGATAAATACGACAAACTTCCTGATGTCTTTGGCGATGGCACAGAAGTTGGTGTGGAAGTGCGCATTTTGGGGGTGCTTCTTATTGCTGAGCACCTCTCCATAGGTTGCAAACTTGAAGGACTGGTTGCAGAAACGAATGTTCATCGCAACTGGATCAATTATCACGAAGAATGGCTTTCGTCTGTAGAGTACTGTGCGAGCTTCGTTGCTGATTTGCTTTGCTGCGAGCAATATGTCTGGGATTCTCCCGCATCCCGTGTCTTCGTCTCGCTTGGCCATCGGCCACCTTGCTCCAATACGCCCAGGAAAGTGATAGCCGATGATCATCTCGCGAAGCTCGAGGGGAAGATCCATGATGCGAAAATTCCAAGGCTGGCCGTGATGCTCGGAGCAGGCTCCTGGTGCCGTTCCGTTTCCAGGACAGGGTGCTACCTGCGAGGAATTGCTGCATTGCAGTCCGGTATCAGTGAGATATTGACAGTGTCTCGACATTTTGTGATTGGGCACTGGCGAGATCGGTTTGAAGTAGATACGGTGGCTCTCGTTGGTTGCATAAGGGTATGCTAATGGTGTTGAGAGTGTAGTTTTTTTCTGAACGTAGCTGGGGATGTGAAGTCAGGAGAAAGAGATCTTTAGAGCTTTATACAGATGGATACCGAGACAAAACCATGACGCAGCGAAATGTTGGTCGCCTTTTTTGATCACTCTCTACTGGCCCAACTCGAAACCATAGTTGTGCGCGACCACAACAAGGTCTACCACAGTTCTGACACGACCCACAATTGGCGAGCCACTCACAAATACTCCCATTCAAAACAGATCTGCAGACTACACTAAGATGAAACAAGCGAAGTGTAGAATCTGGCGTTACTATAGGCTCCAGGGTGTTCAGTTTCTCCTAATCCCAACGCGCCTTTAGTAAACCTTCAACCTCACCATCATAGCACTTCTAACCCACAGGCACGGCGCACCCAAACTTATCCCAACCATGGTTCAGTCTGCTCAAGTCCAAGTCACCTACATCCCAATCAGGCGGTTTCTCATCATCCTCGAGAGCTTCAATTTGCACCAAATTAATATCTTTGTACCGCCTCGGAACGATCATTTGAGCAGGGTGTGCACAACCTGTCGGATCGATAAGGTATTCATACTTCAAACATGGGGCTGCGACCACATGTGTCGAAAGCTTGTAGCGAGATGGGATAAAGCGGAGTCTCCCCTGATGATCTTCGATGGGAGGTGGACAGAACACGGGAATGAATCGAAAACTTGCGTGAGTGGTCGTTATATCGGGTTTGGTTGGTTGGCGAACGCCGTCAACATTCAGCGCTATCGTCCATGTGTGATCACCGCCGATGCGACGATGGCTATGATCTACAAGCGATGTCAGTGTCGGCTGATGCTCTGAGACTGCACAGTTTTGTGCAACGCGTATGTTCAGAGGCTCGGTGGGTAGATTGAGAATACGCTTCTTCATCTTCAAGAGCCGTGCGAGACGTTCTGATGAACCAGCAACTGCGTTTTTCAGGAAGGACGAGCGCTGAATAATGAAGGTCGGATAGTCAGGAGGAAGGCAAAAAGGAGAAGAGGAACAAGCAAAGAGAAACGCTATATGCCCGTCTGAGAGTGTGAAGAAGACGTTGATGTAAACTAGAGAGCATGGAAAGAATACAGCACCGCATATGCATCGACACTAAACATGAAGAATACGAAACGCAGACACATCTACAGCCCATCACTCCCGCTTCAACCACGCCAAATTCACAGCGCTCAGACACCCCTCCTCCCCCTTCTCCAACCACCCCAGCAAATTCTCCATACCCAACCTCTCAAACCCAACGTGACTCTCGACACTCGCACCTGCCGTGTGACTCAACACCATAACATTACTCCTCTGCGCCAACCTCTTATCCACATGCGGCTCATTAGCATGAACATCCAGCCCCGCCGCCGAAACCGTGCCATCATCCAACGCCTTATTAAGCGCCTCCTCATCCACCAGCTTCCCCCTCGCAATATTAACAAGCCTCGCCCCCTTCTTGAACTGCGCGAATTCCTTCGTCGAAAGCAGCGTTTCCCCCGAAAAAGGCGTAGCAAGGAGTACGCAATCCGACGTCGACAGCAACTCCTCCAGCGACGCACACCACCTCGCCCCAATTTCCTTCTCCCTCTCCTCCATCCTGTACACATCGTAATAAGCAATCTTCATGTCAAAAGCGCGACTAGCTTTCTCCGCAACACGCATACCGATCCGGCCCAATCCCACGATACCCAGCGTGCTGCCATTGGGATTGTGCGTCACGGCTGCGATGTTCTGGTTCGCATTGCGGAATTGATCTGGGTCGCAAGATCGCGCTGCGAGGAAGGACCAGGTGATTGCGCGGTAGCAGGACAGGATTAGTACGATGGCGGCGTCGGCGACGGATTCGGTGCACGCGGATGCGCTGTTGCAGTATATAGTTCCTGCGTGCGAGGCGAGGTACTGCGTGTTTACCCAGTCGAACCCTGCGCCGGCTGAGGCGTAGATCTTGCAAGAAGACGGGAGGAGGTCACTTGGGAGTTGGTTAGTTTAGTGAGCCAAGAGGAGAGAGGACGGTAATGGACGTACATGAGTTCTTCATCCCAATTCCCCATTTCGCCGCCTGTGTTCCAGAAGGGACGGTACATGCCTACGAAATCGCCCCACTTCTTCTCTTTGAGCGCTTGTTTGAACTCTTCTCTACCGATCGAGTACGTTCTTATGATGCTGAATTTGTTGTTTAGCTCGGCGTATAAAGAATGGTTCCACCGGATGTCGTCGCCAAGGTGGAGTATAGTTGGCTTTGACGCAGACGAAGTGTTTGATGCGCAAGCTGAGGACTCGTATGGCGTTGCAGGCGCAGGCAGACCAGAGTCTTGGGGCGTTGGCGTTGCCGAAGACATGATGTGCTTTTGTGAGGGTAAATGGTCAGATGCGATGAATATACGAGTAGAAAGACAGCGTAAAAGCAAACGTATATCGAGTGCCGAAACGGAGATGGTAAAGCGAAGCTGCCGTCGCTTTCGCTGGCTCCTCAAAGCACTTTCTCGTCTCACAATCCGCTCCCAAGACCCTAAAAATGATGTAAACCCGAGGCCCAGACACTCGGGTACACTTGCTTAATATCGCAGCCTTCTAGATTCCCTTCGTTCCAACTGTTTGTTCGCAACTTGCCTCGTGTTCACTGCAAACCAGATAAAGAAGCGACAGGCGGAGTTCTCAATAGAGACTGGGACGTGTTCAACAATGGAAAGACTGTAAATAAAGCGATGTTGTATTTCACGAGCACATACAGCGCGGGTAGCGTGGCGTGCATAAAAGAGGACGTGGGGCAATAAGCCGCTGGCAAGCGGTGAAGATAAGGTTATCGATACCAAGAGCTGCACTACGCAATCAGAGCCTCCACGTGGTTTGTATATGCGCCTTATCCCTGTCGCATTCTTACGTGTTTACCGACCAGTGTGTATATGCTGACAACAGGGTGTGTACTAGTAAGCTTCGTCTCGCTGTGTTCTCTGAGATGTATGGGCTAGTTGGTGTGTCATGGTAAGAAATACAATTCGAGTGTATCGAGTACAAGGTATAATCGCAATACAGATGTAGTCCCCAAGCCTTTTGTATTCGCTGTTTACAGCTGCAAGTAGGCTCATGCGAACGGTTTGTTTATAAGTCATAGATCAAACTATTCACACGGACCTACCCACAGCTACATGCAGCGAATATAAGGTGCGTAGGTAATGCACCTTGAGTAAAAGGTATAACGAACCGCCCACTCGTTCGCTCGCTCATGTAAGACGGAGTAGAGCTCTTTCCCTATCAAACGCCGACATATACACCCGTCATAGCTTCGTAAAAACATTGTTTGGAAACACTTTCTCAGAACCAGTTCACCAGAGCGGTACTAGCCGGATTCGACGGGTTGCCGTCGATATGATACTGAGTAACCATGTCATCCCAGAGCGTCCAATCCATATCACCGTTGTCCATCATAAAAGCGTCGTCAATCTGCTGTTGCTGTTGCCCGTTGTCGCCCACAATTATGCCATTCAGAGCCGTGTTACTGGTGTCATCGATGCTGATATCCATGTTGGTAGACGGAAGCATGCCGTCGCCGAAGGTAGGGTAGCCGTTTGCGGCTGTTGGTGGACGTGCCCCATGTGTGCCGTATGGATGTATTGAAGTGGTGGTGTTCGAACGGGGAAGTTGCGAAGTCGTGGGCGTGGCAGTAAAGTTTGGAAAGTCTACGGTTGAGCCGTCGTAGACTCCATCAGCGCCCATAACGTCGTTGATTATATTGTCAAGGCCGAGTTCGAACAAGTCTTCAAATTCCTTCCCGGAACTGTTATTTCCGCGAGCTCGTACGCTGTTTGCTTTTCCGCTCGGTAGTTGTCGTTGTCCACTCAAGCCGTCCGCACTAGGCAGCGAGCTGTTCCGGGATTTGGCTTGCACAGGGCTACTTGGCCAACTTGGAAGTTCAGCGCTGGGAACCTCTCCCAACTTTGGTGCAGAAGGTCGCAACATGCTGTCCAGGATCTCGGCGTCCCGTTGGGCCGTGGCCACTCCTGACTGGTTCATCTGACTGTGCGCAGATGGCATCTGGAGAGAGAATGGGCTGTTGCCAAACTGCCCACTTCGAATGGCCAAGCTAGCCCGCTCAAGAGCCAACTCTCGCTCTCGCGCAGCCCTTGCTTTCGTGAGCAGCTTTCTGAGCGGTTTCCACAAAGTTCCTTGCTGGCCTTTGCGGAGTGGTGAAGCGTCGTTGAGCGGGAACCACCAACGGCCCGCCGTCGCTTCAAGAGCCCTCCATGCGCGCTCTACGGCCTCGCCTTTGGTGCGAACACATAGCTCCGAAAGCAGGAAAGCGATAGCGTGCCACTGGACATATGTGCGGAAGAGCCAGCCCCATTTCATAGTGCGCGCTTCGGTCTCGAGCAGCATGGAATACTCCACATTCTCAAGCGAGGTGATGAAGAGCTTGTCCTTGGTTTCCTGAGGCAGTGTCGCACCCCCATCTTTCCGCTGATATGGATGATAAACTATCAACCACATCTTACTCATGATGAGTCTGGAAATTGTCGCCGTGACCCAACAAATCGGTATAGTCATGTCGCAGTCCTGGAGATACTTTTTTTCCATGGCCTGGTGGCACTCCGTTATCCACTTCTCCTTCTGCTCGATCGTCATACCAGCGAAGTACTCGGTGCACCTAGTGGGTCCTGGAGGTATGTATGCAATGCGACGCATGATGTGGGCGATTTCGAAGCGGAGAAGGCAGAAGGTCATGTCTGTGAAGCCCTGTCGCTCTTCAGGAAACTCGGCCATATCGGGGTGTATGTCTGTGTCGTTGACATTCAGGGGCTGCGATTCTTAGCATATTATTGCAGGACTTCAGACAAAAGGACCTACCATCTTGGTGTCAAACTGAGCTTCCACAATAGTGGGATCGCAGCCGTGATCCTCTGACGATCGCGCGTCGAGAATACAGATTTGCCACCAAAGGCGCCTTCGCATCTCGATCTCGAACGGTGGTAGACCAAAGTGACTGCCATCTCGGTGTATTCCCAGTGTCTGCGCGATGCGTACAACCAGACCAGTAAGTGTCCAGATCTTGCGCGCGTCATCGTTGCGCCGCATCAAGACGAGGAAGATGACAAACGACTGCAGTATGATAACCTCGTCGCAGTAAAGGAAGTTTGCCCTCGCCAGGGCCTGTTCTAGTCCAAATCGATATCGATTAAGCAGTGTAACTCTGTCTTCTCCCCATCTTTCCAGACAGGTTTCCGAAGTGGTGCTTGTTACGGCGCCGTAGTATATGGCGAACAAGAGCGTTTCCAGCCCCTTTCCTACTTTATCGAGATGTGCAAAAGCGTCTAAGACAGTTGGTTCGAAGGTGGGAATGTGCAAGACTTTGATCAGGGACTCGACGTTCTCCTTGTAGACCTCCCAGAACTGGTGCGCTTGTTGCTCTGGAGGATGCAGCGCATGCATATCGACGTTGGAGGAACTGTAGCCGAACATGAAGCCCTGGTGCGAGGACATGTTGGACGAGTCGGGCGAGAGTGCGTCATCTTCGTCGTCGGAGGGCTCTATGAGTATCGCCTTTAGGTCTTCGACCTGAGGTGTATTAGCTTAGTTACTGTTTAGTTAGCTCTTTTTACATACCTCGTTGTTCAGAGAAGCCCAGAAGGAGTTGTTGATATAGCGACTGCGACCATTCTCAACCACGAGCCGTCCGAAGCGGTTCTCGAGACCCTCGACGCTGTTGTCTGTCGCAACCTTTGCGCCACGCTGCTTGGCAGGCCACTTGACGCCACTGTTCCCGTTGGGACATCCCTCTTCGCTCGTGCTGTTGTGTCGCTCTTTCTCACGGTCGGCGGCCTCCTGCTCGTGGCCCTCCACCTGGGCATTTAGACTGGTGACGACGCCCTCCAAGCGCCTCAGTCTCTCTAGTAACTCGGCATCGGGTGGTTTCCTGCTCTTGCGCGGCGCACGTCCAGGTCCTGGGAAGATGCAGTCGATTTTGGCGCGTACACAGTTGGAACACGGGTTCTTTTTGTCGCATTTGACTTTGCGCCTGCGGCAGGTTACGCACGACCGGGGGTTTGGCGTCGGCCCAGCACCACCGGGTGAGGGGCCGCTGATACTGCCGCTGGGCCTGTGTGTGCCATTGGGCGGACTCTGGCTATGCTGCATCTTGTCCGACATTCTGTTGACAATGGATGATACTGGGAATCGTCTCTTCCCTCACCCAGACCTCTTCGCACTCTTGACACTCGCACCTCCGTGTGGCTTGACTCTTGCGGCGAGACCCTGGTCGATTGTCGGTGCTGACCCAACTTCACCTTCCGACCACCTTGTCCGCATGCAGTACGAAGCGGAACAACCCCGGTGGGGCATGCGGTGTCTATGGCGAATCATACTATGGCGCATCTACGCCCGAACTGATCTGTCTGGTCAACACATGCAGTCTGAGAAAAAGACGGTCAAGTCGGATTGGTTGACTCGCAAACCTTCACATGAAGCATCGCGCACTAGGTTTTATGCCCGACTAAGACCGACGCAATGTCATTCACGGCTGGGACTAAACATCTGATAACCAACAGCAGTCCGACAGGCGACCCGTTGCAGTGAGATTCATGCACACCTCGTATAGAATGATCTCTGAGTCATCCCAACCAGGCCTCCCGTTTGCAGCACATCGTTCGCAACTTTGTGCGCTTTGGAACTCAATCGACGGCTCACGGTAGAACTATGTCGGGGCCAACGAAGACCTGCCAATGCATCAAGCGGAAAAGTCGAAACATCACGTCACAAGGTAATTTGGGACAGGATCAGGGTTCAAAATGTGCTACCGATGCCAGCCTGTCGCGTCCCGTGGACTGCGAAGTATCGGTCAAAAGTTCGGAGCCACCAATCATCTCCGCAAGTCCGTCTTAATCCGACTTGCATGCGTCCGAGAACATTTCCGGGAACAGACTCAGCATATCCAAACGTTGTTGCCTAGCGTCAATTTTTTTTTTAGGTGCTCGTACTCTGGATATCGCGACAAGCGTGTCCTCCCCTTGACTCCAATGTTTTCCTAAACGCCTCGTAGATGAGCCGTGACCAGAAGGTGGCATCCAATTCCTATCATAGCAAAGGTATCAACCCTTACCTCCGCTCACCTCTGCCACCGATATTTTTCTCCTTCTTGCGCCTACTGTTCTCGACGGAGAGACGCGCCTTTTCCTCTGCCTCTTCCTCCATTTCTCGATCAATCGCTTCTCTGACCCGCATGAGCTCTTCCAAGGGTATGCCTTTAGTATCCACCACCACGCTAGGTGCGCCCTCCAAGTATCTTAAATTCTCTAGCGCTTGCTCGACCAGCTTGTGCAGCTTGGCCTGCGAGTTCAGGTTGTCGTGTCGCTTTGTGTTGTGTAGATCAGGGTATAGAACACCGTCGCCGTTTTCAGCTCCTTTGAAGGCTTGGAGGTAGGGAACATGGGCGGGTAGCTCGTTGTGGAGCGTCGCGCCTACACAAACAGAAGTTTCGTGGCACCATGTTCGTGCGACATTGCGAGGTGTGTAGCCACCGCCGCCTATAATAAGTAGGGGGCGACCGTAGGCTTTTACCGTCTCGACACAGTAGCCATGCGCTTTGATGTTGAGATTGAAGCGACCGAGACGGTCGCCACCAAGAGAGTCGGCTCCCGATTGGAGAACAATAGCTTGCGGATTATACTTGTCGATCACGGCGCCTGTGACTGTCTTGAACAGCCACTTGTACTGGTCATCGTCGATGCCATCATCGATGGGAATATTCAAACTGTGAGCTTTGCCGGGATTCCTGGGGTCTACAGGACCCGTCTCGTCGATGTTCCCCGTACCTGGAAAGAACGGGTAGCCGTGTTTGTCAATGCCGTATTTATGGTACGAGAGTGTGAAGACACGGTCTGTAGACTCAAACGCTTGCTCGACACCGTCACCGTGATGAACGTCGATATCGATGTATAGAACGCGTTGATTCCGCGAAAGTAGCGTTTGTATCGCTATGACGATGTCGTTGACGTAGCAAAATCCGGAAGCGAGATTCTTCTTCGCATGATGTAACCCTCCAGACCAGTTGATGGCGATGTCAGATTGGTTGTTGATAAGGTTGTAGGCGGCACTCATCGTCGCTCCAGTGTAAAGTGATACGTAATTCCAGAGTCCATCGAATACCGGGCAGTCGTTTGACTCACCGCCGAAGCCATATGTTATGTACTGTGGGTCTTCAGGCTGCGCGTTTTGAGGTGTGATCATACTGAGATAGTCTAGATATTCGCGGTCATGGAATATGGCAAGATCATTCTTGCTCGCTGGTTTCGGTTCGAACAGATCCATAGTATACTCTAATCCATACGCAAGGACGAGCTGTTTCGTCAGCGTCAAACGCCATGGCTTCATTGGATGTGAGCTGCCAAAGTGATGATACTCAACATGTGGATTGTAGTGAAAGGACACATTCCAGCCCTTTGGTCTTTCAAGACCATGTTCCTCAGCTTCGCGGGCAATCACCTCTCTTTTCTCCGCATCAGTGAGCACTTTGAAATCTTGGTAATTGGCGATCCAGGGATCGTCCGGAGAAAGGTACTCCTGCACGATGTTACTAGGACCGCCGGGCGGAGCATAGTCGTTGACCCGCATATCGTGAAAGATTTGTGACGCGCCGTCGTAGGCTCCTTCGAGAGACCCTTCGCTGATGGGGTGTGTCTTTAGGTCACCCTCGTAGATCCAGCGACTTGAGTCGTCTTTGGTGCTAATGAAAGTATCGACAAACGAGTGGGGTCTCAGCTCCTCTTCCCGGCGTTCGTCCCAGCGCACTAAAGTATCAGGGTCAGGTGCAAGGGGCGGGACTCGATTGTCGTCCGCTGCAAGGTACTGCGGCTGTTAGTACATCCGTGAGAACACTGGAGCTTGGACGGGTCCCGAGACCAGTGAACACGAGATCTTCCCTGGTGAAAGTGTGGAGAGGCCTCGGACCAGACACTGTGCGCATACCTTTGATTTTTTGTGGAGGCCGTTTTTGGGCAGATTGCGAGGGCTTCTTTTTGAGGCTGTAGTCTACTCTAGCTGCGCGACGTGTGTACGGATTTGGCTTCTGCCACTGTGGTCCGTTGAGAAGCGTAGCGAGCTTAAGGTCCACACCGGTACCAGTTGAGTCGTGGCTATGTGACAGCTGGCCCTGGTCTTCGGTCAGGCTGTCCTCTCGGTTGTAGTTGTCATCGTCGGAACCAGGCTCGTTCGTGGTGGATGAGACGGGCTCGTCTTCGGCGCCATCATCTGATTGGGTGCAATAGCGCTGCATCTTGCCGAACACGTAATCTAGCCTCTTTGTCAGCGGCTGTTCCTGCATGCCCGACGCGTTACAACACGACTCCGTTAGTCTGTCGCAACAGCTAAACTCACGAGATAATCAGGTCGAGATACAGGCAAAACTCAAGTGACTGCAATCCGTGCGTGGGTAAAGTGAGAGTCTAGGGAAGAGTTTTGCGCTGCGTCATTTCCTTCATCGCGACACGGCTCCTTCACTTGTAAAGCCATCAGCCCTCATCGATTTCCATCAAAGTCGCAAGTGCAACGAGGCACACAACGCCTGATCTTCTTGCCCGCTATTCCGAGGTTGCCATTATCCGCGTCCTGGCTGCGCGCGGCACACCTCGACACGAACATCGCCACACGCGTCGATACGGCTAGCCATACGGCGTACCTGGCATCTCAACATGGCCATCGCAGAGGATGCGGCAACAGTGCTCGAACAGTTCATACATGATGGTAAATTTGATTCGGACATGTTGCACGATTTCGCAACTAACAAGTGGCAGTTGCAAACCTTCCAGCAGAGATTACGCATCTATACGAAGAAGTGCAGGCCAAAGACAATCAGATCCAGGAACTGCGCTCTGGCATACAACAGCGCGATGGTAGTATACAGAAGTTCATCAAACTGAATGGCAGCCTCGTTGAGAATCCAAAAGAGGCAGGGTATTCGAAAACCATCATGGCAAACTACGAGAAGGCTCAAATTCTGCAAGAGGAGAAGATAGGGCTTGTCGACAAGGCTGCCGCGCTGGTGCGTCACTAGTAACGATTTCTATTACATCTACTTACAATACCAGCTCGACCGTCACGTAAAGCGACTCGATATCAAATTGCGAGACCTACAAAACGATGGCTCAATACCTACTGACCCGGAGATGCCTTCGCTTTTGAGAAACTCTCCAGGAAACTTGGTGCCACCAGCGTCGCAGTCGAATACAGGATCCAACACACCGCTGCTCCCTGTGTCTGGCAACGGCGGTGGTGCTCCAAACCTTGCCCAGGCCGCTGCCATCGCACGACTTACTAATGCGACGAATGTGGGGTTAAACTCGAGGATGAATCCATCGCTGCAGAGCATGCAAACACAGGCGCTGTTGAACCAGCAACGACTCACAAACCAGCAGAGTGCCATACAGGCGAACGCGCGACAGGAGCGTGAACTCTCGGCAGGAAGCGACAGCAAGCGTCGCCGACCGACAGGAAGCATTGGCCCTCTCCCTGCAGCATCTTCAAACCTGGGCCGGCAAGGGTCTATAGGGCCCGGGACCCCAAAACCGTCCACACCTGGATCGCGCGCAGGCAGCGTAGGACCCCGGCCGCAGAAGAACGCACTCACAGTAAAAAAGGCGAAACCACAGCAACCGCTGCGCAAGGCGGCCCTTACCGCCAAGTCTGGGGTCAACAAGAAACGCCGCAAGGGTGGGTCACGAGCATCGCCATCGACGACGGCGGACGATGAGAGCGTGGCAAGTGAAGCGGGCACCGAAGACGAGGACATGTCAGGCATGGGAGGCGGCGATGCTGAGGAGGACGAGTCGGATGACACCAAGTACTGCACATGCCAGCGCGTTAGCTTCGGCGATATGGTGGCCTGCGATAACGACAACTGTCGGTATCAGTGGTTCCACTGGGAATGTGTGGGCATCAAGGAAGAGCCATTGGGAGATTGGCTCTGTCCTGAATGCAGAAACCAAGCGCCTTCGAAGATCAAGAGAGCACGTTAGGGACGGTTCGGAGTAGATCGAGGGTCGGCGGTTGACACGTGACTGCAGATGCGCACGTGCTGTAGCTTGGCAAGGGTGCACTTGCTCTATAGCGAGCGGGAGAGGCGTCGACTGGGAACAGCCACCAGCGAGACGCGTGGCATCATATGTCTATTTTCACACTGTAGTCTGTGTATGATAGACTGTTCTATACCCCATCAATTTGCGTACTCGCTGCACGAAATTAGTTCAGTCTCCACAGTGTTGGCCCATGATCGCCGGGCCAGACCCGACGGCCGGGATGGCCATGGCAATCTCGTCGTAAAACGCGGACCTCTACCACGAGCATTCATGGTACCGCTGCCCGTCACTGGACTGGCAAACAGGACACCCAGGGCAGACTGAGTGTGACAGTCACTATTACCAGGTCTCGCTATAAACACCACGGGGAGCGTCGAACGGCTTCAATGTCGAGTGCCCTTGCCATGGTCGCCCGCCTGGCTGCTAGTTAGCGCCTAAATGCGCCAGCCAAGGCCGCGCGAAAGGGGCAGCATCACCGACATTGGACAACAGCAGCGGGCAGCCTCATAAGTGTCAATGGCCCCGGCTGCTGGGTTCCTGCATACTCGTAGTAATATTCTGGTTGTCGCTCTCTTGCACCGCACCTCGGCCTCTTTGACTAGACCGCTGGCGTGCATTCCACTCCCTTGGCTGGCTGACGTGCTGCGCTGCTTTGTTTGCATTCGCTCCTTCACCGCATCGCATTTTGGAACATTGCCGAACGCCCGTCGACTCCTACCACGCCTAGAGTTTCACCAGCAGCCCTCGCCGCCCGCCACGCTCTCTGCTTTTGCAAACCTTCGCTCCCATCTGAAGCCCACTAACACGCCCCGATACGGATACGATCCCTGTGACAGCGGCAACCCGCGGGGTGAAACGCGACGCAACCACGATGAATGCCATGAACACCCGCAATGGCGCCCTGTCGCCACTCTCCACCGACAGCCAAGAGTGGTCGCCCATCAACGGCTACCGGAACATTGGCGGCGACAATCCATACTCGCCGACCATCCCTCCCAACACATACGGGCCCAGCAACCCCGATGGCGGCATGCTCAATGGTATGCGCCCTGGCACCGGCAATGGCAACCCCTCGCCGCCCAGCTCAGTAGGCCGATCCAGCGACGGTACAGGCCTGTACGCCTCCAGCATCAGTGAAAACACGCGGCCCATGATAGACCCTAGGAAAATGCAGGCGCTAGAAGAGACCATGTCGGAACATTTTAGAGTGCTCAAGGCGTATTTGGGGCCGTATCTCAATGACGAGAAGGGCAACCCGCGCCCGAGCAGGGCCAAGGACAAGCTGACCCGCCTATCTGCTGTGCAGTTCCAGGAGCTCAGCACCGACGTATATGATGAGTCGATACGCAGAGAGCAGGACCGTAAGCGGGGAGGGCCGGGTGCGCCTGGCAACGACACCCCCAAATACCTCCTACCCAAGAACAACTTCCACCCAAAACGTAATCAGGCGAGACAAAAGCTCTCCACGCTGCCTCTCGAGCGCTTCCGTCAACTCGCGACCGATGTCTTCTACGAACTCGAGCGCAGATTCCCGCGCTTCACCGGCGGCGACATTCCCCCACGATCCTCGAGCCCCAACGGCAGCATCGCGAGTCGCATAAGTAACAGAGGGCCTCCGAGTAGAGGTGGCACACCGAACAGCATGGGCGGACGACCTCCGCCAGGGCCAGGCTATCGAGGGCCTCCAATGGGTGGACCCATGGGCGGACCCCAAGGAGGGCCCCCAGGTCCACCAGGCGGACTGCGGCCCGGTTCTAATGGGTCAGGTGGCTCGTTCGGGCGGCCACTGCCGAAGACGTTCCAGTCAAACACCATTGTGCCGAACAAAGGAACCCTGGTCGAAGATGACGATGATAGCGGGGCAGATGATGACGACGCGTTCAATCTGGAAGGCGCTGCTGCCAGGCGGCAGACGAACAAGAGCGCGAAGAGTATGAGCATGGCACAGGAAAAGATGACCGCAGATCTGCAAAACCAAGTGGCTGAGTTGCAGGACAAGATTGGCTCGTTGGAAACCACCATACGCAACAAGGACGACGAACTGCAGCGACTTCAAGATACCGACAGAACACGCGACGGTGCCTCGGCTTCCGAGCGTGCGGAGTGGGACCAACTTCGGAATTCGCTTGAAGAAAAGGTCGAACAGGCTGAGAATCTCAACTCTTCACTTCGTTCCGAGATAGACAAATTGCGGAACGAAAACGAAAACGCCGAGAGCAGTCTCCGTGCCCAGATCGCAGATTTGCAGTCTCGACCACCTCAGCAAGCGTATGACAATGGAGACGGTGAATGGAGACAACGATGTGAAGAGCTTGAACGGGAGTTGAGCGAACAACAGCAGGTAGCTGAAGAAGTACGAAGAGACGCAGCCATGTTCCTGCAAGAAATGAAAGAACTTTCTGCCCGCAGCGATGCCGCGGCCGAAAAGGAAGAGCAAATGGCGCATCAAGTGTCATCACTCGAGGCGGAGCTTAAAGACTGGAAATCGAGATATGCGAAGGCAAAGACACAACTGCGAAACCTCAAGGCATCTTCTATGGGCTTACAACAGCTCATGTCCCTGAACCAAACCAACATCTCCCGCGATGCCGCCTTTACAACGCCAGACGGATTGGTCAAGGATGTTCACATCACCAAGTTCCAGCTGAGCATTGATGAGCTGCTGCAGACGGCGAGAAGAGCAAACTCAGAACAGACTCTCGAAAGTATGCGCCATGTCGTCAAGTGTGTACGAGCCATTACGGGCGACATTGACAGCACTTCTCTGTCACAAGTCCAGTCTCCCACCAGCAGTGTGAGCGGCGACCTCTTTGCAAGCCCTGAGAAGCAGCAAGCAAAGCTCAAATCTCGCGTCAGCGCCACGGCTAACAACCTCATCACTGCAACCAAGAACCACACAGCATCTGGCGGCCTGTCACCAGTCAGTCTTTTGGACGCTGCAGCTAGTCACTTGTCAACAGCTGTTGTCGAGCTGGTCAAACACGTCAAAGTGCGACCTACACCAGAAGATGAGCTTGAGGCAGATGATGAGGATGCTGATAGGCCGATGCCACTAAAGCCGGCTGGGTACAACAACTACAGTGCGTACTCGCCGAGCAACACCAATGACAATACCAACAGCAGTGGTGCAACCTCGGCATACGGTCACCAGCGCAGTCGCAGCAGCAAAGGCGGCAGCAGTGATACCACAAGGTATAGCACCTACAGCTCTCCCTACAGCGGGTACGACGGACAGAGCGGTGCCATGAACGGTACTAATGGCGCAGGCGATGGCGGTATGCTCGACTTCAAGGTACATTCCAACCAATACCAGTAGTCAATCCCTACTAACGTTGGCAGAACTACCTTGAAGATCAGACAGCACTCCTCGTCCAAAGCATACAGCCGCTTGTAAATCTCATCCGCTCGAACCCCGATTCTACGCCCGGTGACGAGCAGCAAATCTACGAATACATCCAGGACATCTCGCAGGCAGTCGACGACACCGGCAACAAGACCTACGATGCTGTAAACCAGCTCTCAAACCCTGCGTTGAAGAAGCACGCGCTTCCCGTAGTGGAGGTGCTCGATGAATGCAGACAAAGTATGCTTGCTATCGACATCAAGGGTGGAGGTCGCGACAGAATTCCGCCACTTGCATTCAAGACCGCTAGAGCTCTCAAGGTAAGCATTACAATAGTAAGAGGAATTCTAAACATGCTGATGATGATACAGGAGCTCGTACTTCGCGTAGACCGCATCGAGTCTGGCGAACTCACAGTCGACCAGACGCTCAAGATAGAGCTATAGTGTGTAACATCAACGCACACTGATTCAACGTATAATGCCACACTATATACCTTTCACGCGATTCATTTATTGGGCCCTATCTTGCCGTTTCGAACCCTTTTGGATCTGGCACGGCGTTTACGATGCTTTGCCTTCACAAAGCCTCACGAGATTCGCCGGTCCCTGCTTTCTTGGCTACAGTCGTTGGCGATGCTAAATATCCCGTCTTCGACTCAAGGGCAGGATTACAGAGCACGTAAAGATTTAGACTCTTTACAGGAAATATTATTATTGTTTATTATGGCGGCAACGGGCACATGGGCTTCTGCCGGGCTTTGATGTGGGCATGATTTTCGAGCATGCGCTTCAGCCACCTTGGATAATCGGATTATTATGGCTATGAGGTACTATGATTATGGACGGGCTGCTGTATAGTAATGTAGCCGGGCTAGAAAGAACCTTTAGGTAACAGTAAAATCACAACACAGTTGGGGATGCTCAATGTCTTTCGATACTGGTAGTGCATGCAGAAACGCGGCAGTCAGGCATGTGGCTTGCACCTTCCCCCTCTCCACTGCCACATTGGACCTTGTTTCCACCTCGGCAATAATTGCCAAATTTTCCGCATCACACATCCACACCCTTTCGGTCCGTCCCCATACGCGCCTGCTTAAGGTGAAGCAGTCCGGCTACGTCGTACTGAACCAAGCAAACGAGTGCGCGCGATGACGTCACCATACAGCTGTTACGCGCGTGCGCCTTGGAGCAGAGATCACATGGGCACAGCCACCACTGATAGTGTAGTCAACGATCTAGAATTGCTAGAGTAGCCAGTACCTTCACTCCGTCTGGGACGGTATCCGAAGTACCTCACAGATTCTGAGGTCTTTCCAAACGAAACTCTCGCTAGCCGCTGAAGTCTGAGATAGGAGCGAAAGGGAAGGACCACGACACAATGGCGCAGCAACTGCAGCCAGCATGGCCTGCACAAAGACCGCAGTACCACGACACAATCCTCACCATCACGAGCAGCAGTTGTGCGGATCCGTACGTACTATGGGACAAAGGCACGTACTATATGACTTTCACCTGCGGCGGCCACATCGAGATCTGGTCCGCAGACTCACTCTTCGACTTTGAGAAGAAGTGCAAGAAGAACGTGATCTGGCGTCCTCCACCAGACCAGCCCTACTCCGCCGATCTGTGGGCACCTGAACTGCATTCCATCCACGGTCGCTGGTATGTGTACTTTGCGGCTGACGACCCCAAGCATGGCAACAAGTCGCATCGCATGTTCGTCCTCGCAGGACCACCCTCAGAAGAAGACCCTCTGGAGCCGAGTAAATGGAATTTCTTTGGTCGACTAGGCGGTCTTCCCGAAGAGCAATGGGCAATCGACGGTACAGTCGTCACACTGGGCGGCTCCATGCTCTTCGTCTACTCGGGCTGGCCCCTCGGTACCCACGCCGACGAGTCGCGTCAAGAAATCTTCATCATCGAAATGGTCTCACCGACAGAATGTACAGGCCGCCCGATCCGCATCAGCACCCCAGACCTGCAATTCGAGTTCTCCGGTACCAGCGGCATAAACGAGGGTCCACAGTTCCTCTGCTCACCAGACGGCCGCTGGATGGGTCTTGTGTACAGTTGCGCGGGAAGCTGGACACACGAGTACAAAATGAACATCCTGTACTACACCGGTGGTCACCCGCTCGACCCCCACTCGTGGGCCAAATCTAACAAGCCCCTTCTCAAAGCCGCTCGCGACGACTCTCCACCCTATGGCCCAGGCCACGGCAACTTTGTCCTGGTCAACGGACCCGGCGGCCCAGAAGTCTGGGGCTGCTTCCATGCCACCGATGCCAAGACTGGATGGGAGGGTCGTAAAGCCCGCATCATGCGCGTGGGATGGGGTCAAGGAGGTCCGTTTATGGGCTCGGGCGAGTGTGGAAGATGTTGCGGCGAAGTCGAGCATTTCATCCAAGGTTGTCCTGGTGGCACTTGTGGTGGTCAGGGCCATTGTGGTGGGGAGGGGGGTGCGGGTGGAGGATTCATGCAGCCGGGACACCAGGGCGGGAACTCGACGGATGATATCAAGAGGGAGGTCAAAAATTTGATCAAGGGTGGAAAGGGGCTTGTTAGTAAGTTCCTCAAGTAAAATTGAGAGATGGAAATGAGTGGAGACGGCATGGCGTGATGGTGTTGAGGCGTATGGGGATCCCACGACCCGGGGACGCACTCATAGCATCTGGACTGGAAAGTAACATGTGGTATCTAGTGTAAGAGAACAGTCGTTGTGTGTGACGTAGAAACAACCGGGTGTTCTCGTATCAGAAGATGAAGTGCATGCCATGAGTAATCAGTTTTTTTTTGCGCTCAATCAAAGTTCGACTCTCGACATGCAATCATTCATCAAACTGGGTTTTAACTCCCTCAATACAAGTTTGCGGGAGAACTTCGTCTCCGCTTCCGCAACTTGTGCATCTGCGGAGAATACCTGGGTAGTGGAATACCACCGAAGCCGCCGCACAAGGAACAACGGAATGCTGCCAAGAAGCTATTGGCGCCGGCCGAGGAGTTGTCCGACTACAACGGCATCAGGATACGGCAACTCTAATCTACGCATAGATGGAGTGCCGCGCCGTAACTTGTGTGCTTTCACACTGAGTCTGCCTATTCTTGTCATGCTCGTTATCCCGCGTTCTGGAGCCGGAACACAAACGTCCCGCAGCCGATGGCTATACGCTGTACGGCGGACCGAGTGGTGCATCCCCGTCAGGTTGAGGAGACGATGCCATTATGAAATCTAGAAAATACAAGTACTGCTCGTCTGGTTGCACGAATCCATCATTTACAGTTCCAGCATCTGATCTACAAGTAAACTCATATTGCGACTTCACAGCTGACATCACCATAATACAACTACGTCACAAAATACCAGCCAAGCCAACTCACTCCCCCTCTCATCATCATGGTCAAAGTACAAGGGACCTGCGACCCGCGCTTCGCCAAAGTCAAATCCGTATTCCAATCCTACCTCGACTCGGGAGAAGAGCTCGGCGCCTCCATCTCCGTCAACCTCGACGGAAAAGAAGTCGTCGACCTCTGGGGCGGCTATGCAGATGAAGCTCGAACGCGGCCATGGGAGAAAGACACCATAACATGCGTTTGGTCGTCTAGCAAGACTATCTGCGCCCTGGCAGCTCTTGTGTGCATCGACCGTGGTCTTCTGGATCCGAATGAGAAGGTGTGCAAATACTGGCCCGAATTCGCTGCGAATGGGAAGGAAGGTGTGGAAGTTCGACACTTTCTTTCGCATGCAAGTGGAGTGAGTGGTTGGGAGGAGGCCGTTACGATTGAGGATGTGTGCGATGTTGAGAAAAGTACGAAGTTGCTGGAGCAGCAGGCGCCGTGGTGGGAACCTGGTACAGCGAGCGGCTACCACGGGCTCACAATGGGCCATCTGATCGGCGAATTAATCCGTCGTGTAACCGGGAAGCCGATGCAGCAATTCATTGCTGAGGAACTCGCTCGTCCACTCACGGCGGACTTCCAACTTGGTGTTCCGGAGAAAGAATGGCACAGGGTCGCCGATATCATTCCCCCACCACAAGCACAAGAGAATATGGAGGGCATTGCCTTGGATACAAATAGCCTCATGTTCAAGTCCATGGGGAAAAACCCTGGCATGGACGCTGACTGGGCCAATCAACCAGTCTGGAGGGGTTCAGTCGTTGGTGCGGCAAACGGATACAGCAATGCCCGCGCTCTCGTTCGCCTCCTCTCCGTCATCTCCTTGGAGAACCCTTCTTTCCTCTCTGCCAAAACTCTCGATCGAATCTTTTCGACTGAGCAAGAGGGCGAGAAGGATCTCGTTATTCCGATGAAGGTCCGTCTGGGGCTGGGATTTGGGTTGCCAGCTGAAGGTAGCATAATGGCTGATCTGCCACCGGGACGGGCGGCGACCTGGGGCGGGTGGGGCGGAAGCCGGGTCATCGCTGACGCGGACAGGAGGATGACATTCGGATATGTTATGAACAAGATGGATGCAGCGGGATTGGGGCAGACGAATGAGAACGGCAAGGGTGGCATGGGCAATTCGAGGACGTCGGCGTATATTGCAACAGTTTATGAGGCGTTGGGTATCGTGGCTTGAGAGCGCATCTCTCGATCTACTTATGGGACGACGGTGCCTTGGTTCTCGGAGCTTTGCCGCTGTTGCTGTTGATTGACCACTTGTTTTGGCCATTCCATCCATTCGGCCCAGTAGGATCCTAGGCAGTCATCTACTACACCTACGATGCTCGTACCGCAACCTGCCGTCCACCAACCTGTGTGAAGCTGTTCTAGCAGTGCGCCAAAGTAAGCAAAGATGAGTAAAGCTAATGGCTGCCGTTGTTGCTGCAGCTTGAGGTATTCTTTCGGTACTAAGGATAACCAAACGAACGGCTGTATCAAGAGCGGAAAAAGTTGTATGTCAGTAAGAGTTTCAAATGGTTCTGGAGAGCGAGGTTCAGCAACTTACAGCAGACCAACGACCGTTATATCCCCATTCCTCCTGTTGATCTTCCCAAGTTTTCCGAAAGTGAACAACCCACGCACTCATCTTCCTCAACAAATATAGCGTCTCATCGTATATCGCCTTGTTTCCATCGTCAGCCCACGTCTGCTTGATGCGCACCACGTGCTGATCATCCGGTCCCGGCTGCATGTCGGGATCCACAATATCCCAGTCCTTTAGATAAAGCGTTGAACGTAAAGGGCCCTCTCTAAGATATCCATAGATAGGGCTTATGACAGTCTGAATACCGCGTACAAGAGGTATCCATTCTGCACCCAGGATACGCGATGTCCGTGCTGATAGGCTATCGCTGGCGCTGTCGTTATCTTGCTGTTTGTTCGCGTTGGCATCTGAAAGCTTGGAAAAGGTACAGAAAGCATAGAAGAACATAAGCGTTGAAGTAGCAAAGATTGCTTCAGCGTTGTGCGGGCCAATTGTGTCAATATCTGCTCTAAACCCGCTCAGAGCGACCGTATGGTGATGAGCTGCGATATGAAGGTTTGCGCGTCTGTCTTCAGGATTGAGATACGCGACGTGTAAAGCGGAGAGACTGATGATGCAGTGCATCATATATGCATGTTTGTATGCTATTTCTGGGAAGACCACCTGCCACAGCTGGGTGACCGCCGGCACACCGGGTAGTATAGAAAGACTTGTGGCCATTGTCCAGTGATGCAATAGGGACATATCTTTCAAAGAAAATGAGGGGATGACCTTGGTTTCTGAACATGGTGTGCTCGCTGCGAAAGGGTCGTTCTGGGGGGAAGCTAGCTGCAATGCGTTCGGAGTTGCCGGTGTTTGAGCACGAGAAGACGCGTGTTCAGTTGAACTTTTTGCTCGCACAGGAATTGATTCTGGGTATGCACAGGCAACTTCATGCCTTACGCAATGCGAACATCGCGGCTTTGCTTCGTCGCACTATCGCGCGTCAGAAGGGAGGTTGTAGTGCGAGATGCTTCGTACCTTGATCCGGCGGCGTTTGCAAGTGGCACAGCCCGTTCGCGATTTTGAGTGCGCTTTTCTTTTCAGAGCCATTGGGATTGGCCAATTGCATCAAAAGCTTCGTACGGTATACGAAGAAAAAGTAGTAGAGAGGCTCTGCGGACGGCAGCAATGCAAACGAGAAACGAAGAACGAAATACGATGGAGCTATGGACCGAAACAGGTTGATGCTAACCCGATCTGTGAACCTCGGCTCAATCGGCCAACGAATCCTTCGGTCCCAGCGACTTCCCCCAAACACCACAATAACAATCTGAAGATGCACGCACTGGTTTCTATTAAATGATCACTGCGAATTTCACATAGGCAAGGTCGTCAGAACCGCGAGACAACTAAACGCCGAAATCATGATATGCCAAACCCAAATGCGTCATGAACCCCCGTAACATCTTTCAAAGTACAATAAGACAACAAGAGCTCTTTCAAGCCCTCTCATAAAGTCCGATAATCTCACTATCCAACTTCTTCGCGGCCCGGTGATTCGTTCCAAAAACGTCGTCCGCACGGACAAAGTGGAACAAGACCTGCACCAAGAACATGGGCAGCGTATCGAAAACATACATGTACACCTCATGCGAAGCCAGGTACCCGCTATGACCCTGTCCAAATTCGATAACACGGAAGACGCAGCGAGCGATGATGACAACGGCCGCGATGGCAAGGAGTTTGTACTGGCACAAAATTAGTATATCGTTCGTCGTCGTCGAAGAAGAAGAAGAAAGAAGACGGGAAATCGACTTACCAAAGCCGGCCACGCATACTTCCCATACTTTGGCACCGTGTACCTCTCAGGCGCACTCCTCATCCTGAAATAAAAGATAACACTGACCACGACAAAGAACCCAAAAAACGCCAACTGCACAAACAGCCCCAACAGCATAATCTTCTGTCCCATATCCGCCATATCAGCCTGCGCCATCATGCCGCCACCACCAGCCTGCATGAAAAACGCAACAACGTCGCCGCAGACAAATATCTTGGTTACCAGCGTAGGCCGAATGATGGAAGCGTGTTCGGCGTTTACGAAGATGACGAGGCGGCCGTAGATCATGTAGATTGTTGCGGCGTAGAGAGAGGGCGGGAGGATGATGAAGAGGGATTGCATGATGTATGGCATCAGTTCTGAGGGGGATTGCGCGGAGAGGTAGCGGGCGGCGTAGCCAATTGTCATCACTAATGGGAGAGTGTTAGTGTGGTGTGCTGTGAGAGGGAAGAGGCAAGGGGTGATGTACTTATTGATCCGATTACAAAGGCTGTGTAGAACCAGGCGCGGCCCCGGATCATTTGGAAGAAGTGGTAGAGTGTGCTTAAGCCAAAGAGACCGGCGAAGAGTATGGCACCAATTTCGCTTGGTTTGTATGGAAAAAGACCCGGTTTGGCGTCTGCGCCTGCTGATGTGTCGCCTGCCATTGTGATGCTTCGGGGTGAAGTATTGCTAAAGATGCCCAAGAAAGGTTGATAGCGGTAGGGAGAAGCCAGGCCCGTTGGCAGGAAAAGAGCAGTTACTATGAAACGAATGTTAAGAAAAGAACTAGAAGTATGTGTTACAAAACGGCTGGAGAAGACGAACGGAATGAATGTGTGGCTTGTAGTATCCATCAGCAAAGACATGATTCCTCCTTATACAATTGAGGCCATCGCAAGCAGCACCCAAAAGCGCGCAGACCCATGTAGTGACCCACTCTGAGACGAATACGCGGATAGCCCTACGAGACGGAGGCTGTGCACTCAGGAACGAGATGCGGGTATCCACTTCGCGTACCTTGAAACCCCTGCATCGCCCGCCCGTTACACTAGATCCGGCGCTACGACGATACGATATACGACGCACATCCGGAAGAATGAATGTTTGGGTTGAGATGTCAATTCGATACCTCTAAGCCCTCTATGTGACGTTGCCATAACTGCGCCACGTGCAGGAAGTGCCGGTCAAAGATTGGCGCGACCATTCTATCATGCTCCTCCACCTTCCTGTTACCACCCTTCATTACCCTCTTTCGTCCCAGTAATTGCGAAAAGCCTTCAGTGATTCCTGCATCTAAATCGCTGCTGACTGCTCAGGTCGCCAGTGCGCATTCTCTATCTCCGCTTGCGTGAGCCCGTCGAAGGCAGCCGCATATCTGGTTGCAAGCCACTGCTCTACATGCGACATGGCCGAGTCGACCCCGGTCGATGGCTGGCTCGAGATATCATCTTCTGCCAGTGATTCTGCGTGTTCCTCATGGCCGGAGTAGTCCTTGGGCTCCTCTTCACTCACCGGTCGCTGCAATGGCGCAGGAACGTGAGGGCTCGCAGGTGATCGCGAGCTGTCCTCATGACTGTGGTGATGTTCGGGAGCCTCTGCATCCATTGGTGATCTTGTTTGCGCAAAGGAGTGAGAGCCTGCAGGTTGTGCGATCTCCTCGGTGGAGCCTTGGTTCTTCGCGAAGGCCGAGCTGGCCGCGGGAGTTGATCTCGCACCAGCAGCATCTTCACATAGCGCGAAGTCCTTGGCTTTCCCCTTATATACCGGACGTTCTGATTGCGTAATAGTCTGAGGGTCCACAGGCAGTACGGTCTCCTTGATGGGACCGCTGATCTCTGTGCCTGACGTTGGAGTCGATCCTGCGCCCGCAACAGCCTTGGACGGCTTTAAGTCATTGGGTTCCTCTTGCTCTACGGGTGGTTCTGATTGCGCGAGAGCATGAGGGCTCGCAGATTGCGCACTCTCCTGAATGGACTCACGGTTCTCGGTGGCCATCGCGGTACGCGGTTGCATATCTACAGCATTCGTAGAAAGGGTGGCTTCTTGAGGGGAATTGCGCCCTGTGTCGTTCTCCGCAGGATTGAAAAGCGCTGACCAGGATTTAGGCTGCCAGCGAGCGGTGCTATTTTGTTCTTTGATTGGTTTGGAGCTGCCCTCACCTGGCATTAAAGCAGACAATCCCGTTGGTTGAGATCTGGCATACTCCGCCCATACCTTTGCCGATTTCGCTTCAGCTCTTGCCCTAGCCGGTTGTACATTCGTAGCAGCAGATGCATAGCCCTTCTGTCTGTATGCATCTTGGATACTCTTGCGATCGTCGGTGTGCTGTTTCTGCTTCTGCTTTGGTCGCAGTTTCGCGCGCCCTTGCACCTTTGACCAGCTATCCGGGTCATTCAAAAGACTCTCCTCCATAGCCTTCTTCATATCATCTTCACTATCGACATGGGATGCTAGCTTTCCTGCTGAATTCCCAGCGGGTTCCGGCGGCTTGGCCTTCAAAACTTCGTACCTGTTGTTTGGATGCTCTTGAACTGTCTTTTGATTTGTAGGCGCTTCATCGCTAGGAACCGAATCAGCTGCAGACATGTGGCCATCAAGGTCATACCCGTTGCCGATAACAACGTTGCCAGCACGATTATGATTGTTGCCGATGGCACCTTCGCTATCCTTGTCGGTATTTCCAGTGACACTGTCACCATCGCTATCGTCCTTCGCGACGACCGATGACGGAGGCTCCTTCACCGTGGCGGAGATTGCCTGCCTAGTAGCTTCGGATTTCTTTACCTTGTCTTTCTGCTTCTTCTCCTTCCTCTTTTGCTTCTGCTCGTTCTGTTCAGACGACTCCTCCAGCGTTTGAAGGGGCGTAACTACCCGAGGTGTAGGCTCCTGGGGTACAACTTGCTCTAGAGATGTGTGCTGTTCTTGGGTTGTAGGCTGCACCTTATTTGAAGGCTCCTCTTGAGATGTCGTTCCCTCCTTCTGTGAATGTTGTTCATGAGACGCAGGGTGCTCGTTACACTGCTCTAGTAAAACAGGCTGCTCCTCCGATTTGGCACCTTTACGCTTCCTTGACTTGTTCTTCTTTTTCGGCTTCTTTTGTCCATCTCCTTTGATGGGGTCTGATCCGACGAAGTCTATGGTCTTCAGCAGAACGCCCTGCCGAGCTTCCGTGAAGAACTCTACCCAGGTAAAGATGCTCTCGATTGAACGTGGTCGAGTAGCGTACTCAGGGAACTTCACTACATCGTGGCTGTGGTAATTTTGCACGAGGTTATGCCACGTCGAGTCGCTACCAGGATGCCTCTCTTCCAGGTAATCGAACAGAGTCTTTCGAGCTTTCGCGCCATCTAGGCTTAAATCGTACATGACGTCAATGTTCCCGAGACGAGGGGAATCGATCCAGAGGAATGCCGGTTCGCCCGTGACCAGCGGTCTAGTGTAGATCTCAAGCACCCTCATCGCGTTCCAAAGGAGTTGGTCAACGTGGTCGAAATCTGGATCTTTTATCATTTTTCGAAACGCTGTTATTCCGTCTTGCTTGACCCTTTGGCGAATCTTCGCAGGTGCCTGGATGAATCTGTCGAACGCGGGTTTGTGCAACTTCAGAACCCCACTTACAGCGCACCACAATACTTCGAATGGCTTGAGGTCGGACCGTTTATGATTCAGAAAGAGGATGCAACAACGCATGTCATAATCGAGCACAGCACTCAGGTTCGCCCTAGCGTCTTGATACATTTGGCTCATATCCGTGGCCAGGCGGATCTCAAGATCTGCCAGCAGGCCGCGTGCCGCAAACAATGGTATGACACATCTGGTCATATGATCGGGGGGCAGCATGTAGTTGTAAAGGATGGTTTTAGTATCAGTTTTGGCCTAAAGATGAGTGTACGAAATCAGTAAATGCCTCATATACAGTTCGTACATGGGGTATTACTACCTTCCAATGAACTTGGTTGTTGTTGATCTCGAAAGAAGCGTCCCAATAGCCCGTACACTGAGGATTGAAGAGTGACATGGGCATTTGACATTCCCGGATTTTTCGGTCCAGCCTTGGAAGACTAGGCAAAATGTGAGACTTGACCATTGGGTACTATGCGCTGTCCAAGTTCCTCGTATTTGCCTGTTCCACAGCCTCTGCACTCAACTCGTAGAGGTCTAGATCCAGGAAGTCCCCAGAGCCCGGAGCAGCCTGAACGACTGATGATTTTGGCTGCTCAGCGGCCGATCTGTGGAATGGTGGCGTATCCGAATGATCCTTCGGGTCCAACGACGAATGGGGCGGATCAGGCTCGATAGCTGATGCTCGAGGCTGCTCAGAGTCCTTTTCGAGATATGGCCCCATGGCTCCGGCAGGTGTGCGCTGCGCTAACTTGAAGAGCGCATTGCGGTATTTCTCCTGAATTTTCAGATGGGTGAAGAAGTTGACAGGCAACGGCCAGTAATTATCGGCGATGTGATGGCATATAGCTACCTCCAACGCACCCCGGCGGTTCAGTGGAACTGTTTCCAGGCAGTCCACGATAAGCTGGCCTATCGGTAGCAGCTTCTGCTTAAGAACCTGAGCGTGCGTCTCGTTGTTGAGATTCTGATTGTAGTCCTGCAGGCTCTCCGGTGTCAACGCCTTTAGTTCTTTCAGGTCGTCGAGAAGGGGTGACAGTATTTCGCTAATCAAGCTTTTGCCGTCATATTGGACTTCCGACTCCATCTGCGCTGTGGGGTGTTCGTTTTCCGGGTCCTCGATATGGTAGGACGCTTCCGTAGGCGGTAGGAACCGATTGAGGTATGACTTGCCAAGCTTGAACGACTGGAGGGTGGACCGTATGGAACCCGAGCTGTGTATGGCTGTCGGTAGCGATGGGCTAGGAATAACCGGTAGATCTGCGACGACGGGAGTCACCGGACGTGGTCTTGTTGAAGACGTGGCGGTGGAAGCATCATATCCATCCGTGGTTGGCGGAAAGTCGCCTCCAGCCTCTTCGCTGCGGTAAGAGCGTTCCGACCCGAGTAGTGGCGTAGTGTCGTCCATGGCTGCTTCTTCATCAGACATTACCACGCGCCTACCAAAACCCCACCTTATTCCGTGCATATCAGCGTCTAACATTAGTTCGCAGCTTCGAGTGCATAGGCTGAGGAGAGTGGAAACGAGGGTTGATAGTGTGCAGGCCACGTATTTAAGTGACATTAGCTTGCTAGTTATGCGATATTGTCGGGCCACATGGTGGGTTAAGTCGGAAGGAGCGGTCTGGGGGAGGGAGTCGCGGCTGTGATTGTGATAACGTTTGTTTGCTCGTCGGCCAGACTAGCAAATGGGCCTGGTGGAGTCAGAACAAGCGAGCAGCGCGTGGAACAGATTTCGAAAGTCATGAGAAGCATGGAAAAGAGAGTGGTAAAGGTAAGGCATGAAAGGCTTATATGTACAGGTCGGTTCCAGGGTCATCTAAGAACAATAAAATGTATGTATACAAATAGTACAATGAATGTGATTAACTTAGCGGGCATGTCACATAGAATCGATGACTTACACGCTCATGTCGTCGCACTGTGACGTGTCGCCGGCCCTGCTATAGCTTGTCTAGGAACAAGACTGCCCTCCATGGTTTGGGTGGTGGATTATTGACTTGGAGTCGTTCACAGCCGGATTGTCCAGGCCAGCTCCCAGAGGGTCTTCCAAAACGACAATGAGGCACCGCAGCGTGACGTTCTCTGACGGAACCAACGGAATAGTTGTATGCCTTTTGCTAGTCCGAGCATCATCGTCCTTCTCTCCAGCCGATGGGTATGAGCGCCGCCGCAACTTGTCCCACACCCCTCTCTGTCGCCAGCAGATTGAACTGTGCCGCTGCATTTCGTGTGTCCTGAACTTCTAGTCGTATGCCTTGGTCGTTGAGGTATTTGCGAACCGCGGGCGCAAGAGGAACGGTACTGGGGCCGGTGCCAATGATGAGTAGATCTGCCGCATTGCTGTCAGTCCGCATATCTTCCCATCTTTACAGAGAAAGCCGAAGACGTACCAGGCTTCGGATATAATAACTCCAACACGCCCCAAGCCTGCTCCTGCACTTCCCATTGCCCCTTCGCGTTCAGCAATTTGCCTGTCATTGCATCATCGCCCGTACCTCCTTCAGCGACGGTGCCCTCTTTCCTGCCTTCGCGTAGCCAGGGCTTCCATCTATATGCCTCTCCGCCTATCAAGAGAATGCCGCATCCGCTAATGCGCATCTGGTTGTTGAGCGCGAAGCCATCGCCTGTGCAGGCATCGATGGATGTAGCGGGCGCAACGGTATTTCGGAGTACATCGAGAGCGCTGAAATCGGTCTGCGTATCTTCGTCGCTCTTAGGGCCGCGATCGCGCGTTTTTGGAGGTTTGGATTGGAGGAGGGCGGGGCGTGTCGTGTGCAGGCAGCGTGCTTGTCGTGCGGACGCCATCGCCGGGGGTTTACATTTGGGCAGATTACGACATGGGTTTTTGGTTATACATCTTGATAATGCACGAGTGCACTGCAATAGACTTCGTTCCATGGTTGTGATATGCAATTGATTGTTGTGGCGGGTGTCTATGTACAAGCCAAAAGTTATGCTAGAGCTGATGATCGATGCTGTCATCGAATCCAAAGAGAGCTCGGACCAGGCGGCAAGCGAGACATCTTCATCCGTTGTGCCTCATCTTGCACTCCTTTTGTCATCGCATCTTTCAAGCCGTATGTCCAAGTCATGTGCCGCTTCAGTAGACAATAAAACCAGCGTTGCAACGAAATCAACTCCCATGCGATGCGCTCATAAGCTTTTGTTCCGTGGATGCTATTCCACCCCCAGACCATCTTTTGCGACAGCTCTTGATCGTGAAGCAGGCGGTAATGCCCAAGAGCTCTTATGTTTCCATCAGCGAGCATGTCGGATGTCGTGGTCTTCTTCTTCGTCGTCGGAGTCGAATGCGGACGGAAGATCCTCACAGATGAGTCCCTCGAACGCGAACTTTTCGGCCAACGTCTGTTTATTCTCTTCCTTGATGGACACCATCTCGAACGACCTCGTAAGCTCGGAGCTCGTGTTTACTCGCTTCAGTGTCTGTCTGGTGAAGCGGACAGGCGAAGTTGTTGGCTGCAAAGGCGAAGATACGAAGTCAGCGTTTACTTTACACGCAGTTTGTACAGTAATTTCCTTACCTTGGGTCTGGCACCCTGGTCGACTTGCTCACTCACAGTCGCCAGGCTTGTCGATAAGCTCCGCTTGCGCTTGCGAAGGTCTGGAATGGGCTGCGCATTGTATCTGGGATCCGGCTTTGGCTGATTCACACCCAGAAAACACAATTCGGACGTCGGAGGATTGAAGGTGGATGTCATCCCGCGATCCATGTACAGGTCTGAGGCCTTCAGCTCTCCGGTCGGTGTGACCTGCTCGGGCGCTGCCGTGAAGCCACCCCACTGCGAGAAAGCGATAGTGCGGCAGCCGGGAGGCATGATCGAGAGAGCTATGTCCGGCCCAAGAAGCTCTCGCAAGAACGCACTGCTGGCGGATGATGCCTTGCGCGCGAGATGGGCGGGTTGTGGGATACTGCGCTCGTCCGTAGATGGTGCTGTGTCTGGCGCGAAAGGGACATAGTCTTGCGCAAACATCTTGAGATGCTTTGCTGATGCGTGCAGTTTCGCGGTTGTCAGACTGGAAGATCCGGCTCACAGCTGACCGTAATCTTTTGGACTGGATGTCGGTGTTTGGAGTAGTTGGGAAGTGAGGTCGGTGGTAAATTTGGAGCAGAATTTGAAAAAGATTTGTCGCCATAAGGAGTAAGACTACCTGGTGAAGGAGAAACAATGCGGGTCGCTGGTATGGATGGCCCATTGTCTGTTCTATTGTCACCCACGGTATGTGGTCGCCTTCACCTGCCAAGCCGACCAATAAGAGAAGGTCGAGATCAAAGCCATACCGCCACGTTCACTTTTCAGTGACAAAACCGCCAGTTGCAGTGGGATATTTGGGGGCTTGTGAGGAGTTTATGAGAGAAGAGGATGTGTTGTGTGACAGCGGTGTGACTGCTTGTCGTATGGGGTGGAAGCAAACTGCCACGCCTGACAAGGCAGTCACTGGCGCCTGTTGTCTGCAGGCATTGTCGCTGCGCACTACGACGCCGGGCATGGTATTGACCATAGAACTACTTGGAGTGAAAACACGCAGCACTGTCAGTCACTGTCCCCACGCCTTAGTTTTCGCACCCTGGTGTTCGCAGCGTCAGTACGATTCGCCCAGGGGTACAAACCTCTTCATGAGTAAGTTCGGGCCGCAAAGACCTCCTAGTCGAGACTATTCTGAGGAGGGCTTTTTATCTGCTTACAATAAAACTGGCAGTTGAGTAGGATGCAGCAAGGTGGACGAAAGGGGTTAAGGATTTGGCATAGGTTTCTAGAATTTGAAGAGCACCTCTAGATTAGAATTTGTGTTACAAGAACGAAGACTGGGGTTTGTCGAGAGATCTGCGCTCATACCTAAGAGGGTGTAGGCACACTGCGTCATCGGTCACGGGAAATCGCGTTGCGCTCGTGCGCTCTTTCCGCGACTAACAAAGGCACATTTCGCAGCCTGTTTTTGTTGTTTACTCGACCCCGCTTGACACCAACTCTGAGTACTGCGCTCCCCTCTCTGGGGCGCTCCAGATTACATAGCGGCCATGTCTTCCAATGCGTACGTACCTCCATATATTGTTCTACACCTTTGCTGACCGATATACAGACGCAAAGGTCACGTCTTCCAGACAAAGAACATTAAGAAGCGCAGCGGCAGTAAGCAGGGCGACAAGAAGCCTGGCGATAAGACCAAGATCGATACCAAAGTCAATCGCTGCCATTTCCTCGAGCTGCCTGCTGGTATGTCCCTCCTTCGCTTACATACCACCCTAGTCGGCTAATCCTTCCCAGAGATCCGCAATCGTATATACTACTACGCCAAAGAAAAGATGTTTGTTGATTATGAGGATTGGGATGACCCTACACCACCGCTTCTGGTCAAGAACACCAAGACTGCAGCTGACAGTACTATCGTGCCGCATGTACTGAGTACTCTGCGCTACCGTGCGCTCACCCAGGTCTGCAAGCAAACCCGGACGGAGTATCGGCCTATTTGGCTTCGTCAATCTTGCTTCTGCATCGAACTCTCAACAGTCGCTCAGTTCATCGTCACATACTACCCCAAGGTTCTAGATTACCAGAACGCCCCGAAGCTTTTGGTTATTTCCTGGGACCACGGTCAAATTGGCGCTGAATCCGAGGAAGATTGCGACGATGACGAGGAGTCTACGGAGGACGTTCTGACAAACATCGCCCTCTTGACCCGCCTACGCGCACACTGCCCAACTCTTACCGTCAACTTCATCTCCCGTCGGGTACTTGAAGACGATGAACCCAACATAATGTGCTTCGAATGCGGACACAGCATCCATTGCGGATGCGGTATAGATTGCGATCACGAGGATACTTGGGGTGAGGTACTATGGCGAATGAAATGGAGTTATCAGTATCTCGAGGCACTGAATGCTTTCCTCGCCAACACCAACGAGAATTGGCTGAAGCTGTTTCGCGGCACCGCCAATCTACAACCCCATGTGGAGTTCACTTTCCACACCAATACTCAGCGTCTCACTATCTACATCCGTTTCTCAAAAGGCCAAGCTCCCAGGGGATTCAAATTGAAGAGCATGTACAACTCTGCTCTTGGCTTCCTCAATCACTGGGGTATGTTGGATCTCAAAGCTAGCGATTCGATCGACTATGTCATTGGCGAAGCAACTAGCAAGTACACGCGCCACGCTGGCGGGTGTGGCAGCTATGTCTGCACCTACAACCAGATCCACCTTGACAACTCCACCATCGCTGGTTGGAAGAAAGAGAAAGAGGCCAAGACATTCGCGTCTTGAGTCTTCGAGGGTTGCCTAGATCACGAAAGGTCATGATAGAAAGTCACCGTAGTTCATAGTACAACGGCCAGAGGGCTCGGGTTATGTTCAGAAAACATCGGTGAAGGAGATGTTCATGTGTATACTTGTCAGCCTCATTACATGTAGTTCATACCTTCTAGCTGATGGAAACATTGATGTAGAGTCTTACTGCTGTGACTTTGTTGTACGTCTCTACTCATGCGCCGTCCTTATCGTGAACACTGGGTACAACGCTGAGATACGAGCTCCCTCATACTCTCAAGCGGCCAGTGGCGCCCCGCTCGGCCGAGCTATGGCGCATCCTGGACAACACCGCCGTCCAGCCTTGCAACATATTTACATAGCATGCATATTGCATGACAACCAAAAGCTCACGGTATGAGTACTGTTACGAAAGTGGTGACGCTGCTGAGATCAACGAGCGCACCGTCACGTAAAGACGCGACGATCGACGTGTTCCCTAACCAGCGACCAGCGTTTGCGTCGATGATCCCTCGTCTACTACCCCATTGACTAAACCGTGATAACTCAGAGAGGCACAGCTCACCGAGTTTTGAATCTCCAGGACGCCGGATGAGCCGTTGGTGCTCTCAACAACAGGTGTTGCGCGTGTTACGGCGTGGCGCAGGGTGGACGGGTCGTTGGCCTTGCGCCTCGGGCCGTCCGGTAGACGGTTTTTGGATAGGCAAAGGCTACTGCGAACTCTGATCCAGCTAAGTTTTGCGCAAGATCTCTCGGTCACCAGTTCGCACGAGGTGCAGCGTTGGCATGCTGTCGTGCTCCCATGCATCACAATGTGGCAGCCTATCGCGTGGTTAGCACAGCCGAGCTGAACACAAACTCGCTGACTATGAGCAGCGTAACGCCCAATCAGACCCCATTGGCTGCAAATACATCCCCAAAGGACTCTGTATCCCTGCGGAGTCAGCAACTAGGCAGCATGAAATGGCAAGGCTCGGTCGAGGGCTGTTCTGGGAGGCCGACGTCCCAAGGCTGACATCTCCTGCGCTGTGTTGCTACCCATGTATATGTAGCCCAGCTCCTCTCTCTCTCTCTGGGGATGAGCAGCTGAACTCCAGTTCTTTTCTGTTTCCTCCTCGCTGGGTACCAAACATCCGGTCTTGTCACCACCCTACTGATCTTGCACATCACCACACAGACCACGACGATGGCCTCCGATACATCAGATTCTCTGCCTATTCCTCAGCCTCCCCCTCATCTGTTCGTGGGAAACTTCGCTGAGATCGATCCGAACGATGCTCCGGGCTCCTTCCAACGCCTTGCGGATATCTATGGCGAAATCTACCAGCTCCAGTTCCCAGGACGCGACGGCAAGGTCATCGTTGTGTCATCATACGATACAATCAACGACTGCTGCGACGGTGAGCGCTTCGAAAAGCCCATCAATGCTACTCTGGACGAGGTGCGAGCTTTGACTGGAGATGGCCTGTTCACAGCGTATCCCGGCGAAAAAGTACATTTGACATACTTGATGTGATCATAGATGTACTAACATATGTTCTAGGCTTGGGGTGTCGCACATCGGCTCCTAATGCCCGTCTTTGGACCAATGGGTATCCGGAAAATGTTCGACGGCATGATGGACATTTCGACGCAGATGTTGCTCCGGTGGGACCGTTTCGGTTCAGATCATGAGATAGAATGCAGCGATGACTTCACAAGGTGAATATCATCCGACTACTAGCCAATTGGCCCCTCGTTACTGACTGTGTCCAGATTGACCTTTGATATGATCGGGCTGTGCGCGTTTGGTTACCGTTTCAACAACTTCTATAGTGACCGCGCGCATCCTTTCATTAACGAGATGGTCGAGGTCTTGGTAGAGTCTGGGCGAAGAGCTACGCGCACATCTATCGAGAACAAAGTTCGGGTCTTCGCCGAGTCCCATCGCCAGGACAATGTGAAGAAGATGCATGATCTATGCGACCAAATCATCGCAGACCGAATTGCTCATCCGCAGCCAGATGCCAAGGATCTACTCAATCCCATGCTCGAGGGCGTAGACAAGGAGACTGGAGAGAAGATGACGAAAGAGTCCGTACGATACAATATGGTGACCTTTTTGGTTGCTGGACACGAGACTACGAGCGGGACTCTGGGATTCTTGTTCTACCACTTACTCAGAAACCCAGACAAGTATCTGAAAGCTCAACAAGAAGTTGATGACGTTCTCGGAGACGGTCCTTTGGAGCTGAAACACATCCCAAAGCTTGAATACATCAAGTTCGCAATCTACGAAGCGTTGCGTTTCCTCGGTCCCATTGCGATCAATGGAAAGCATGCGCTGAAGCCTACGAAAGTCGCCGTAAGTTCATCTTTTGGCTACAGTAGTGGTATACTAATGATCATAAGGGGAAATACCAGGTGCAACCGAAAGACATGATCTTGATGAACCTCAAAGGTCTCCATCACGACCCTAAAGTATATGGCGACGACGCGGACGTGTTCCGACCCGAGCGTTTCCTAGACGGTGGTTGGGAAAAGCTTCCACCAAACTCATGGAAGGCGTTTGGCGACGGAATGCGCGCCTGTATCGGCAGAACATTCGCTGAGCAGGAAATGATCATGGTTGTCGCACTCATCCTGCAGAAGTTCCAAGTCGAGCTCGCAGACCCTAGTTACCAGCTCCGTACGTCCGTTGCTACGCTTATGTGTGACAGCGCTAACCTTACATTTTAGATGTATCTGTCACCATTACACAGAAGCCAAAAGATCTCAAGATCAAGGTACGCCGACGGCCTGGACGCACAATGGCTAGCCTAGGTGGGACTGGAGGCGGTGCGGCCATTACCAAGGAAGCCAATGACAATGGCTCTGACAAGGCCAAAGAAGCAACTCTGCCTACCAGAGATACGAAGCCGATTACCGTACTCTATGGATCGAACGCTGGCACGTGCAAATCGTATGCTGAAGACCTGGAGACAAACGCCTCGCGATTCGGATTTAAGGCGAACGTTGCCAGTCTCGACTCAGCTACTGAACACATCCCCAAAGACCAGCCAATTGTCATCATCGAGCCCTCATACGAAGGAAAACCAGCAGACAACGCGAAGAAGTTCACTGCTTGGCTTGAGAGCAATGCGAACTCTAAGCTGCTTGAAGGAGTTGAGTATGCCGTCTTTGGAGTCGGAAATAGCGACTGGACCCATACCTATCACCGTGTTCCCAAACTCACCGACGAGTTGTTTGAAAAGATGGGGGCTAAACGCTTCACAGAAACTGGTCTCGTCAATGTCAAGGGAGACATAATGGGCCCTTGGGAAAGGTGGTCTGAGCAGATGTGGAGCGATTTGCGCAAGTCCAGCGGTACCACTACTGAGGTACTTGGGGGACAGTTACAGGCTGAGATCACGCCTCCAAAGTTTGCTACATACCTCGGAGGCAAAGACATCGGCTACGGTGTAGTGAAAGTCAACAAAAGCCTAGGTGGCGGCGAAGTTGGTCTTACCAAGAAGCACATGGAGATCGAACTACCACCGGGAACATCGTATCGCTCCGGCGACTACATGGTCATCCTGCCGACGAACAGCATCTGCAACGTGAGGCGGGTCATGAAGCGCTTCGACCTATCGCCTGATGATAATATCGCCATCACAGGCACCAGCAAGACTTTCATCGCAACCGAAGCTCCAACCTCAATCTTCGATTTGCTCATGACACGTGTGGAGCTAAGCACGCCCATCTCGCAAAAGCAGCTACAGACTCTTGCCGAGGCCACACCAGAAAACAAAAGGGCCAAGCTAATGGATTTAGCAAGCGATGAAACATACAAGAACGGGGTCATACCCAAACGCTACAGCATTTTGGATGTTCTCGAAGACCACCCGGATTGCCAGCTACCCTTCGCAGTTTATCTTGACTCGCTGAAGCCGCTGTCTCCCCGCCAATATAGCGTCTCGTCTTCGCCGCTTGCAAATGTAGACTTCATCCAAACACCCGAAGGAACTACCACTCAGCGTTTGATTGTCTCTCTGACCTACGACGTTCACGATGAGGCCGCATGGAGTGGAGATAATCGCCGCTTCCACGGTGTTGCATCCACATACCTAGCGCGTCAAGAGCCAGGAGAGAAGATACGTTGCTTCCCGCGTCCAACGAACATCAATTTCCACCTGCCTACCGATCCGACTGTACCAATCATAATGGTATGCGCAGGTACAGGTCTCGCTCCAATGCGCGGCTTCATCCAGGAACGTGCGACTATCAAGAATGCCCGCAACGCGAAGGTCGGACCGGCGATCCTCTACTTCGGCTGCCGTCACTTCGAAAAAGACTTCATCTACTCCGAGGAGTTGAAGCAGTGGGAGGCTGACGGGGTAGTCAGCGTACGCGGCTGCTTCTCCAAAGTCGCTCCTGAGGGTCAGAAAGCGCAACGCGTGCCTGATCGCATGTGGGACGAGCGGAAGGAGCTAGCTGAACTATTCGGGGAAGGTGGCGCGAAGGTGTTCATCTGTGGTAGTGCGAGCAAGTTGGCCAAGAGCACGGCTGAGGTGTGTATGAAGATCTATATGGATACTTTCCCCGGCAAGACGGAGGAAGATGCTCTGGAATGGCTCGAAAAGGTCAAGGAGTCCAGGTACGTGAGCGACGTATTTGAGTAGGGATGCTCTAGCAGTACACTAGGTGGTTTTCGCCATAGGATCGCGCATTTCGGTAATGTATCTACGACATCTTTTTTTGCGCATTTACATAGATCACTAATGATTACTTTCGCACTACAATCGATTAGTTCTAGAACACAGTGCGAAACATCTCATCGACCCCATAGCAAAACCGATGAAACAAAATGGCTGACCTTGGTACCTTGGCAGCGGAACAATATGCACAGATGATCGCGGCGGAGAAATACGCAGCCAAGAAAGCACCAGCGGAGTGAATCAACCCGAGTAGATGCCGTCGTGTGATGCGCCCAACGGCTGTTTTGCGGGGGGGAAGACGCACCCCGGACGATCACTTAAACTGTAACCAACACGCACAAGGAATTAGATGCACCGAATTGGCTGTTGCGTACATCGCGCAATGTCATGTGTGCAGCTCAGCGGAAGGTTTACGCGAATGAGACAAGCACTCGATGCTGCTCTGATGTACAATGTTCCGGACTCGTACAGTGGTGGAGATTTGCATCCATGCTGGAGAGTAAGTAATCTTTCGAGCTTGGTACTATCTGAGTGTAGCTGAAACTTCGAAACAGGAGTGGCGCGCGCGCCAATAACCTTGGGAAGCCATGGTAGTGTTTGGAAAGCCTGGTATGATAGGTGGTATATTCGAAAACTGGTGTTGCAATTGATCGGCAGGGCTGCGGCAAGGGCTGGGGATGAGTAACGCGTGTGCCTGAGACGGCTAGCTGGCCTCGTGGTAGATTTCGCTGTTTTGCATCTTACTCCGAATTGGTAAGGGTGTTCCGATGGAAGTCATATCGAGGGCTTGGTGTCATTTAGGAGAGAGGAGTGCAGAAGTGGAGCATCGCCATGGCGTTTGGGTTGTATAAGGAGTGCGCATCTCGTCGGTCTAATAGCGGCGTCAGCCATATCGCATCTTCGCCGCTCTTCCCACCTCACCAGAACATTCAAGATGGTGCAATTCTCTGGTCTCACGGCGGTGCTGGTGCTTGCCTCCCTTGCATCCGCTCAATGCGGTTCTGGCACACCCGACGCGAAAGTCACTGGCTCCGGTAGCTCCTTCACCGCGACGAAGGGCTCGACGAATCTCTACACTGGTTCAGATTACCGTCTAGCTATCCAGCGCGCTCTCGATGGCATCAGCAGCGGACAGCGGGTCTCCGTCATCGCATCCGGTAACATTGGCGCTAGCACCATCACCATCACGAGCGGAAAGACATTTGAGGGCTGCGGAACTATAACAGCTGCTCCCAAGAGTGGAGGAGGAAACATCGAAGTGACGAACCAGTCTGGCGTCAAGATCCCCTACCTCACCATGGCCGGTTCGACATACTTCGGCATGCGCTTCTCTGGTACTACAGACCTGACTCTAGGCACCATCAACTTCAACCTCAAAGATGGCATGGGTATCCGTTTCGACCGCGACCGAGCGGCCAACACAAATGTCAAGATGGGCACCATCACCTGCAACGGCGGCACATCGCACTGCGTGGAGACATGGTAAGAAGATGATTGTACAAACCGCCTGCAAGACATACACTGACTTGGTATTTTCAGGAATATCGACAAGCTCGACATTGGCTCCGTTATCGGCAAGAATGTCGGAGAATGCGGTCTCCTCCTCCAAAAGGTTACCAACGCAAAGGTTGGCACCGTAGACTGCGACAACTGTGGCGCTGGCACCGGATACGCGGCTCTCCGTTTCGCCAACGAAGCCGGAAAGATCAACGGCGGATATGGCACCAACATCTACGTCAACCGCGTCAAGGCTCGTGGTGGCGGTCGCGGTATCTTCTGTGTATCTGCGTCTGGAGGTGCGGAGATCGGTACGATTGATGTTGCCAACACGGGTAACAACGCCATCTTGCTCGAGAACTGCTACAATGTCAACATCAAGGCTGGTACTGTTAGTGGTGGTGGTGAGGTTCGTCTGGCTGCGAGAACCGAGTTCGCGAACAGCAGAGATATCGCCATTGCGTTGAAGGTCGATGGAACCAGTGTGACGGAAAACCCGTGCACTGTGAACAAGACCAAATGGAGCCTCACCGGAAACGGGGCGAGGAAGATCTGCACATAAGTGCTTCCCTGTTTCCCCATTAGGAGCATCTCACAGTGCTGACTGGCGGATTTGGATAACGTGTAGTCGCAACTTCATTGTACATATCAACATCTCAATTACATAGAGAGCTTCATATCCAACAAATCTCCATCAAGCCGTGTGATCTCGAAACCGGAGTATTTTCAATCATCATCATCATATAGCGACGTTGGTACGAGAGTCCAGTCGAAAGCTAGAGGGGAGGCTGGGGTTACGACATGCATAGGCGTAGGAACCGCAACACTCTAAGCGCAATGTGAGTTGTCTTTCAGCTATCTCTAAGGTCATGCGCGCCAAGAGAAGGCAAGTGGATTCGTTGGGGCGAAGGCTTACGTGTGATTGAGATTACTGCTACCATATTAACCAACCGATGTCAGCTTTGAGTACCACAAGGCTGAGCATACTTGTACAATAGCTCACTGCCCAAGCTTTGTTGCTAGTGGAATGTACTGCGCTGGTCGCCTTTGCGATCAATGAATGTTGGCCCCAAGCGCCCAGTGAGCGGTGGTCAGCCGAGTCGTTGAAAGGGGCCTGTTGTTGGATACTAAAACCAGCCCGAGCCGCGTCTCCTGAACTCGCCATCTCTTCCAATAATCCATCATCTCGTGATGTTGCGCAGGATGTTCTCGTTCATTTTCGTACTGCAACTCGCGTCGTTGCAGCCTGCAATGGCAGCCTGCTACTGGCGCAACGGCACACAAAACACAAACAGTGTGTACTCGCCCCAAATCAACGATACCTCGGATCCCTTAAGCAATATTTGCTGTGCCGGTTGGGACAACCTACTACCAAACGGACTGTGTCAAAATAAGGCTGAATCGGTCATCTGGCGAGAGTCGTGCACGCTAAGTAATTGGGAGGATGGAGGATGCCAGGATCTCTGCTCGGACGAGGTAGCGTTGGCACGGCGTCTTTGTAGGTCACCGAAGCTGACGACGATTAGGATGCTTTACAAAGAAGCAAAGACGTCAAGGTGACGCCGTGCACCGGTGCAGTCGATTCGTTGACCTGGTGTTGCGGGGATACGAATCGATGCTGCACTGACGGGAGCACAATTCCGCGATACACTATAGCAGCGCGATTTGGCGACCCTATACCTTCTGCGACGTCCTCATCGGTCTCTTCTTCGACTGCATCTTCAATAGCGTCCTCCATGCTATCGTCTTCTCCGACTAGTACGCCAGCAGCCACTGGTGACAGTGAGCTCTCTACAGGTGCGAAAGCTGGTATCGGTGTTGGGGCTTCACTCGGAGCCCTCGCCTTGATCGGGCTGGGTATCTTTATCGCTAAGGCGCTGCGCTGGCGCAAAAAGGCGAGGGATGCCTCTACGCCCTATGTCGCACCCGAAGAGGAGCCATCGAAAGATATTTATCGATATGAGAAGGGTGGCAGCGAGACTGCACAATTGGCCAGTGCGGAGAGTCAATTGCACGAGATGCCCGGATCTGGAGGGGTTTCCGAGCTCGATCAGATTCGAGACAGTAGGGTAGTCAGCCTTAATGCCTCGGCAGTTTGATACATGGCGGATGCGCGTCGTTCGACGAGATCATGGATGGCGGAGAGTGTAGGCTGAGACTGTGAAGGCTGGAGGGCGTCGGGGAGCTTGAGGACTGGTCACGCTAAAACGCTAGCTTGGACGCTCAAAGAAGCGGCGGCTCAATCACATTGTAACTTCTGCACCACATTCGTCCTCTGTCTTTCTGGTACTGGCGATAATCTTTCTCGCAGTAAACGGCGTACCTTATGCCTCTTGTGCAACTCAATTCTCCATCGTCCATTATTGAGCCATCCGAGCCCAGCCACTACGTCATTGAATGCCGCTATTGGGTTTCCACCACAGCCGCCATCATGCAAGGAGGTCCGCTCTTCTTGAAGCACTGCATCTTCATTAGGGTGTTAGGGTCCATCTTCTGATATCTTCCACAAGACTACAATTCCACGGTGGACGGTGAGGGCTGCGTGTTACCCCAGCGGGCCCGGGCCGGTACCCGTGATGGGGGTAGTAGACCTATCACGGAATGAGATGCTGAACAGACATATTCGCAATGCTCGCTGGCACACTCTAATTCAGCATTAGATTGGCCAGTTGAGCACTTCAACAGCTTCTACTGGATGGCTCTCGGTGCATGATGACATGCATGCTGCTACTATCGAATGCCACTCTCAGGCCCGCCACACCAGACGGCTGAACAATCATGCATGCTTCCAGGTTGTACAATATAGTTTCATAGGCCATGTATGCAGCTCGAGATTTGGGTCACTAATCTTGCACGGCTGCCGGTAATGATAAGAAGAACATGGACCCCCCCTTTGGAAGTAACTTTCTGGATCACAAAACACCTTATTATCGATGACGGAACCGACAAAGGCGACAGAAATACAACTAATTGCCCTGAGATGTGACATTATCAGCGCTGAGAAGAACGTTGCGCAACAAGCAATCGAGGAGCAGAGAACCAATGGCACGCATGGTTCTGGGGGAGGGGTACTAGATGTATGACCACCTCTCAAATGTGCGCTCTCACTAATGGTTTGCAGCGATACATCAACGCCTCCTATTCAGTAAACTTTTTCTTCCTTACGCAATCTTCATGGGAAGCACCCGCGCTCACTTTTCAGTTCGCATTGAGCAATGGCGGTCCAGCGTCCACCGTCTACGGTAGCATATTCGCATAGGCAGGAACGATTCTAATAGCTTTATCGCTTGCCGATATTTTTTCCATGGATCCCACAGTTGGTGGTCTGCCACCTTCGCTAAAGCAGCCACGAATTTGTTCATGTTCATGTTGATCTACACCGTCTTCGTATCATTCTTCAACGTATTTGCCTTAGTCTCTCGTCTTATTTGGGCGTTCTCTAGGGACGATAGATTGCCATTCTCGCGTACGTTTGCTAGGGTCCACCTAGAGTTGAGGGTATCGGTTAATGCATCATATCTTAGCACTCTCTTTGTTTGCATACTGGCTCTCATAGACGTGGCTTCAAGCACCGTGTTCAACGTTCTTATCTCCCTTCCCGCAATGGGCTTGTACTTATCATACTTTCTGCCAATCTTGTTCCTTTCCTGGTGTCGGACGATAAGCGCGAGGCCTATACCAATTCCATGTGGCTCGTTCAAGTTGGGAGCAGTTGGCGCGTACATCAACGCCGCATCTTCGTGCTACATCGTTTTAACTAAGACGGTTCCGCGTGGTATACTGCCCCCATTTATCCCGGCTTTCACCTAAGCGGTTTCTACGCCTTGAGTGCTTATACCATTCGTTTCTCTTCTTCCAAGATTGCATCAATTTACCCAACCGTATTCCCCACTTGTTCGCGATCACGACGCCTCAACTCAACCAACCCTCGATCGGATCTGTACGCGAACACGAAGAAGACCTAGTGGAACATCAACATAAGCTTGCAACCATTCTTTAGAGACACTCAAACGTACCACTCTGTGCAGGGCTAGACCGAGACTCTAACCGGAAGCAAGATCGCCGGAAGGTTCTTCCGTCGTCTGTAGGTCAAGCCAGTACTTCCGCTTTACACGCAAGCCGGTGAAAACGTCGACACTCTCATTAGCTACCTTAAAAATGATGGTTACGCCCTAGACAAAGCGATCGCTGAAAATGTAGAGTTTATCGCTGATCACTCTATCGAACTATCGAATCAGCCTGACATCATCTCAACCCAGATATCTGCTTCAAGGTTCAACGCACAGAAGTCATTCGCATGAATCTCGTCAGCGTTAGCTTCCTGGTCTCTCGGAAATATCTTGTTACGACCCGTAATCATCTTCACCGCCTCGCGAAACGATGACCTAGGTTCGCCGTAGCAGTACGCCCACTCGACTGCTCTGCATCTTGCCAAACTCCGTTCTCTGCAAGCCAGACAGCTCTACAAAGGGGACATGTCTTCTCGTCATCCGGCCCCTGTTTCAGAAACTCTTTGAGATAGTTTCGTCCTATCATGTGTTCACAGCCTTGGATGCCGTTGATCTTGACACAAGGATGAGCCGCAGAATTTTCCATGCAGACTGGGCAGTCAGTGTTTGTCGTACTAGTAGTGTTGGCGGCGGTGAGGGGCTCGGTGTTGCGTGTGACGAAGTTATTGATACGCTGCTCGCTGCTTTGAGTGGGCTGGTAGTCTTCTGGGAGGGGATGAGGCTCGAACTCGACTGGAAAATCACCTCGTGTAGGGCCTGGAGCGTGCCCATATCTACGTGGTGGAATGGGGTGAGCATGAAAGGGCAGGTCTTCGCCTCGTCCAAAGCCTCCAACATGAATATGTGTATGGCTGCCAGATCCAAATGGAAGGTTCTCACCGAAACAGCTTCCAGGCCTCAGGGCTCCAGGCCCATAAGCGACACCGTTTCCGGAAAAGACGGGGTGGCTGAAGGCTCCCTCAAGTGCACTATCGAATGCAGCACCCATACCGATATGAAGATCACCGAAGTTTATATGGGCGTCGAAACCCTGCCTACCGCCGGTGTTGTTGAAAAGAAAATTTGGACCGAATGTACCTCGCATGCTTTGGCCTTGTGGCCCAGAGCCGAGCATACTGTCAAGGCTCGCCATGGTGTCAGCTAGATGATGCATAGCATCGTGATATCCGTTACTACTGGAGTGTCCGATATCAGTATCATATTCATCATCTTCGTCATCTTCGTCGTCGATGAATACAATTTGGGGGGGCTGACGAGAGTGTTGGAGAACTTGCGCTGTAGCATGGCAGCGACTTTGATGCGGATGGCCACCACCGTCACCACCGCCGAGACGATGACCTCGTGTATGGAAATGCTGGCCCGCGCAGCTGCCGGAGTTCGATCCGTTACGTCCAGGACCGAAATAACTCATGTTCAATAGGATGTGTCGAAGCTTCTGATCTGTCAGGTTCAGTGGTCGATCGGTTGTGATCGGAAGGAGCGCGTAGTGATGCGGTAAGTGTGGGTTATGGAACAGGCGCGGCTTATATGGGCGCAGGATCTGTGCGGTCGAGTGAATGAGGCGATACTATCGTGAGGAGAATTTAGGAGCGTTATGTAACGACTCTGCTGTAGGTGAGGTGAAAGCTCCGTGAGTACATTCGCTAGAGGCTGGGCAGTTGATTGGGCTAGAAAGACCAGGGCGAATCGCATGGAATGGACCAAGGCTAAACGAGGTCTCAAAATGAAACTGTGATTTGATTGTTCTACTTTTTCCCCTTCTTCTTCGTATCGTTCTCTTTGCCTTCTTTTACGAAGCCACCCAAGACCAATGCCTCTCTAGCCGTAGTGTTGATGATGCGAAAGCGGTCAGGACCTAAGTGGATACCACCATACCATCTTGTGACGACAACCATGACGTTCCAAACATCCATTAACTGCATCAAGTGCAGCATGCGCGATCCCGCAGCAGTCTCACCATCATCGTCGCAGTCTTGGTAGCTTGTATCGTTCGGGCCTTTGATCCGCCAGGCAGTCATGTTGTGAGTTGCGCGAGCAGCCTTCTTGTCTGTCGCTAGAAGATGCGTAACATACTGTCTAGCCTGTACTGGTGACGAAACAGGTGCTACGCGAGCCAAGAAAACTGATTTCTTCTCGGTTAGGGCGGGTGCTACGATCCAAGGGGGCTCTGGTCCAAGGTCGATGGCCGGGTTGGACCGTATATGAGAAATCTTGTCTTCTTCTAAGTGCTCGTCCTGGTGTTGATCGTGTAGTTGGATGTTTCCTTGTTCTTCCGCTTGCTCCAAAGCTTCTCTTGCCTCTTCGAGCAGATCGTAGATACATGCCTCGCCGGGTTGATAGATCCTTGCCAGCACTTCTCTTATTACATCGACAGCCCGGCCGCCCATACCCTTGGGGACATCTTGTCCCACACTCTGAGTGCCTAGCACGGATGGCGGCGCATCCGGATAGTCTGCCGGAAATTCTATACGCAGAGTTATCGATGGCAGCGACGGCAGACGTAGACTGTATCTTCGTTGGTCTTCATCCAAGGCTGACAGGGTACCTTTGTCGAAGATGGCGTTGAGCGAGGTGACCTCATCTTGGATGGCATCGTTGGCAGACATGGTTGTGCCCGTTGGCTTGGCCGAAGGCGGGGTGAACGATGCGGCAGGCGCGCTAATTTAGCGTCGTTCGCGCTCGAAAACATCAACATCCTCGCGACGCTCCTGCCAACCTCCTTCCCCACCACCAACTCATTGTTGCAGCCTCACGTCGCCAAACATGGCGCCAAATGATGATGCTAAGCGCAAGTCAGGTTTAACGATTGCGCAGGTGAAGTTCAAGCAGGCAATGAAAGATTCCGATGCCGAAGATCGTTCAGCACCCATTGCAGTCGAAATTAGCTCTCAGCTCTTCAACCACGTTGATGCCGTTCTTCAGCAGAACTCGCCCATCAATATCCAGGTATCTAATTATTAAACCATTGATAACATGTCACCGGGAGCAGACTAATTCGCCGTTCGTAGAAATGCACAGAATGGATTGTGAAGCACGTAGCTCCCTCCAAGGCTCGGATCACCACCCTCGGCGCGTATCTCATCGCTGTCTCAAAGTCTGTCGTAGTAGATCAGAGCACTCCAGCGCTAGCGAAGAAAGCAGCGCGCAACCGGATGGATATCTTGTTGATCGTCAACGATGCCCTCCATGCTGACAAGTTCCATCGTCGCGACACGACGAAGCAGAGTATTCTTGGCACCGCGTGTCAAGATTTTGTCCCTGACTTGATCGAACTCGCAGCCGCATGTATCACCGATAAAGGATCGCAGCTAGAGGTGAAGTTGAAGGCCATTGTCAACTACTGGGCTGTTAACAAGCTCTTGAGTCCAGAGGGCCTGAAGGCTTGCCAGCACAAGGCAGATGAGGCCTTGTCCGTAGCACAGGGTCGCAAGCGCAACTACGTTCTTCCAGAATACCACGGCGACCGAAATGCCAGATGGCACGATCTCCCAGCGTCGTACATGCTCGAGCCCATAATCAAACACCCGAACCGCCCGATCCACGAATCTCAGATCAGAATACGGAAGCTTGACAAGAAGCCTGTCAGTCCGCACGTTCGCGCTCTCCTCGACAACTACTTCGAGAATATCGACCTAAAGTACCTGCCGACGGGCGATAATCCGACCGGAGAAACAACCAAGTATAGGCTTTCGCTGGACCCTATGGGCCAGCTAGTCAAGCAGGACAAGGAGACTGGCGAGACTGCCACAGTGGCAAACGGCTACGGCTGGTCGCCCAAGTTTTGTCAAGACATACAGAACTTCACCGTCCCAGAGACCATCAAGATTGCGCGAGAGGACATAGAACGCATGGAGGACATGAAGTACCCACCAGTCTTATCTGGGGCGCGCCGCGTTGGCCAGCGTAGTCGACCTACTTCCTCGTCGTCAGAGTCGGGCTCACCCTATAGGGAACGAAGAAGAGGATACAACCGCAGCCGCAGCCGCAGCCGCAGCCGCACTCGCCGTAGTCCTGGGGATTATCAGTATGACGACGAACGCCGTCGAATGTCGCCCGACGGATCTATGGGTCGCCGCAGGGTCTCGCCACATGGACCTTCACGGCGAGAGTCTGAGAGCAGGGGTTTCGTCGAGCCGCGACCGTCATTAAGGGCATATGACCGAGAAGAATCTCAGCCTGTATCGCAATGGAGTGGTGCGAACAGGAACACCCAATCCAGCCCCAACAACCGTCAGCACCAGGTCCCGCCCATGCTGCCGCAGTCGCCTTTCAACGCGCCGCCATTTCCACCGCAGCACATGTCAGGCCAGTTCCAAGGCCAGTTCCCGATGCCAATGCCGCCATTCGGTGTTCCTCCTCCTCCACCACCGCAGTTCCAAGGACGTGGTGGCTTCGTTCCCCCTCCCCCGCCCCCCAACTTCAACGGTATGTGGCAGCCTCCTCCCAACACGAACATGCCACCGAACGGTCCGCAACAAGGCAACCAGGGTGGCAAACAATTTGGTAACCACCACGGAGGCCAGGGTGGAAATCGGGGCGGCAACCAATTCGGATACCAGGGCGGCAACCAGCATGGTACCAACTTCGGTCCCGGTAACAATGGCCAGTATGGTCAGAACCGTGGCGGATACCAAGGTGGACGTGGTTATGGAGGTGGACAGCGCGGTAGCAACAACGGCAACAGGGGAGGCTGGAGGGGCAACGGACGAGGCGGGCGATACTGAGAGGAGGTGTGAACGCATGCGACCAATTGGCGCGTGCGGACATGCGTTCAGCTCCGATGCGCAAAACTGTAGGATACCCAACACATGCCGACATGCCTTGGAGGAAGCATGTACATTCTTACGAAAGACTTTAGCCCTTCTCTGGGTGACTTGATTATAGCTTGCCTAATCTACTTGCTGTATACTCGGTCGTGCGTTTTGATGACTTGACGCGAGTGACTCTGACATTGGGATGCGTGACTCGTAGCATGCTCTGATTGTATCGCACAACGATAGTGCAAAAGATATCCTGTGGTCAAGCTCATACTAGTGGCACAAGCTTCTGGAACCCTCAAGTCCAAATGGCAGCTCTGAGTCAGTGATGCCGCGGCACTGCAGTCGGGGACGCGTCGCGACGCGTTCACCGCGGGCTCGTCATTTGGGTCGCGGATAGTCCCGCACTCATCACCGTTCACCACCCACCACTCACCACTCACCACTCACCCGCCCACGGCCCGGCGCATTATCACTCTCAACCCTTCCTACCCACAATGGAGACGACCTACTTAGACACATTCTCCAGCGGACGTTGCGCGTGATGGCGCGAACCAAAAGGAAACGCAACTCACTGAGGACCAATACAAACAAACGTTCACGATACGACGATTCGAGCCCTAGCGAAGCCGGCAGCACCAGCGATACCTTGTGGGCAGCAGAGTGCATTCTCGACGAACACGTAGTCCGTGGTGTACGCAAATACTACATCCAATGGCAAGGGATTGACCCCAAGACTGGAAAGACGTGGGAGCCAACTTGGGAACCGGAAGAGAACGCCAACGACTTGCTCGTCGCACACTGGACGCAGGAGAAGGCGCGCGATTTGGCTGAAGTCGACCAGCAATCTCAAGGAAGCGACAGCAGACACTCTGAAGGGCAACAGGAAGCACAGGCACAGGCCTCAAGGCGCATCCGCAATCCCCGTGTGATTGACAGCAGCCCGGAGCCTACCGACCGTTCCTCTGAGGCAACGAGTCCTCTCAGTATCCGAGCTGACCCGGAAAGGCTGCCGAGTGCCGCAGTGTCCGCAGCTCGTGCTTCGCCTCGGATTCAAATCGCCCGACGGGGTGACAGTCTCGAGAGGAACAACTACGTGCGCTTCACGCAGACACCATCGTCTCAGCCAGCTCCGACCCCAGAGCCTACCCAGGACACCAATCTCGATAGCTCGCAGTTGTTTGCAGCACGCCCACGACCTCATCTGTCAGACATAGTCCCCGACTCGCAGAGTTCCAGCGGTGAAGGAAGCTTCGTACCCACGACTCAACGCACCGAGGACATCGGCCAACAGAGCACTGATTCGAACGACTCGCGTGTCGAGGAAGATCTTGCTGAAGACTCAGTATGACCAACCCTTTCCATACCCAGACATCCGTGTGTGTACTAACCAGTATTTGCAGGGCCTACTTGAACTTATTGAAGAAGCCGCACAACACGCGTTGTCGCCTGCACGATCGATACCCGAGACGATACCCGAGACGATACCCGATACCACCATAGCAGATTCGCAGAGCCAGCGGCAGAGACCTGAGACGGAGTCGCAAGGTGCTCCGAACACACTCGAATTCATTCATATCTCGTCACAGTTGGAACACGAGTCAAGCCCGGAGCTCGAGGATACTGTGCACGGCCAACAGAGTGAAATCGATCAAAGTGCTGCACAAGACGAGTTTCAGGGAGGAGATACCGACGAGGTCGGGGTGCCTCAGGTCGACCACATCACTTACGAGCCTCGCCCAACCCAAAGCGCGCGCGAGATAATCTCAGACAGAGTGGGCGGTACATTGGGCGAACACCCTCGTTTGGAACCGGCGGCTACGGACAGTACAAGGAATGCTTCGACGGAGGTTGTTGGCACAGACGAAGTCACGATCTCACGGAATAAACCATCTACACTAGTCGAGAACAGCCAGTCTCATCATACCGAAAGGCCTAACGTAGCTAGCGATACACAAGTCTTAGCCGGTAGTAGTGACGACCCGTCGCAACGTCAAGGATTCCAGCAAATCAGCGTTTGCGACAGTCAACCAATTCTAATCGAGCATTCGGCATTGGAAGACAACGAACAATTCCCTTTCCAGTCACAACAGCCGTTTCTGCATTCTCAGCCTTCAGAATCAGTATCTTGCATCAAGGTCTCAGAGCAGCTCCCACAAGCTTGCGCGACACTGGTCCTCCCAGGACGAGTGCTTGCTGGGGTAAGTGTGCCAAGCGAATCCAATCCGGCGCCAGCGCCCGACCCACCTCACCCATCAGTCCAAGCATCCACTACAATCCATCACCAAGATCACAACGACCCGCTAGTGGAACTTCTCGAACCTGAAGCTGCTCACAGCGCCTCACCATCAGGCCAGCTTCAAGAAGAGCTATCTCTTCGTGATCAACTACTGCACGCGTCATCCAGTCCAGAGCGCGTACAGAACGCGCAAGTAGTACCTCTTGAGGCAGATTTGAGCACGCAAGAAGACACATCCGAGAGCATACGAACTACCATTGAAGAAGAGGTGGCGCATCGGGCTAGCTCTGAGTCTCGTCACGACTCATCCCAGGAATCGCCAGAACGCCCTTCAAGATCGCTGAATAACGAGGCTTCGCCGGTACTGTACCCACCCAGCTACTCGTTGCAAACACAAGAATCTAGACTTCCATCACGGCCTTGTACGCCTGTTCCTACCTCATCACTTTCCATCATGGCAGGCGAGGGTACCGGGGATATCATTAGATGGAAAATGGAAGAAGAGATTGCCAAGCGCATAGCAGAGTCGCGCCGTACTCCCAGAAGGCGTCCTAACAGGTCTTCAACGACGCCTTCAGTAACAGAAAATGTGCCCATGGCTACGCCCACGCCAGTGAGCAGGCTGCGGGAGACAGAAGAGCCGGCTGAAGGCACTCGATCGCCTTCCGCTGTACCAGACCGCTCACCTCTTGCGCAAGCGCCGACGTCGCTCAGAAACATCGCTTATGCTCCCAGCACCGTGCTGCCAGAAGCTGCCTCATTAGACAAGGTCATGACTTCATCACCAGGCGCTCATCCAGAACCTGCTATCGCTGAAGCGATAACACTATCAGAGCCTATCGTACCGGTACCAAGATCTCCCACATCCGACGAGATGGAGGTCAGTGACGCAGATGATGAAGACAGCGAGAGTCTTTTCAATGATGATTTGCAGTTGGTGGACCAGGAGTTCATCGTGCCCTTGTTCATACAGGGTCGGCAAAGGGATACGTATGCTCAGTACATAACAGCCAAGAAAGATCTGTTAGAGCCTTTTCTCAAGGATCGCCACAGCCTGAACTCAGTCGAGGAGGTCAAGAACATCCTATCCCAGCTTCGCGCTATCGAGACGCACATGGACTTGGTCTTCGCTGAGGCTGAATCGAACGTCTTAAATGGTGAGGCTTCGGCGACGCAAGCAGAGCATGCAGCTAGATTCGGCTTGGAAAACTCCACTAAATTTAGGTTTCTGTCAGCGCTGTTCAATGATTTGCGGCACTGCGAGCCGCAGAAACACGTCGTATTAGTCACAGAGAGTGACAACGAGACACTCTTCCACATCCTTGAGACGTTCTGCAAGACAACCTACATCAACTACACCATGCCGGGTAAAGATCGAAAGGCAAATCTGAAAGAGGTGGTTGGTAACTTGTTGGTCACCATCATCCCAAGCGATGCATCGCCCACCATACATGTTCCCGATATGATCATCTGTCTCGATGGTGTGCAAGACGCCGCACAAATACGCAAGAAGAGTTGGGCCAAATCGCCTAATTGCGACGTGGTGCCCGTGCTTCATTTGGTCATTCCGAGGACTGTCGGGCATATCGAACGGTACATAACGTCAGGCCTTGATCGATTAGATCATATGCACACTGTCTTGGCGAGCCTTGCGCATGTTCATCCGGACATTGGAAAAGCCATCGATGAACGCACACTACGTGATGTCCATTGCGCTTCGTTAGTCGCCGACTGGATCAAGAACAGGATGGAGGGTGCCGACTGGCCGCTGTCCTCTATTGGTAGCGTCAAGGACGTTATTGAGTATCAGACGCAACAGACATCGACAGATATACCCATGTCCGAACGTACCAAACGCCCTCTAGATGAAGAAGACCTTGACCCCGCAAAGCGTATGCGCTTCACTCCCCAACCACAAACAGTACCTGCTTCAGCGGTGGGTAAAGAGTACGAAGTCACGCATATTAGCGACTCCATGCCTGGCACTGCAGCTTACGATTCTGATCTGCGAACACAGCTAGCCCATGCAAAAGAGGGGCTTCGGGAAGAGCGAGAAGCTCATAGAGCAGGTCAAAGGGACTTTGATCAGCATAAGGATATGTGGGATAAGCAGCAGACAGTACACGAGGATCTGGCAAGCGAGCACCGCCGTGTAAAGAGAAGGCTCCAAGATGCCGAGGACAAAGTCGAGACGTTGACCAGGAACAACGCAACTCTCACCGAACGTCTCACGGCGCGTACCACGGAAATGCGTGAGGTGAAGGAGAAGCTCAAGGAACAGCGGGAGACGGCTCTTCTCGACCCCAATGCACAACTTCAAGAAATCGCCAAGCTTCGCAACCAGCTCGACGAAGCGAACGACAAGACGGAGCAAGCAGTGAAGAAGGCTGCTGCAGCAGAGCAGATGCTGGATTACATGAGAGAAAGCTTGCAGGATGCCCGGTCCACCGCATCTACCTCCACTGCCCGCGTTGAAGAACTCGAAGCCCAGCAGGTCACACTTTCCAAAGCGGCTTCAGGTGAAGCCACGAAGCGGAAGAGCATGCATATCGAAAGAAGCTATGAGGAACAACAGCAGCGTGTCAAGCGGCTGGAAACGGAGCTGAGCATTACGAAGCGTACATTAATGACGAAAGACGAGGAGATTGCTCGTCTGAAGAGTATGGGAGGTCGGCCTGGCGTAGGCACTAGAGGCACGAGTGCGACACCGCAGCCCAAGACCAGGAGTAGAGCTGCTAGTCCCACTTTCCCTGGCGGGCGAATTGCCAACTTGAGAAACAGCTAGGGTGCCTTGAGAATCCTTGAGGTTGATGGGCTCTGGATGTTGACTCTCCCTTGGTAGTCGCGTTCAGAGTATATGGGCATGTCATCTTGGCGGTGGTAATAACGGCATGGGCAGACAAGCCATCTTGGTCACGGCGTATGGCGGCTAAGACTACCAGGATATTGTATCTTCTTTCCCGACATGCATTACGATGAATGTATATACGTTGCATATAAGTCACTGTTCCTTCACTATACGCATCCTCTTGTGTTAATGACCTCGCGCCGACGACACCGGAATCTATCGCCGTTCCTGCCACTTTTCAGTCACCAGGTGCGGACCGAGAGAAGGTCACGCGTAGAAAACACTGCCCTCTCCACTGTCTTGATGTGCCTGACTATGGCTACGATCTCTCAGGTATATGTCTCTCCGGCGCTCTTGCACTTTCTCCGTCTTTACATGCTGGACAAGGCAGAGACCTCAACAGCGACTCTAGTCGACGACTTCACAGCAAGATACTTCGAAATTTCCCACTACATTCACAGCTACGCGGAGTTCGCTGCTCCAGTCACCAGCGAGCCTATCTTCACTTCATACATCGTAAGGTCCGCCGTCCATCACGTTTCAACCGCTATCTGACTACAATAACCTACTAGTACTACTCACCCCAAAATACTCTCCAACACAAGCACCAGATCTTCAACCACAACCTTGCAATCCAAATTCCACCTCACCACCATCCAAGTAACCCCGAACTAAAATCACCATGTCAGCTTTCCGAGGTGGCATCTGGGACTCAAATCCTTTCCGCGCCAGCGGTAATCATAGAGGTGGCGGTGGAAGCCGATCAAGCCAGCCTCACCCGAACCCATATGACAATCACGACAACTCACCCCCCATGATGGGTGGCATGCGCGGCCCAGGTCCCATGTACGGCGGAATGGCTGCTCCCATGACAGGCGGCCAGACACGCTCCTACTCATCATATCAAGACTCCGACGGTAACAGACATGAAGAGGGTTACGGTCCAGGCGAACCATTTAGCAACTCAGTCCATGGAGGAACGCGCATGGGACAAAGCATGAATCCAAGCATACCACCACAAGGCCGCCCACCACCAGGAAGTCTCCTAGGCGGTCTCAGCCGCGGGCCTGGCGCCTTCAGCTCTTCCTTCTGGACCGGCGCAAACCCCTTCCGCAGCAACGGAGCCAACGGCGCACCGAACGGTGGCAGTGATCCCAACACCGGACCCCGCGACCCTTCCTTCAGAATGGAAGTCGACCCCGCACCCATGCCTCCAGATCGGGGCCTCACAAGCGAAAATTCCGAACTCATGGCCTCCTTTATGGCCGAGAACACACAGCCTCTAGGCGGTTCCATCGCACCTCCCAATGCAGAGTGTCCAATTTGTCTGGAGCCGCCCAGCGCGTCGCATTTGTGTGTTCAGATTAAGGATATTCCGGGGTGTAATCACCTTATTGGGAGGGAGTGTCTCAAAGAGATGTTGGTTAATCGGCCGGATGATGCAAAAAAGTGTCCGATCTGTAGGGCCGAGTTTCTGGGTGAGGATGGGATTTGGCAGGATTCTGAGCAGTTTCAGCAGTTGGGACGGGGAGGTCCTCCTGGGTATAGCGGTGGACCTCCTCCTGGGTACGGTGGACCGCCACCGAGACCAACTGACTATGGCGGTGGTCTGCCTCAGGCTCCTCCTGGTTTTGGTCGCGGCGCTCCTCAGATGCCTCCTCAGATGCCTCCTCAAGCACCTCGCCCGACACCTCGTCCAGCACCTCCCAGTTATGCAAGCGCAGCTACTTCACCAGCTCCTCCAGGTCCCCCAAGCTACATGGCAGCTCCTCGTCCGCCTCCAACCCCTCGTACGGCTCTTGGAGCTAGTCCTCACGCCGCTCCCCCAGGTCTTCGCAACGCGATGCGCGGCGGGGCCAGAGTTCATGGCATGGACGATTTTGGTAGAGGACGGGGTAACGAGCAAGACGACGTCGGTGGCATGCAAGGTGGCCCCCCAATGATGAACCAGGACAGGTGGCCACCTGAGCCACGTGAACCAGAAAGCAACTTCAGCGGCCCTGGTCAACAGCTTGGCTACATGGACGAACGACAGCTTTGGTAGACTGGCATGTTGATGTTAAACGGTAGATATGACGCCGTTGAAGGTCTTGGTTTGCTTTTCCTTCCTTTGCTTTTACTGTAAGCGAAGACCGAACACATCGAACATAGTATAACGCCGGTAAGCGCGAGATAGTCTCACAGTATAGTGAGCTCGATGCGGAACGGGTATAGGCCCGATATCGAAAATCAAGATTTTCGATCAAAGCTCTCACGTCCAATGTCCAAGTGTTGACTGGGTCGATTTCTCGCTTCTTCCCAGCAAGCCATCCTAAATCGAATCCTTATTCACGGCTCTTTCGCAAGCACTGGTGCTTTCAAACCGTGGTACAGAGGGCAGTCGAAATAAGCTTTGCGACATATTCATCACGGTATCTGTCGCAATATTCGCGCAATATGCGAAACCAGACTAGACATGATTCCATATCGATTTCCTTGGTTGTGGGTGTATCAGGTACAACTGCATCACACCCTGGCATCGGCTCCACGCAGCATGCAGGGCGCGCCCTATTGATCGACCGCGAGATAAACTTACATGATAGCGGTGAAGAGAAAAACACCGCTGTACTTGACGTTTTTCCTGTGTCGCGTTTCGTGATTGATCATGCTGTGCGCTTCCGGTGATTGACGTTGCTTTAGAGTTGACTGGACCGGATCGACAGATCCACAGCGGGAATAATGGTGTTGGTGTTGTTTGAGGAAATACCGCACTCGCGCAAGCCTGCACCTGCGGCGATATGGACATTGTCAAAAGCGCGTGCTGACAGTATGAGCCTAGCGTTGGGTTGAGGCAATATCGTGCATGTCGGGGGTGGCTGTGTGCTTGATAGCGAGGTGCATGCAACCTCGGAAAGCACTTTCCGGATGCTGACACTGTGCGGCAGGTCTGAAATCCCGTCCACGAAGGACTATCTGCCAAGTCTTGGATCAAAATGAACAGGAAGGTGAAGTTGCCGCGGTCACAGCTGTGTGCCTGACGACTGGAGACAAATGACGGCTTTCAGCCGAGCCATCCGATTCAAAGCATCGGCCCCGCAATACGGTCCCGCTTATGGCGCTGCCCCTCATCGATCGTCGAGGCCTCATGATGCGGCGCCTGCATAGAACACGTTTGGAACAATGCGGCGTTTTGACATCGTGACGTTTCGGCGGCCTACACCGGTTTTCTCGTACGTAAAATGAGGCTTCTAGACCACCTTGGTCTGGTGAAATGCCATCATACCAAACCATGCATATGTTTGGAGCATCGTGGATGACGGAGGGCAATCGCAGGAGTTGCTGTCGACGTCTTATGCTGTGGGCCGGTGTGACGTGGGTCAGACTGCGCATGCAGCAAAATGCATGGCAGAGAATTCGAATGAGTTTCCGCATCCACGGTGGAGATTCTTGGCTGCGGCTTCTTACGGTTCAGCCCTCAGAAGCGGACGTTTAGTTGCAGATCTTGGTAGTCTAGAAAAAGGTCTCCCCGTTTCCTTGCATGGCGCCAGACGACGCGGCATGGGTCGTCAAAGAGCACCCAGACGTTCCAGGAGACTTGCGCCAACAACGTGGTTCTCTGGAAAGGGCTGACACCGTACCAGCAATATGCAGGTGCAAAGTGAGCTGGCTGGGCCCAGCGTGACAAAGAGGAATAAACTACATGTGGCCGGAAAATGGCTCAGTCGTGGCGTAGCTGCTGATGTTTAACCCAACGCACGGTCGTTCCACTATGAGCAAGGGCTACCTGGGCCATCGTCATCTTGGAGCGCGAAATAGAAGCGAATATTGGCTTTGTGTCATTTGCTCGTCTCTAAAAACCGTATTACTGGCCTTTACGGCATGTGGCGACTTGCTCCGCAGCTGGGTTTATGCAGCGATGTTGGCTAAGTTAGTCAGGTGGTGCCAATCAAATGCAGTTGTATCAAACTATCTGCGTCACGCAACATCCACCCTGTGTGCCGTCAACAACGCAGTCGATATACTTGCTATGAGCATCGTGAGGTGTGCTATAACAGGTATTGCATGCATAGAGCTCAAAGTAGTCTGGCGCTCAACAAAACATTACACCGCTCAAACAGGCAAGCACGAATGAAAAAAACCTGGGGAAGCGCTACGGGAGCGCGATGGTCCAGGGGTAACAGAAAACAAATGGCGCATTCATGGATGGCTAACCGGCATGTATCACGCTTCTGTACTAGGAAACAATCTGCCCCCAATTACGTTGCATTGGTTCGGGCTGATCGAGATGCATGCACCGGTGTCTCTTGTGTGGAACTTATCGTGACGGCGCGATTCGTTCTGTTTCTGATTGTGCGGTGAAGCTTCCGCAGCCCTCGCGATCGTGATTGAGCGGTGCCTCGATCCTAGCCCTCAGCCACGTATAAAGACAACATCTGCTGCCCATCATTCTCTCGAAGCAGCAAACGCATCCACAGCAACTCTTCAACCAATCTCGAGTTTCCAATCTAAACTCTTCACAAAGACGGGATCGACACCAGAGAACTACCCTCATACAAACCTCGAACCACCTACCGCAGCCAATCAGCTCCGCCTACAACACGACCCACACCATCATCCTATCATCTATCCTCTATTAGAATTCAAACATCATGCCTGCTCTTCCATTCAACTCGTCCGCTGCTTCGTCACCTTCATCTTCACCTACCTTGTCGCCTACCATGACGCCTTCAATAGTTCTCCATCCCGCATCGGGTATATTTGATCAACCATACTAAAGCCTCCCATCTAATCTCTCCAGCAGGTGTCTCATCACAGAAGAAGGAGCTTCTCAAGCCAAAGGAAGATCCTGCGCAGGCCTACCGCATTCGTTATGCGCAGTACCTTGCAGCCACCTTTGGCTTCTCGATGCAGGCCGCGCTCGCCGAGGCGGATAGCCAGCTTGCGCCGAGACGTTCGTCAAGTTCGAGCATGTCGGAAGCTGAGTCGTTACGCGCGATTTGAGCTGGGCGGATTGCGGAAGGGTGTTTTATGACTTTATGATGCATATATAGGGTAATGGGCATTGGGATGGGGTATTTGGCGCATATTGAGACATCTCGCAGTGCACAATCAAAAGCGTTCTCTGTTCTACATCCACTACTATCAACTCGTCGTGACTGTCTCTTTCTTTGCGATCATAAGTGGATGCGCATGGAAGACTGCAGCCAGTCGGAAGCGTACCAGTTGATGCGAACACGCTGTGTCTGATTGTAATGACAGTGCCTCGGTAAGGTGGGATGCCAGAATTGTGGGAGCAGTGGGAGCAGGAGCGCAGAGGCCGCAACTGCCACCCCCACCACATACCCGCCACGCCAGGTCCAGGTCTCCACGCGCTGAGCTTGTCTATCGATAGGGAGACTCAATTTTGACGACATCTCATGTCCTATGATTGTCTTTTATATCCAAATGAGCCTCGACGCGCCCTCATCCTGTTCCGAAAACCGCCGGTCGCTCGCTGTGTCGCCAGCCGAACGTACGCTCCCCAGACTGCTCGGCCCAATCCTTCACGACAATGCTCACTCGGCCGCGCGACGAGTGTTCGATGCGTTGCATGTCTAGTGCAGTGTTTCTACGCGTCTCTATCAAGGCGTATTGGTCTGCGAGACGTATCATTGGCGGTGCCGCCACACCTACCGCCGCCCAAGCCTGAAGTGGCATACGTGGCAAACATCAACCTGTCATATGCGGCAGCGATGCTTACTATCGCATCTCGACCCCGGAACACATTTCCCAGACGAATCCTCCTACTGTCCAAAAGGATAACACGGCTCCACACACATCGCGCAAAACGCGGGGTTTGGTTGCCTCAACTTCAACGGGCAAACATTTGGTACCGAAGAGTACTCCGATAGATCTCAACGCCAACAGCCGAGACATCTCGGCATCGCGGCACAGTGCCTCAAAGCCACACAGATGAGACTTAGGACCGGAGAGCGGAGGCCGGATTGCTTGGGCCCGTCAGCCAAGATTCTTATCGTTCGGTCAATGAGCGTTTGAGTTAGTGCAGCCTCACTGCGTTCGCTGACTACTGGTCTTTGTTCCCAAGCTGTGGGTACATGTTTGTCCGGAGCATCAGCTGATCACTATGATTGTACCTGCTAATGCAATACTTGCTGCGACAAAGACTTGTGCAGCCATTCATGTGGCGTGGTGGACAAGAGGTTCCAAGCCTCTCTACGCTTGGACGACCCACGTCGTTCCTCTAGCGTGCTAACCCCGCCTAAACCTGGTAGGACAAGCTGCCTATAACTACTCCCCCGCAAAGACGTGTCTCTGCTCTTTACCACCGACACTACCAGTGTTATCACATATACTTGAATGGGTGAAACTGTGCTACTTGCCGTCGAGGAGACTTCTCCTAACGTCGATGAACCCCCTATATGTGGTAGTAAGGATCCGCATACTGCACCAAACCGAAGGCAACTCCAGCCGAATCCCATCGATGGCGACACTTCGCCCACACTCCACGCTCCGCACACCCTCACCTCCGAGGAAGTTGCACAGACACTGGGAGTCGACATCCAGTAGGGCTCACTGTTCATGCTTACCACTCTCGTGCTCCTGCTAACTACCGCAGCCATGGACTCTCTCACTCTGAAGCGCAATCTCGCCTCCAGCTCTATGGCCCTAACAAGGTTAAGGGAGCTGAAGGGCTTTCCATGTGGAAAATTCTGCTAAGGCAGATCTCGAACAGTCTCACCTTCGTCCTCATCATTGTCATGGCCATTAGCTTTGGCATAGACGACTACATCGAAGGCGGCGTCATAACCGCAGTTATCCTCCTCAACATTGTTGTTGGTTTCTGGCAGGACTACCGAGCCGAGAAGACTATCGAATCTCTCAAGAAACTTACCGCACCCGAGGCTACCGTCACACGTCAGGGAACAATGGACATCAAAGTCAAGGCTGTGGACCTGATTCCTGGCGACATCGTCCAGCTCTCCGTTGGTAGCATCGTACCCGCCGACATTCGCCTCATCGATGGTGTCAACGCTTACACCAATGAAGCATTCCTCACAGGAGAGTCCGCCCCTGTCGAGAAGACACCATGGAAGACTTTTGACGAGGAAGACCTTGCCACTGGCGATCAGACTAACCTTGCCTTCTCCGGAAGTGAGGTAACATCTGGACGTTGCCATGGTATTGTAGTCGCAACTGGCATGAACACCGAAGTCGGAAAGATTGCTACTATGCTCCGTCAGAAGAAGGACGCCGGCCCTCAATCCTCCAACATCTTCGTCCGAATCTGGAAGCGTTTCACGAACGGCGGCAAGACTATCTTGGGTCTTGTCGGAACCCCCCTTCAGATCACGCTGAGCAAGTTCGCACTTCTCCTCTTCGGTCTCGCCATCTTGCTTGCCATCATCGTCTTTTCCGCAAGCAAATGGCAGGTTGGTGGAGAGGTACTCATCTATGGTATCTGTGTTGCCGTAGCTGTCATCCCTGAGTCGCTCATCGCAGTCTTGACAATTACGATCGCTGTCGGCGGCAAGGCAATGGCCAAAGCAAACGTCATTACCAGAGTCCAGTCGGCCATTGAGGCTGTTGGTGGTGTCACGAACATCTGCTCTGACAAGACTGGTACTCTCACCCAAGGTCGCATGGTCGCGAAGACGGCCCTCATGCGTGGCGCCGGTAAATTCACCATCGATGCCATCACAGACCCCCACAACCCCAACAGCGGAAACGTTGCTTTTGATGACCGACAGCTCAGTCTGAATGATTACAGGCCGGACGCTGTCGTCACTCGCTTCCTCCGTACCATTGCTCTTTGCAACAACTCCAAGGTTATACCGCCATCTGAATCGCGCGTCGACTCTCCAAGTGAGAAGAAGGCCGCGGCCTATGAGCAATCCAACAGTGCTGATGATCGCGACACCGATGCATCCACCATCGACACCATCTCACGACCACCCACTGCCTTCATGCAAGATGTAACGAACGGAGCCTGGACAGCGCATGGTGAGCCAACTGAAGTCGCATTGCACGTCCTCGCTTCTCGTTTCAACATGGGTAAGGAAAGTCTACTTTCCTCACTCAACATCCATCTCGCTACCGAATTCTCCTTCGACTCCAAGGTCAAGAAGATGACTGTCGTCTACAAGGACAATCATTCAGGCCTCATGGACGTCTACACCAAGGGAGCAACCGAATTTATGATGTCAGCGCTCAACGTCTCGGATCAGGAAAGAGCCGAGATCTTGGAAGCTGCCGAGAGCATGGCTAACCAAGGTCTTCGTGTCTTGTGCATTGCTCACAAGACGCTACAACCCGACACTGACATATCGGAACGTGATACTGTTGAGGCTAACCTCAACTATCTCGGTCTTGTCGCCATCTATGATCCACCTCGTCTGGAGACTGCAGGTGCCGTCCGCGAATGTAAAATTGCTGGCATCACAGTGCACATGCTCACTGGCGACCATCCTGGTATGTCAACTCCCCCTACTGATTGTACGTGAACCATGTACTGACTTTATTCAGGTACTGCGAGAGCCATTGCCAAGGATGTGGACATTATCGACGATCGTACTCCTGCCTCAGCCGTCATGGTCGCCAAGGACTTTGACAGAATGTCCGACGATGAGGTCGACGCCATGGAGACTCTGCCCCTTGTCATCGCCAGATGTAGCCCGACCACCAAGGTCAAGATGGTGCAGGCCCTCCATAGGAGGGGTCGCTTCTGTGTCATGACCGGAGACGGAGTCAACGACTCACCCGCGCTCAAGCAAGCCAACGTCGGTATGGCTATGGGCACTGGAAGCGACGTCGCCAAAGATGCCGCCGAGATGGTTCTCACTGACGACAACTTCGCTTCCATCGTCAAGGCCGTCGAAGAAGGCCGGCGCTTGTTTGACAACATCCAGAAGGTACACCATGTCGCTCTTTCCCTTGATCAAGATCACTTACTAACATTTGATGCTACAGTTCCTCATGCATCTTCTCATCTCGAACATCGCTCAGGTCATCCTCCTCCTCATCGGTCTCGCCTTCAAGGATCAAGACAACCACTCCGTCTTCCCGCTATCCCCTATCGAGATCCTCTGGGTCAACCTCATCACTTCCTCCTTCCTCGCCATCGGTCTTGGACTCGAAGAGTCACAAGAAGACAGCATGTACCGACCACCGCACGACAACAAGAAGGGTGTCTTCACAGCCGAGTTGATCACAGATAAGTTCATCTATGGTTTCTTCATGGGAGCACTATGTCTCTTCTCCTTCGCCATCGTCGCTTACGTCGGTCCTGGCGGAGGCAATCTCGGCTCCGGATGCAACGAAGGGTACAACGATACATGCGAAGTGGTGTTCCGTGCCCGCGCCACAACATACGCCACCATCACGCTCCTTCTCCTCGTCACGGCTTGGGAGGTCAAGCATTTCGCTCGCTCGTTATTCAACATGTACCCCAACAGTCCTTCCTCGGCACCGGCTGGTCTATCCGTCTTTACTACTATCTGGCGCAACCGCTTCCTCTTCTTTGCGGTCATTGCCGGGTTGCTCGTCGTGTTCCCCATCGTCTACCTTCCCATTATCAACGAGAAGGTGTTCAAGCATGGTGCTATCACCTGGGAGTGGGGCGTCGCATTCGGTTGCGTCGTCATCTACATCAGCGCAATTGAGAGCTGGAAGGCTATCAAGCGTAGCCTTGGTATCTGGTCTGGAGCTCACAGGGTCATCTCTCGCGAGGATGCTGAGGCCCGTGCTGGATTGAACGGCGGTATTGCTGTGAGGGAGAAGTAGGAACGTGTTTCCTACTGAGGAATGGTGGATGGAACAAATTGTCACATGATTAGAACGGAGGTGGAGGTGGGGATTTGGTCTCATGTCTCCTTGGATTAACCCACAGTCGCTCATTAGTATGACTCACGATTGAATGACACATACACTCTGTCATAGCTTCACGATGAATATCAACTCAGTCACTCTTTTATTATTACAATTCTTAAGTGCAGGATTGATTTGATTTTACACCTAACTCGTCCCCATTCCCATGCGGTCATGCCAAACACTCGATACTTGATACTCAAATACGCTTCGTCCTCCATCCACCAACTTTCATGGCCAGGACCGACAGTCTTGAAAGTGAAATC